TGCTTATTAAAAACAAAACACTGTTGTTTTATAACTTTTGTACTTTGCACTGACAGGTAGAAGGAAATCAAACGATTATTTTTCTTTGTCTTCTGTAACTTCCCTTCCCACAAAGTTTGTCCTGCCACTTTCAAGAGGAAAACGCAAGGCCAACTTGAAACCAACAAGTGGAAATCCCAAAAAGATTTCCCGGACGCAACTATTTTGATAAGGATGGGGATTTCGTAACACATCCCATGATATGCTGTATTTTTCTTTTAGTTCAGGACACTGGTTAAAAAAAACCCCAAAAAACACATGATGCAAACAGCAAGAATGTTACAGTGCAAATTTGATATTTTTGTGTTTGTGTGCCAACCTTGCCATCTTTGTGTGGGCCTGAAAACAAAACAGGTTCACACGATGCAGGTTGTGTGAACCTTCTGTGGACTAAAGCCAGGTCCACACAAGGTTCCCCCTTTCTGGAAAACAGGTTCACAGGCATTTTTGGGTAAGGGTTAATGGGTTATTAGATGCAAAATGAAGAGAAACACTCAAGAAAATCATGATACAAAAAATTGAGCTGAAAGAGAATTCACAGTGCGAGTAAAAATGTTTTTCCTCCACTTTTTCCCAATTATACACGAAGACTAAGGAATGTCCACACTAGACTAGGCCTGAGTTTGTTTCTGCATTCAGTAGGGGATTTGTTGAACAATAGAGGACAATAGGGTCCCCAATTCCCAAGGTCCCCAATTTTGCGATCCTGTACAAAATTATGGGTGGTCTTTCTAAAAAGTTGAAGAACAAACAAAAAAGGGATAATAATAGGGGGTCCCCGATTGCAGATAAACACAGACCTGGGTGTGTGTATACGTGTGTTCAACACCTAAAACCATATACGTAGCCAAGGCAAAATTTGTTGCAACATTTGAAATTAGGGGGGGGGGGGGGAGGAGGGGGCGGGGGTGTTAAGCAAGGGGAAACTAAACTAGCTAGCAAATTCAACATGAGACCACCTTTTGTTAACAATGCATGTCAGGCAAACAGGCGTTATAACAAAGGCACTCCTCCGTTTAAGTATCACTAGGGGACAAACTCCATAGCTTGAATGAGACATACCAGCTTGTGAAGATTGGACAATTGTTCACGAAGGTAATTTAAACTGAAAGAAAGGGGAGCGTTATGGCATTACTGCAACCATGGAGGAAGGAATTAACTTAATTCTTTCCTCCATGCTGCAACCTGCCTAACAATGGTGGGCTAAACCGTAGAAAACTCTTGTAAAGAGAGTTAATCAAGATGTGGGGTTTTAGGTGGACAAAATTGAAAGGCACTTTCAGTTTCTTTCAACCAGAAACATCACTGATACAACATGTCCAACAGCCATGAAATCTGAGCAGCACAGACATTGTGGAAGGGATGGCAGTAACATAAATGGTTAGATACTGCCTAAAATAATTTTTTTTTAAATTTTGAAATGAAAAACAAACACAGAATCGAGAACAAATTATAATTTCGGTGACACAATTATTAATGTTTTGAGTTTAGCCACTAGCTGCAAAAATGAAATCTGTTAAAAATTGTACGTCACTCACACTGTTTGTTTTTTATTTTGGTTTTGTTTGTTTGTTTTGCTTATTTGTTTGGTTTTTTGTTTCTCACCTTCTGATGGACATTAACAAATGCATACTTATAAAATAACATATGCCCGGGCCATACACAAAAATTATATCATAATGTTTTCCATGTGGCCAATTTTGCCAGTTTTATACTTCGCTAAAATAAAAAGTACAAAATATTTTTCATTCTAAAATGGAATTAGTGTTTTGTTTTATCTGAAAATTCCCCCTGAATTTTCCTGTTCCACTATACTACTTTCAGTTATGTTCACCTTTATACCATGATACTGATTTCAAAACACACTGTGTTTATCTATACAGATAATCAAATATAATACTAGGAAGCTTAACAAAACATGTAATATATCATTAGTATATCATGACATTGGATCTAGACAAACATATAGGATATCCTGCTATGGACTGTGAGAACAACCTCTGCCAATAACACTATTAGATCATATTGCATAAGGGATCAAGGCAAATAGTTGTTATCCTGTCATGACAGGGCCAAACGAGTTCCTGTCTTGCAGAAATACGAAAGTAATCATGATTCAGCGAATGTTCATTTGGAAGGGCTAATACTTTTTAATATACTGACTCTTTAATTGCTATGTCATGTGTGTTTATTCAAGGAATTTTTTCAAAAGTGCAGATTCACTTAAATGGAACATTGGTGATTAGGCCACAAAAAAAAATATTCAGTCTCTGGTCAGACCAAAGTTCCGGAATTGACGCGGCCACGCGGCTTTTTTTTTCTTTTCTTCAAGCTTGGATTGTACAGACAAGGTGGGTACTATTTTGCTTTTTTGGTGTCCTCATGTACATTGGTGTCCTCCATAATTTGCCTTGGTGCTTTCGATCATTTGCCTTGGTGCAATTTCCCATTCCTTGGTGCTCTTTGGTAAAAAAAATTGAGGAGGTGCGGAAATAGAGGGCGCTTTTGGAGCTACCGCGGAACATTTTGGAGAAAAAAAAAGATCGACGCACATGATTAAAATTGACGCGCGCGCTGACCAGAGACCGACTTATTTTTTCTTTTTGGCCTTATCAATAAAGAAATCTACCAATTTAATTAGGAAAATACCCGGCGAAATTAGTCCGCCCTGAAATTGTATCATTTCGAAGAAAACAAACATTTAAGGTGGTTAAAAAATAAAATGGGGGGGGGGTTACAAAATCCGTTAATAAGGCCTACTTTTAGGATTACCCATTTACTGGGACCTCAAAGGCACAAACTGGCTGAATGAGTGTTGATTTAGGGATTGCACAAAAGAGGGTGCGTTTCACAATACAAAACTTTTGGATGGGAAGTGCTCAAGCAACGGAATCCCCCTACGCAACCAAAATTGTCTGTGCAGGTTTTCACTATTTTCTCCAAAAAAAAAAAAAAATTGCCACTTTGCGGAAACTTCAACAGGTTAGTTGTTAAGCACCCTACCCACTTAAGATTTTGAGCAATTTTGATGATAAATTGTACCGTAAGGGACAGGTCGAGAAATTCAATGACAAGAGAAGAACAACTTTACTTAAAATAGATTCAATATTTATCATGACAAGGTAAAGTCCAAGAAGTGCCTGTTATGAAAGTGATAGTGATTCAAAACAGGTAGTTCTGGTTAAATAATACACAATATTAGTGTAATAATATTAGTTTAAGTTTCTCTTTCTTTTGATTTCTAGGGAACTGTACTTTCTCATTTTGCATCTCGCTTCCAATAAGCTGTACAAGATGCTGAACAACTTCTGCTTTACATCACTGCCTTGCCTTATTTTCAACTTGTGGTTTTCAATTTTTTTTTTTATGATTTCAAAAATTAAAGTGGACTGCCACAATTGGCTGACCCAATTATACCACTACAAAAAAATTTGAATATTCAATTATTCATGGAATGGAATATTTGTACATTCATTGCAACCAGGAGGGTACAGTTTCAGTTTTTTCCTTGTTGCAAAACAGGATTTCCCCAGGTAATCCTGTGAATGTCCCTTTAAATGTGTGATTTATTTCCTGAATAAAAAGAGTTCTTCGAAATGGAACATGACGCAGACCCACACGCAAATTGCAACGTTGCAAGTTCAAAGAAAAGTATGCAATATGGTTCGACAAACGACATAATACAATTTATTATTCCAGTCTGTGCGAGTCAGAAACTTGTGTTTTCAATGTTTTCAAATTATTTTCTGGGACTGAAAAAAAAAGTTTAATCTCTGTGTGATTCAACATTCCTTTTCATCCTTTGGGGGAAAAAAATGTGTCCAACTGATGACCCACATTAGTCTTCAAAGTTACCGGCTAGACCCCTAGCTACTTGATTTATAGCATTCAGTATGATTGTAATGTGAGAAGAAGAAAACTAAAGGGCGAATGAATACAAAAACGCAACAAAGAACTGTTTTTACCAGAATTTTGTTTGTACATGTAGTTAATAAATGGTTTCTTAGTTTCTAATTCTCCTTTTCTTGGGTGTAGGGGACGGGAGGTTAAAAGGTGTTATCGTGGATACTTGTGTATTTAATTGTTTATTTGTGTATTCTAATTTCCACTTGTGAATTTCAATTGTATCTGGGTAGTTAGATTTTACATGTATGTACTGCGCACTTGAACACTAATGTGGAATCTGCGCAATATAAATTTATTATTATTATTATTATTATTATTATTAACGTTAGTTGTGTGCTGAGAAATAAGGAAATACAAAAATATTTTGGAGATTCGGAGGATTTCAAATTTGGGAAAAGTAAGTAAACCTTCTTCATACATTTTTTCCTTAAAAGTGATCTTCCCATTTTCTCATATCAATAGAGGGCGCTGTTTCACTTTGATGAACAAAAAAAGGAGTTCAAATTATTCATTTCTCAGGACATTTTGCACGGAAATTACTAGATTCAACAAAGAAAAAAGGACACCATCGTGTATTGTTGTGTAATCTGTAATTGGAAATTTGTTTTTTAATCTGTTCATTTACATTTAATCAACATGTATTTTACATGTAATTTACATGTAATTAATTTACATGTCCTTTTTTCTTTGTTGAATCTAGTAATTCATGTAAATTACATGTAAATTTCACGAATTCCTAAATTCAAACCAATTTGAAAAAGTTCATGTGAAAACAAATGTTGAAAATGTAGGGTTTTTTTTGTTTTGTTTAATGTAATTTCATGTTAAATTTCCAAAGCTGTGCAACAGACATAGATGGAGTTTATCAAGCTTGTATGTTAAAATTTTCAAAGTTTGCTTTTGCCCTTTAAGATTTCTGAATTTGTGAATAAAAACAGTTTCAAGCATTTTATATGTCAAGGAATGTCTTATGGACATCCACGAAAAATCTAATTCCTCGCTCACTGCTTGGAACCACATGTATTAAACTCAAAAATTACTATGTTGACATTGGACTTTATAACTTCATGAATGTCACATTTATTCAATTCATCAATTGCAAAATATTGTAGATTTACTGAACATTATTCTCTATTCTATATTTAATATTCGATACTTATTAGATAATCACATTTTTGTTTTGTTTCAGCCAATATGGTAATACCTAGGAATTATTTTTCAGTGCCCAATTTTATAGAGTGCCTAAGCAGACAAAATTACTGAGCAAACATTTTAGCTTAACAAAAATAACACGAGAACCAGTCACAACTACATGTATGATCGTATATATTTTAGCTGGTAACCTACGTTGGATGAGCAAATATATGTGGGCCGTTCTATAAAATTGGGGTCCACTTTTTATTCCTGTCCCTGTTACATCTGACATCTTTGATTTTATAATTCTGAAGCACTCCTTAATGCAGTCGTCCTCCAAGAGTGATTATGAATAGCAAACTACCTACCCAACAAATCAAAAATAGCTTGAAGTCATTCCTAATGATACTTGAATGGCAAAATACAAAGTACCAAGGTAACAGGGACAGGAACAATTGTCACACTTGGACCTTAAATTTATAGAATGACCCTTACTCTGTGTTTAACAAATTCTCTTCTTAGCAGCTCCAAAATAAATTATGTCCCAACTCGAACAACATACTGCACAATTTAGAATTGTTTTCAATCCAATTGGTTTAAATCATTCATTGAAGTTTGTAACAATTGCACAGGAGGATGACAGTTATATCAACATATAAAGTTTACAAATTTACCGTGATGCAAAATATTACCCCAAAATATTTCTGACAACATTTTTCTGAATTATTGCCATCGTTACGGTTTGTAACACCAAAACTGTCACAAGAAGCATTTGGGAAAGTACATGCATGCGAGTTTGGGGGGGGGGGGAAGAAAGTGATCTTAGACAATCGAGAGGGTATCTAAAGAATTTTTCAACTAATGATAATGTTTGTCTGAGCTCTAACCTATTTTGCAAGAACTGTTCTTTTTATTTTTTATTTTTACTCTCGGTAAAGTGTTCCTCACTTTGGGCAATATTCTTCTGACGGTGTGGGCCATGTGTCATAACGTGACATTCTCGAATCCTGGTGGGGGTTTCACCGACTTGGGTTCCACGTCTGATTTATTGGCTTGGGCAGGTTCGCCGAAGCCTGGGGGCGCTGTTCGTTCCAATTTGGATTTGTCGGATCTGGGTCGTCCCTCGCGAGACCCAATCTCAACAGTGGCAGCGCTCTTCGTCTTGTCCGTATCTTTGCCTTTGAGGTCTCTCCTGTTTGGTTCACTCTCACCCTTGAACTTTGACCTCTCACCTTGAACCGTACCCTGATTATCACTCTGAAGCGAGTCCTTGAATTGGCCAGGTTCCCTTCTTCTGTTTCGATTTCTGTTCCGAGTTCGTCCCGACTCCCTCTCACGGATGTTCCCCGGTGTGCTATTTTTAGCATGGTTGCTAGTTTTAGCACTGCCAGTGTACTGCTTGTTGTCATGGAAACCGGACTCTTCGGACAAGTTCTCGTCTGGTTTTCTCTGTGCACTGTCTTTGCTCCTTTCAGATTCCACAGTCGGAGATCCTCCCTCCTTTCTGGGGGCGTGGCTTCTGCCGGCAGGTCTGCGGTTCGGACGACGGCCTCCGTCACTCCTGTGGCCCGACTCCAGACTGCTGTCTTGACCTCTGCCTTTTGACCTTGAATAGTCGCGGTCCACAGCAGTTTTTTCCTTGTCAATGTCAGTCTTCGAGGCAGACGTTTTTTCCATTTCTTGCACATTTGCGTTTCTCTTAATTGATTTATTTTCACTGTTTGCTCGCACAGGACTCTCTGCTTTTTCATTATTTTTGGTGATTTTCTCATCTTTGGTTTTGTCTACGTTGGGTTTGATGGAGCATTCAGTAGATTCTCCAAGTTTTCCATGATATTCTCCCTTTAACCTCCGATCAGACCCAGTTTTTCTTTGTCTCCCCGACCAATTGCGCTGATCCTTATTTCCCCTTTCAACCAATACTTTTCCAGGACCATTTTCTGATGTTGCATTTGATTGGTCAACAGCGTCTACATTTTCAGTCTTGGAATCTGATTGGTCAGTTGTGTTCTCACTATCTGTATGCTTTGCTGACGCTTCTTCATTTGAACTTTTCCCATTAAACATTGAACCTTTAAGACTGCCTGGGTTTCTAGAGTAATAATTCCTAGCACCTGAGGAATAAGGTCTTTGACCTCTGCCATCTGACCCCTGACCACGCCTATGGTCCCTCTCCTGGTCCCGCCCCTGGTCCCGCCCCTGGTCCCGCCCCTGGTCCCGCCCCTGGTCCCGCCCCTTGTCCCGCCCCTGGTCCCGCCCCTGGTTCCACCCTTTGCCCCGCCCCTCACCGCGCCCTGAGCCCCTCCCACCTTGTTTGTAGTCACTCCTTTGGGACGACCCTGGCCGACTCCCTTTATATTGGCCAACGTCTTTATTCGCAAGTGGTTTCACAAAACTTACAGTTTGATTGCTGGATTCCCTTTCTGTGGGCGGGACTTTGCAGCTTGTGTCATTCTGTGAAACGGTACTCCGCTGTGGTTGTGCTATGACTGGTGATATCCCAAAATTTGCTGGCAAACTTGGTGTCTGTAAATACCAAAAATTCAAGAAAGAAGTTGTAATACATTGTATTACATTGTAATTATTCCCAGACTGACTGTCTCTTGTAAGCCGGGCAGTGCTATTGTATAGGATTACCCTGTGATGCCAATGAATGGGCTAAATCTGGCCCATTGTTGTTGACCAGATGCATGAAAAGATTTCCAGTGAATAGCCATTTTGAATCAATTGAATAGAATTTTCTGCACTTGCCACAAGCTTTACTAGGCTGCCTGTTCTTGTTTTAGGCCCGGTTAAAACTTCACGCGAAAGCGAAAGCGAAGCAAAATTCCTGACGACAACAATATGTTTGAGGCGCGTCCACCATTGTTGACAACATGAATTTCGCTTCGCACTTGCTTTCACGTGAAGTATGAACCGGGCTTAAGGAAACTAAATGTACCTGTGAAATATGAATGAGGAATTTGTTGTTCTCAGCCTCAATGTCGATGATTCCGCCCTTCTCTTTCTGCCGCCTATAGAGGGCGGCCATCTCTCGCTGCATGTCACGCAACACCTGGTTGGGGGTATAGACCTCCTGGATGGAGTTTGGAGGCGGGGCGCCCTCTAGCTGGCCGAGGTCGCAGATCACAGGCTCGCGACATACCGGACAGACGGACTGGCGAAGAAAATCACAATTTATCAGAATTATTGAATTTTTAAGATAAAATTCCACCCAACAAATCTCTTTGATTCCAAAAAGAAAATTGACTAAAGTAGGGTTCAGGTTTGGGGCCTCTGGATAACTATGGACTCCTTGCACTAGTGCTCCCTAAATGGTGAAAATGAGGCTAAGCAATATTTTTCTGCTGAGCAATAGTTTCTACCAGGCAACATTTGTCTGCTGAGCAATATTTTGCACTTGGCAATATTTTCCCGCTAAACAATATTTTTCTGTTAAGCAATATTTTCTACTAGGCAATATTTTCCTGCTAAGAATTATTTTCTACCAGGCAATATTTTCTGCGAAGCAATATTTTCTACTAGGCAATATTTTTCAGCTGAGAAATAGTATCTACCAGGCAACATTTGTCTGCTGAGCAATATTTTGCACTAGGCAATATTGTCAGACTGTTGTCAACGCAAATAAATCAACACGGAGAATTTTCTTTCAGTGACAATTATTTACAAAACTTTAATATTAAAAACATTCAATGAAGGACTACACAATTATATTGATAAAAATGTACACTGATACTTCTGTGACTATGACCACTAAAATTAAATTAATAAATAAAACTCTGATTGAACTTCTGTTTCCAAGCTTGATTACTTAAGTTTCTTTTTGTTTACAAAAACCTTATTACACTTCCGTTTATGGAAACGGTGTTACACTTAACTTGAACTAACAAGATTATCTTCAAGTCGTATACGCTTGAAACACAGTGCGCTTATGTGCACTATACACTGACTTAATTACACTAGGTTTTTAGTACACGACTCAATTTACACTCCTCTTTACTTTAACAAATTGACATTTTAGTTGCTACACCAGCAGAATCACTTCTGCTTTTTCTTTGAATATGAATCAACACTGAACGGTTTCCTTTTTTGTATTTCATAAAAAAAAAAAACACTCGTTACAATAGTAGTTCACTATTTCTTGGACTCAAATTAACTGATTGACTTCACTCTATCTTTGACTCGATGACAATAAATGTATTCAGGGTATTTAGCAATAGAGTTCTGGTTTCCAGTTGAGCAGCTGAACTGTCACGAGGTTAATCCAGTCCTCGTCTGGCTCTTGGGGTAGTACCCGAGGTCAGGTCTTGGCACAAGCAAGTAGCAGGCGACTGCCCCGATCTACTTCAAATGGATGCACATGCGGTGTGGAAGGACTCCCAAACTGTCTGAAATCCCCAGTTATACTTTCTGGAAAAGTCAAATTAAAATAACCGATAATAATAATCCTAATTGTTTAACATAATGAATGTACACAGGTTATGCAAGTTTAAGCAGTCACTATATTTTGTAGGCAAAATAATCCTTCGAACAAATTAACGTATTTCAAGAAATTAAACCACTTCAGATAAAATTAGAAGAAAAAATAAATTAATCTAACTCACGGTTTTGCAGCGAGGTTCTCCGTATCTGGCTTTACAGCTCACCAGCAGACAGTGGAGCAAAAATGCCCCAGCTAACAGCTATACAATGATTATAAGATGGATTCCATCTTATATTTTATGCGGTACCCACTGCTATGTACATCAGATTCGAACCGGCCAACCGATCCCGTTAGCTCGGTGGTCGAGTGGTAAGACATCTGCACTAGAAAGCAGGAGGTCGTGGGTTCGAGTCCCACCCGAGTGATTTTTCCAACTTTCACTCGGGAGGTAACACACTGAGTATACAGTGTTTAAAAAACGTCGGTGAAGGGCAAAACCTAATTTGATTTGAGCTATACAATGGCAATGCTGCAGTACACGGCTTGGCTCTGCTAATACGTATTGCTCTGCATCAGAGTCTGAATACTTTGCTCAGCAAAATGTGTGGCAGCAGGCAGCAGGCAGCAGACAATTTGTCTTGGTGTCTACAGAGCTCTCATATCTGATAGCTAGAGTGGGCTGCAGTCACACTGATCATACACTTATATACTCACACACACATACACACCCAACTAATCAAACACAAAAGAACTACACCCAACTGAAGAATGTCTAAGAATGCACATTGCTATTGAATATTCACACAGGAAAAGAAAAGACATTTGCATAGGAACTTTTCCTTGTAAGGTGGAAAGGAAAGGACACATCAAATAAAAGAAAAATAAATAAATAAATTGAAACGGACTGTTACAAATATTTTCCCGCTAAACAATATTTTTCTGTTAAGCAATATTTTCTACTAGGCAATATTTTCCTGCTAAGAATAATTTTCTACCAGGCAATATTTTCTGCTAAGCAATATTTTCTACTAGGCAATATTTTCTACTAGGCAATATTTTTCTGCTAAGCAATATTTTCTACTAGGCAATATTTATCTGCTGAGCAATATTGTCTACTAGGGATCATTTGTTCCACTAAGATATTTTTCTCCTAAGCAATATTTTCCACTGGGCAATATTTTTCTGCTAAGCAATATTGTCTGCTGAGCAGCTTATCACCCACCTCCTCTTCATTTTCTTGAGCATGCTTGAGATAGCGGGCCAGGCACTGACTGTGGAAGTAATGGTAACACTGCGTTTTGGTGAAGACGTCCGTCTCGGTGAAACCATGCAAGCAGATAACGCACTGGCAACTGGGAGTGTTGTTATCGGTCAAGCTCTCCTTGGCAACCTGGGCCACAGCAACCAATCAGATAACAGAAAATCACACAGGGACAAAATGTTACACAAATACAGCCAAAGTACATTCAGTCAGCAGCCAAATAAACAGTCCACTGCTTACATCACTAGAACGCCAACATGCTGCTGGTATTCCAGTTCCTCCGAGAAGCGCTATAAGATGTTATAATTATCAATAACTGTCAATTTGTTGATTTTCTCCCAGGGTGAATTCTTACCTCAATGAGTTCGTACAGCATGGCTCCGCCTTGCCTCTCTGAAGCTATCTGGTTCAGCTTGGCACCAAGACTACACAAAACAGAGGACATTTTCAATTTAAACAGTGAACACTTTTCCATGGTCAACCACGAACTATTATAAGAGACCACAGGAGCTAGATCTATAAAAAAAATTTAAAAACCTTTGCCAATTTATCTCTCATTTTATTCAACTCCCAATGGGTGGCCCTTATACAACTGGGGAGCTCTGTTTAGCAAGTGGCTGATGCTCATGGCTCAGAGTTGGGGCGGGAACATCTACCTTCCCGTGCAAGTCAACAGGACTTGCCCAGTGGGTGCAAAAGGACCCAAGTGCTTACTACCCATTTTTACCCAATATTAACGTGGCCAATAAATGAGTATCACCCAATGGTACCCAGTACTATAGCCCTATGACTAATTAACCCTTACCCCATGACACCTCAACTGGGTTGCCGCTTTTTCCAACTTTGGGTAACTACCTCCTGACTCTACCAAGTAAACCAAATGGGTAGCTATACACCCAATAGGGTTGCCATACACCCAATAGTACCCAGTACCCACCTAGCAAGGTGTTCATCTGACACCCCTCGTGGGTTCCTTATGGTGATCTCTGGCAGACTGTGTGGGTACTGTGAAAGACAACAAAGAGACAAAAATGGTTAATATTACTGCAGTAGATTTCGTAATTCGAAAGTAGAAGAAAAGAATTTCAAAATACCTGTTCGGGTAACTTTATGTTAAGTGTCAGGCATACGTATTGCTGATCCAGATTGCCTGCTGTAGCTGGATGCAAGATAATGCTCAACTCAGTAGGAATTCCGCTGTGAAGAAGAATTTACAATGAAATAATAACATTAAAACTGAGAAATTAATTAAGGTATTATTTATTTATTTATTTATTATTTTAACTGGGTAGCCCATTCAGTGAAATCCACTGATCTCCCATGGGTCCCAGTATTAAGAGAAGACAATGTGAAGAAATTACAGTTTTAGAGGTGGGAGGAAAAGAAGAGTATTCTGAGGAAAACCCACGGAATCAGGTAGGACTTGAAAACCCAATCCACATATTGGCCCAGGCGGGATTCGAACCCGGGTCACAGTGGTGGAAGGCGCGGAAAGTAGCGCTACGCCAACCTGACGCCCTCTATGGCAGATTTGCTTTAGGCATTGTTACGCCACAATTATATGGCATCACGCCAACTATAGTTGGGATGATCCCAACTACAGTTAGGATCGTCCCAACTATAGTTAGGAATTTTCCAAAATATTGGTGGGACTTCGGACTGTCCCAACTATAGTTGGGGCCATTAATAGTTGGGGCGTAACAGCATTAAGCTCACCTGGACTTTGGGACGTTTAATGATAGGGGAAAAATATTTTGCTGGTCCCAGAGGGCCAGGCCACCTGTCCCACTGAGCCACTGACTGACTGACCCACTGATTGACGGCACAATTTTTACAAAATAGACATCTAGAAATTTGATTTGTTTTTTTTCTTTTTAAAAAGCAAAGTAACTTTCATACAGAACATGGAGTGGAAAAACAGCTTAGATTTCAAATTGGGGAACACAACTTTCATGAAGTTCAGCTTGATCGCTGTGTTGCTCATAATATGCATATAATACATTTATACTAGGGTTTCCTAAGTAAGCTACATCATGATGACACACTTTACCTGTCGGTGTAATTTACGTCCAACTCATGTACATAAATTGCCTCTAACAGCCCAAGTTCTTGTAGTAATTCACTGTAATGAGAAAAACAAATTTGAAAGTTTGTTTGGTTTTGTTCTGCATATTTTCACCACTGATATCAGTCCGTTATTGTGCAGAGTGGAAATTAAAGTATACTGGAATTGAATGTGTTAGCATCCTCATGACGACTAGCTTGGAATAACCCAGCTCTCATGAAAGGGAAGATTTGCAATCTCCCATTGCATGAGCCTTTGAGCTGGGTTATTCAAAGTTAATCGTGATGCATTCACTTTGCTGTTTCGGTACTAGCTTGAGAAACTCAAGCTCATAATATGCTCATTGGGAATTCAACATACATGTATGTTGAATTCCTGAAAAGCATATGAGCTGGAGTTACTCAAACAAGTTTGGTTCAAAGACTATAGAGTTTTTTTTTTAAAGGTAAGCACTAAAAGTCCAAGATATCCGTCAGGATCGCCCAATAGCACAGCGCGATCGACCGATCACACACATCAACCCATTATAATTTATGCCAAAACAAGTTAATGTTTTCACCGTGCTTGTGTCTTCCTATGATTAGTAGTACGAGTACTAGTATGAGTATGACTGTCTTGAATTGAAAATCAAAATGTTAAACAAAAATTCTTTTTTTAAATTTTTTTTTACACAGTCGGAATAATTATCATTAACTAATGAGGTTATTTATGGTGAAAAGATGACATCAGAAGACCCAGGAAACACACTTCTAAACAACGGACCACATATAGGTGACAGCGCCCTCAGTTGGTCGACATCAGTGTTTTCGACGTTTCTCGCGACTAACTTTGGGCTTAATTAGAAGCGAGATTTCAGACAATTTTGTGGCATTGATTTCTTCGTAGATGGGTCACCAATACTCTCTAACATGTCATATTAACATTGAGAAAGAAATCACTGTACAAACCCGTCATTTGTGCCACTTCCCTCGGAGCATTCGCTCGTAGAACGAGCGATCATGGAGGCTGCCATCTTGGAATTTGGCAACGTCAGTCAAAAAAGTTCATTGACCGAATTCTCGCCAGTTTATATTTTTAATCATGTAGTTGGTTCCTAGAACAAATCTATATTTTTAAGCTGTTAAAAACATTTGTGGAATATCTAAGTTCATCAAGTTTGAAATTTTCTTCTCAGATGATGGAATTTTTAATTTTTGTAAAATTAACATCTGCTTGCATTGTGGAGTTTTCGACACAAATAATTATGACATGATCTACATGATGTGTGTATTTAGATTTAAAGGGCCAAAGTTCAAAACTCAGTTGTCGCTCTGTTTTAGACTTTTTTCGGGCGTTTTCGAATCCCTGTTCTTGACAACATTAACACGCGTGTAACACGAGAACGTGTTCTCGAGCTGGTTGTTACGAACGCACGGGTACGTGTCACATCGATTTAAAGCAATGCAAAATGGCCGATCTATTAACTATTAGCAAAAAAAAAAACCACACAAAACAATTTACGAATCTGCACAGTCTGCTGCACCTCGCCGAACCCTCCATCAACGTCAACCGGGCCGGGAGTGAAAAAAATTGATCCACGAGCGCCCTCTCGGGTCTGTTCGTCACGTTCGAGACCGCTGTTCTCGTGTCGGGTTAACCCGAGTTAACCCAGGTTAACAATACACTTAACAGGGATTCGAAAACGCCCTTAAATATTGCTGAGCTTTACAAATTTAATTTCTCGTTGGGAAGGCTTTGGCTGAAGCTCAAGCAGTAATCGTTTAAACTGTATTTGGCAGGAGGATCAAATGCTGTAAAAATGAGCTTGAAAGTGTACTTCGATTTGATGTCCCAGCCGGCGAGGGCAGTTGTGCTGTTTTGTAAAGTCAACAAGATTCCCTTCACGCCAAAACCTATTGCATTGAGAAAATGTGAGTAGACCTTCACGCAAAATAACTGTTTTTAAGTTAATTGGTGTGCTTCATGTGTCGTGTTTTTAAGGAAATATATCTGCAGGAAATGAAGGAAAGAATGCCATATTTTCTTAGGAGTACTAGCTTGAGTAACTCTAGCTTGAGTGACTCCAGCTGACATGCTCATATTCATTCACATTTTTGTTGGTCTTGTTTCAAATCGATCATTAGGCTTCGTAAATGACTGCTGAAATTATGAGGTATGTGGGTGAACTCTGGGGTGGGATATTAGAGGTGAAAATGAACAATTTTTGGAGAGGCCATTTTTTTAGGGTCTCTTGCTACCACATGGAAACGCACAGGCCTTCCTCCAGCGCTACATGTGAATGAATATGAGCATGTCAGCTGGAGTCACTCAAGCTAGAGTAACTCCAGCTAATGCTCATCAGGAATTTACATGTGAATTCCTGATGAGCATGATAGCTGGAGCTACTCAAGCTAAGTTCTTACTTCAACCTTGATCTGTTTTGTTATGGATGCAATTGCAAGTTTGATATATCTTGATCGTTTGAATGGTTTGTAAATTGTAAATCAGTTGATCAGTTGACCAGTGTCTAGGATGGAACGCCCTATTATCGCGGTACTTATCACGTTTCTCGTTCGGAATAGAGATTGCCCACTAACCTTCCAGAATTGTCCTGTCTTATGTGTAGTATAACTCTTCCTTTTTAAATTAATATAAAAAATCTGACGGGGTGTGTGGTTTATTCCGTGTACGATGCCTGTGAAAATAGACCTGCGCGGCGTGTGCGAACGGAGGTGGACTCCCTATTATCGCGGTATGCGGGAAGTGGTTTTTATAATGATCCCAACTTTTTTGTTCATAGTTTATGTTTGACCAAAACACCCCCTGAATAAAGTCTGATATTTTCCCTGTAACGTTCAAGGTGATTAAAGACAAAATGTCTGCAGGATGATTTCTTAAGACCCTGCCCTTCCCCCGAAAGGAGAACAAAATCCCGGAGGCAAGTCTACTGATCGGCGATTGAGGGCGCCATTCACTTTACACGGTGTGCCGTTTTATTTTCGCTAACGCGCGGTGCTTATTTTGATCCCGTAAAAGTTGTTACGATTTCGCGCTGCAAATATCGTCGTTCGACTTCATTTTACATTTGCAGCTGAAGAATGGGAACCAGACAATGGAACTTTCATGGACAGAGCGCAATTAAAGATTTATGTTAAAATATAAACGGTACCTTTTAGCAGACACGGTGAGGGAAAATTTTGCAAGTTTTGGAAAACGTTAATATTTATTAAAATCGTTAAAAGTCCCGAAAGACACAACATTTTTTAATCGTCCTTTTTATACAACTTGGTAGAAAATCCTTGATGACTGGTGAACTGGATAAAAATCGCCACTTAAAGGAGTTTTGACACTGTAAAAAGAGAAAATTCCCATGCCGCGATAATAGGGATGCCGCGATAATAGGGAGTCCGAGTATACATGGTCTAGCCCCACTAGTGTGGCCGTCGGTATGCTACGCTGAACCTCTGCGCAGCATACCGACAGCCACACTAGTGGGGCTAACCAGTGTCATGTTATTAATTTTTTGATCAGCTTTAATATATTTGATTAGTTAGATCAGTTAATGGTTAACATGGTATATAGTTAAATTAGAGTTGTGAACATTTTAATATTACTCGTATGTGTATTTTATTTATAACAAAAATTACCTTTGTTGTGTCATTTATTTTTAGATGAGCAGCAAAGTGAGGAGTACAAGCGCATTAACCCATTCCAAAAAGTTCCTACCATACAAGATGGTGATTTCAAGCTTACTGAAAGGTGATACAATAGCAAGAGAATAGGGAAAAAAATAATAAAAATAATGATAATAAAAATAATAAACAGAATATTAACGTTTTTATATTTTTTTATATTTTTTTTTTTGAGGGGAGGAGACAGATTGATGGTTCTCTCTGCTCCGTATAGATGCACACATAAGTGATTTGTGAATTTACAATAAATACATTATGATGATCGATACAACCAAAATTGCTTTCAATGAGCTCCACAGATTCCTATAAATTTACAATTTTGGCAGAAAATAAAAGACTAGGCAATCCTAGTATTAAAGCTGGTCCCAGAGTCCACAAAATTCCGTATCAATTGATTCAGAATGGTTATTCACTGAAATTCTTTTTGCGCTTTTGTGTGTACATAATTGGCCAGATTTAGCCCATTCATTGGCTTACCAGGGTAATCCTATATGATAGCACTGCCCGGCTCACTTTAGTTGGAGAGGTAGAAATGGGACTACAGGCTGGCCCTCTGAGACCAGCACAAAAAATGTGGACATGTCCTCATCTCAAGTGCGAATTAATAAGACTGAGGTTTTATCGTTGTTCTTTTTTCCAACAGTGTGGCAATTTTGCAGTATCTGGCAGAAAAGTACAACGTTCCCGACCATTGGTATCCGAAAGATTTGCAAGCTCGCAGCAAAGTGCGAGAATACATGGCGTGGCAGCACATGAACACGCGCATGCACTGTGCGACTGTCTTCATTCACGAGGTAGACTGCCAGCATATTCCCTGCTTAAAAGTTTCATGATCACCTTGTATTTTCTTTTAAAATTATAGGCAGCAGAAGACATTGCAGGTACTTTGTACTTATCAAGTTTCAAGTTTTATTACACCTCATACATATTTATGAGACGAATAGGCCTCTCTCATTGGTCGATGCTCCAAGGGGATGGACTGTGGTTGATTACATCTTTTTTTCACAGTTAACTTGAAGGTCATTTGAAAAAGCTTGTCACTTGACTTGAGTTAACTTGTGATAACTTGTGATCGATCTGCGATTGATTTATGATGAATTGTGATGACATGTGATGACTTTTCACAGACTTGGGCTTATGTTGTGATTGACATGAGTGAATAAGAATCTGAATAAATTTCCATCTCAATAAGATTGAAATGAAATGACATAGAATATACATAAGTTTGAATGGCTTGATTTTTCTGGTAGGTGATTCTACCCAGAGCAACTGGAACACCCCCTGATGAAGACGAACTCAAGCAACACGTCAACACAATGCACACCACACTGACGGCCATGGAGGACGTGTTTCTGAAGGACACGCCCTACCTCTGCGGAGACAAAATCAGCATCGCCGACTTGCTCGGAATCTGTGAGGTAAGAGACCAATTCATTAAAGCCCCGCCCACTGCGCGCACGTGGACAACAAAACAAACGCCTCTCAATCGCTGTACATATCATGCGTAAGTGCGCGCTTCTACGACTGTCTTCAGCAATCATGGCTGTGATTGGTCAATGCATCATGTGGGCGGAGCTTAATAAATCGGTCGATCTCATGATACAGCAAATAATGCTTAGCAAAATTTTGAATGCTAATCAAAAACGCAACGAGTACCATGCAGTCCAAGTTATATGCTTTGCATGAAATTTTGGCTGTTAACCCATTTTTGCTCAGCAACATTTTATTTCAGCTCATAGCAAATTAGCAACTGGCCCCTGATTGGAAGACTTTTATTGTATCTAGGTGGAGCAGGTAGTAGCGTCCGGAAGAGTGGTCACTGCAGGCCGACCAACGCTTCAAACGTGGACCGATCGCGTCAAGACAGACCTCGCCCCCCATTTTGACGAAGTTCACAGCCTCATGCACAAACTCAGAGACAGGAGCAAGAAAAACTAACAGCCGCAATCTCACATTGCACAAAAAAGAAACAATGAACAAGTAGTTACAAATTCCTGAAGTCGCCGTTTCTCGATTGCCGTACACAGGTGTTGCAAGTCACGGCATCGGGACGCAACGTCACCGCAGGCCATCCGAAACTCGCAGCCTGGATCGAGCGCGTCAAAGCGGACCTGAGCCCGCATTTCAACGAGGTGTTTGTGCTGCTGAACCGGGTGCGGGACAAGAACATGCAGGAGAAAGCTCCACCGGCAAAACTGTAAAATCGCATCATCCTTTAGAGAGAGTCGAAATAAAAATCTATGATCACGTCATGACCAGATTCCACTCATGTTCATCAATTTGTCATCACTCACGCTCCAACAGCAATGGCTCTGTGTAGGATCTGTAGAGGGCGCACTTTTGGCTTACTAAAGTGTGGGTGCTGCTCAAGATTTTAAGGACCTGTCTCATATCATATCCGGGACGAGTTCCGGACAAGTTGCGGGTAGAATCATTCACTTTGTCCGGAAGAAGCTCTGCATTTGTCCCAGACATGTTCCAGGGAAATTTTCATTACCAGCTGCTTGACTCATTGATACTTCAAACTTCATTGCAGGAAGATTCATTGTTAAGAATCCTGCAACTTATAAATAATACAATGTCTGGAACTTGTATCCGGAAATTGTCCCAGATATGACTTGAGAGGGGCCCTAAGGCACTTACCAAGTGTGGCCCAATGCATGATTCTCATTAGGAAATATGGTTGCAGGGCATGAGCCAAAATTTCTTGCTACATGTGAACTATTCACACAGTACACACATTGTATTCTGCTTTTAATGGAAATTGTGATTATGAGGTAAATATCAATCAAAAAGAATAAGGGTAAATGAAAACATGATTCAATAAATGTTGGCCATTTTCCAGCCAATAAGAACATGTACCTGGGGCCAATGGGCGCAACTACTGACCAAGGGATGACCTTATTAATTAAAAAGATGTGGATTTAATTTAAGGTCATCCCTTGGTCAATAAGTGTGCCTATTGGCCCTACCAATGTTCTTATTGGTAGTATGAGACTCCATCCAGGGACACACTTAAGCTTATGGTATCATGTTATAAGCAACAGTTTATATAATTTTCAAATCTATTATCCAACTTCATGTGAATATTAGTTCATGTAATATGATAAACATTCGAATTTGCTGTTTGATTTCAGCGCGTTTGTCCAAACAAAATTGCCATGTATGTGTTTTGTAAAGAATTCATGTAATTACTGTCAAATATTTTCTTTAAAGTTTGTAATAAATTATGAAACTTGAGAGAAAATCATTTCTGACGATGAAGACTTTGTTGTTACTTGTATATAATTAAGTTAAAGAAATTACCAAGCCCTTTTCCAGTTTTATATTTTATTAACGTGAATTGTTCCAAATATTATACATTAGGCTTTAAAATTATTGAAAAATATTTGAATACTACTACGCTGGGATATTTAAAAGCTCAAGAATTTCAATTTTTACATGATGATATTCTGACAATAAGTGGTTGGGTCACTGCAATTAAACTGTTAGTGAGGTATGCATGATTGAGTTCAAATGAATACCTTAAGAATCTCCGTCCCCAGCATGTGCATTTCTAAACCAAACTTCCAACACTTTTTTTTAAATTTTAAAAAATCCATGAACATCACAGTCATTTGTGCAAACTCCGTTTTCATCCCAACTTTGAAGAGCATAATATTGCATAAAAAAATTGAGCAAATAAAAATAAAGTCATTAAAACAATACATGTCATCTTCCAGCTGTTATTAAAAAGTCATCCAATAAGCCCCCCAAAAAAGTCACCGGTTTCTGGTATGGAGCTTGCCCAGAAAGTGGTGCGGCGCCGCGGCATTTTTTTTTTTTTTTTTACCTTTTTTCCCCTTCAAATGTCGGCTGATGACTGCAAATGGTGCCCGACTAAACCTAGTACAAATATATGGGAGTCCAAAGAGGCCACATAAAGCTTATTCTCAATCATAACCCCATCTAAAAAAAAATCGTTAAAATTGTGCAGCAGCAGGATTCCAGTCAAACCAGTGAGTTTGGCGGTTTTGAGACATCATCTTTCATTAAAAAAAAAAAAATTCATTTTGCCGACGCGCATGGCTACGGCGACGCGCGCATACCAGAAACCGGAGACTTTTTTGGGGGGCCTTAAGAAAATGACTATTATTTCCAAAGATTCTTTTCAAGTTCTAAACCCTACAAAAATAATTTACATATACACAAAATGTAGACCTCTACTTTTCACATATCTCGAGGAAATCATTAGTTCTTTCTCAAACAGAACATGAAATAATGTAGTGCATCTGTGCCGAAGGCTGAGTGGTATATATTGGACACAGACGTACTACGTTTTTCATGCTGCACAAGTGCAAGAATGATAACAAATTTATCTTCACACCTAATTTATCTTCATGCAAACTTGTCGCACAGAAACAATGCAACGCTGTAATATCCTATAACAGGTGTGCAGCAGGAAAACTTGCAAGTCGTATACCGTATTGGCATTGGACTTTTTTGGGTGAAAACTAACAGAGACTGTTGTCGGCTTATAAAACCAAATTAAGTCCAGTACGGCAGTAGGTAAACTTCCTAAATTGTTGATTGTCTACTGTTGTTTTTAAGTTTTACGCTCCGCAACTGCAAGTTTTACAGGGCCAACTTGGTCACGGAAGAATTGCATTGTTAGTTTTAAGTAGCAAATTACTCTCCACACGCCAAAATTAAACCAATGGGGAACGCACGTTAGAATAACCACAATGGAATGTTAGTCACTCGCAGTCACTAAATCCAATGCGAAAGCGGCTTAAGAGTTTCTTGTGATCCATGCTGTGCAGTACAAATTGTGAAACACAAGATATTACCACCCCATTGTTGCCATGGATTGACCAATAGGGATCAAGAATTCAAGTTTACTGGAAGATAACGTTTCTCAGAGCTGCTTCGGTAGATTTCTGCGTGTAGAGATCTTTCAGCTGCCAATTCAGTCCCAATCCACTAAGACTGTGAATTTGTTTTCTCACAAACTTGATGAGAATATCTTGGGTATGAAATTATGTACGTGACTGGCAAACCTTATATTGAAATTCACATTCAAAAGGGTCTTCTGTACAGAACAAATGTTTATTTAAAAAAAAATTATGATAGAGTTGATTTTGTATGCTGAGAATTTGCCGCAGAGTTTAATTTAGGGACACATCAGAGATGCTTCTTGTGGTGTCGTCGCTGCTGTCCGACAACCGACAAATCTTTGAGGAATCGTTGCTTCCGCTGGAGTTCTCTCCGTTGATATCGTCACTGTTTTTGTCGCGAGGCCTCTTCTTTGACATTATCTGTAAACATGTTTAAAAGAAAAGGGAGGTATGTCGGAGATTTGGTGCTTAAAATAGTACATCATAAAATGGTACATCACAATGTTGGGTAAAGGCAAAACCTTGCCAAGATGAGCTAATGCCCTAGTTAAATTTTGAGTGCTTTTGGCATGGAGTAGTTATTTAGTTAAATTCCCTAAGCATTTTTGCTAGGATGTTACCTTAATCCTGTAAAATTCTCCAACTGCCTTCAGGTAAAAATAGCATACAGCGTCAATTCTGCAAAATCCTCTGATTATTTCTTGAATGTGGTTCTTGGAGGGGTGACCACTGCCTCAATCCTGCAAAATCCTCCGGCAATCACTGTCAATATGTTGAGGCAGAGCCAGTGACATCCTGGAGCAGTGCGGAGGATTTCAATTATAATATAGGCCTAAATTAGTATATTTACCTTTATTTGGGGCGGGGGCATCTTCTTGGAAGGCGGGTACATGAGATTTTCCACTATCTCTTTCATCTTCTGGTCCTTGAGCCAGGGATGATCCAGCGCGCTGTGCACGGTGAATCTGCGATGTGCGTCGACTGTTAGAAGCTTCTTAATGAGGTCCATAGCTGAACATAAGCAAACAATTTCAAATTTAAATTTGAGAAAAGTGCAGCGTGCATTAAACTTTGCACCATCTCTTAAAGGTGCATATTTGCTGCAGATTGCATCAACTTGGTGCTTTTGGTTGCTTTGAATGTTTGGGTCGCAATAAATCCACATCTTACACTACAGAGAAAATGTAAAACAAAAAAAAGTTGGTTTGTTTACCCAAGGGTGAGATTGGGGAAAATGAAAAAATCCACTAAACAATCAGCACGGCATTCGAGGGCCTGAGACCAATTTTGGGTCGATGGTATACGTTCGTGTTTGCCTATCAGCACCCCTTAAAATACCCATTGCATTTGTTCTATGTAAACTTTTATAAATAAAAACACCTTTACTGTAAAACCTCTGGAATTCAAAAGGGTTCTTTAAAAATTCTGAAATCGGGAAAATCGAAACAAAAATTCCTGAAATCAGGAAAATTCTGCAATATCTCACACACTAGACTGGTCCTCCAAGATGGCTGCTGAATGGAAAAGGTCTATAAAAGCTCTCACCTTCGTCCGAAACTCCTTTCCAGAATTTTGCGGGGAAACTGTAGTACCCTCTCTTGATCTGGTCGTCTAGTGGCATAGCGGTGACCTCTTCAGTAAATGGTGGATAGCCACCAAGGCTGATGGAATAAAAATATAAAATTTCACACTTAACGTGAACCTGCGATCTCCGGATTGACGTTCCAGTGCTCTACCAACTAAGCCATCCAGCCCTATGTTAGCGCTTGAGTGGCAATCCTGAGGTCGCAGGCTCAAAAACCCGCTCCAGTCAATTTCTTTGTTCAACTTTTAAAAGAAATTACATATAATTTAGTGTAAAGGTTCATTTCATAGCCAGTTAAAAGAAAGTGGAAACAAGTGTAAATCTTACCAAATAAATAGAATAACTCCCAGACTCCAGCAGTCGACGCTTTTTCCGTAGCCAGTCTTGCCGGCTTTGGTCAAAACTTCTGGGGCAAGATAGGTGGGGGTGCCGCACAGCGTCTGCATCAGGGATTTCTCGCCCAGGAACTTGGATAGGCCGAAGTCGGTCACTTTGATCAGCGTGTGGCTTTCATCGTTGTTGAGGAGGATGTTCTCTGGCTGTTGTCCAGAAAAAAACCAAGGAATCCAGAAACGAATTAACACAAGGTATTGTTCTCTGGAAATCTTTAACTGAGTATATTTTTTGGTGATAAACTTGACACAATACTTACTTTTAAGTCTCTGTGAGTGATGCCGTTGTCATGGAGATACTTCGTCGCTAGCAGCATCTGATAGAAGAGGACTTTCGCCGTCAACTCGTCAAACTTTTTGACCGAGATGACCCTGTCAAACAGCTCACCGCCCTCGACTCTGTAAAATCCAAAGAAATTGTTTGCTGTTGCATCTTGTTGGATTCAGCAGGGTTAGGGTAATACTCTGCTTCATGCACTGATTTTTGTATACTGACAACAAAGTGCATATGCCTATTGCCATGCACAAATAAGTGAAGCTACTTCCAAATCACTTTTTGGGCCCCCAATGGCCGCCGCTTTGCACCTTCAGCACATGTATTACAGAGCACAATACATGTATCAAGATTTTAACACACAAATTTGTATAACTTTTAGGCCTCTCAAGATGGCACCGTCTTGACTTCAGTCTGTGATTTCTCAACCGCATTCATTCCATATGTACATGTACAGTACAAATGCACAATATCAAGATTCAACACACAGAGTTGTATGCCTTTGAGGCATCTCAAGATGGCATCATGATGACTTCAGCCTAAGATCTCAATGCACTGTACAGTCAGAATTGAGATCAGTTTTATTACAGAATAAGCTAACACAAACACCGAGGTTAAATTATCATGCATGCTATCCCCTGAAAATGTTTCTTAATAACCTGTATTGTTTTAAGGTAAAGGTAAAATCATCACCAAAGGTATAGCAACACTTTTCACAAAAATATGATTTTTGTTTAGTTCATAGATGTTGAAGATCGTACTTACAATTCTAGAATGATGTACAGTTTATCGTCTGTGTGGCAGACGTCTTCAATGGCTATGATACACGGCTGAAAATATACAGATTTGAAATTTTTACTACACAATGTTCCACCAAGCATTTGCCTAAATGTGACAATTTTTCAAGTTCAAATGTGGTTTTTTTTGCATATGGACGTGCACGCACTGGTAAACATGCACAATGATGCAATGTATCCATGGTTAATTTTATTCTCAATTTGACTCATGATCAGAGGGTCAGGGGTTCGAATCCAGCTGCTGGTCATATGTTGTGTCTTTGGGCAAGCCACTTCACCTCTATTTGCCTCTCTCCATCCAGGAATATAAATGGGTGCCAGCATTAGCTGGGGAGTAACTTGCTATGGACTGGCATTAAATAGAAATATTCTCAGTCATGTCAGATAAAAAATGCTGGCTGGGCCATATTGGTTCCTGACAGACTTTACTTACTTAAATATTTTAGCTTACATGCAATACCACATAAATACAAACGACTTTAGATAAATTTTTAACAAACAATTGATGTCAAAATCTTCCAGAAACTGAATTCAACGACAAAAGCCAAGGAAACTTACATGATTTAATGCTTTCAAAATGTTGACTTCCTCCATGACCGTTTTCTCCATATTCTAAAATTTAAACATAAAAAGAAAAAAGTACATTGAATGCGCACACAATCAATTAAGCTGCCATTTGTTTAGAAATGAAATTAATTTTTATTAAAAAATATATTATATATTTATAAAAAAAAAAAAAAATTCCAAAATGGCAATTGTTTTTTTTTTTTTTGGGGGGGGGGGTTTGAAACTATATAATATAGTTTCAAAAATTCCCCCCCCCCCAAAAAAAAAAACAATTGCCATTTTGGATTTTTTTTTTTTTTTTTTTAAAGCTATTCGATTAGATTGATCTGAAATATATACAAATTGCAAAGGTTAGTTTGATGTTTTGGTTTCAGCAGGAGTTTCTCAAAGGAAAGTTGTCACTTATGCATTTGTAAAATATCCTACTAGCATCAAAATGTCAGGGCTGCTATCTCTTGTGATTTGAATTTTGTTCTTGACATCAACTTACGCTTAGCATAGACCCTCCAATGGAGAATGTTTTCTTCTCAATGATTTTGATGGCAAACTTTTCGCAGCTACCCTTCTTGAAAGCTAGCCTTACTAAACCGCACGCTCCCCTGTCGATAAAAAAAATGTGGCAAAGTGAACATGCTTATTTCAAAGTAGCATTATCAACATTTATAAAAATTAAACTGTTTGCAATTGATATCTCGTTCTTTTCTTCACTTCTATAATTGTAAAAGAAGTGGCCAAACTTAGGCCACCAAAAAGATGACTGCGTTACAGTTACCATCCAAACTCGCTTCCCCAAAACGATATGCATACAAGAGGAAACGTAGATAAATATTTGACAAGCCAATGAAATCTGAAAGCCATTATTTGTTGAAAAAGATAATCTTAATAAAGAAACAACCCCCTCCCAAAAAAAATGACGTCCCTCCACAAAAATAAATCAATGGTTTTCTATGTTTATGTGCCATTACGAAGGAATAAAAAGAACCCCCTTGCTTTTCAGAAGGATGTTTAAACCTTTTTTTTGCGCCGACTTTTTATTTTACCTTTCTTCTAATTTTTACACACACAAAAAATCCACATGTTTATGACAAGTAGAAAAAGTTATTTGCAACGTGAAATTGCCATCAATGTCCAACACTATTGATAGGCATGTTTGGATTATCTAAAAACAAAACAGGGACATCTAAAAACTAAAATGTGTTCTGAATTTTATTAAAAAGTTAACCTCGCTGATTTTCAGTATTTGTTTCAAAGCTTATAAGACTTAAATGGCAGAAATGTAGACGTACCTTCCTAGTACTTTGGACATGATGTATTTCTCCCTCATAATTTCTGGCAAGTCTTCTTGTTCGGTGTCACTGCTGCTGTCCATGAACACATAGGCTGAAATCAAATCATAAAACAGTCAATTTCTGCGTGTGGAAATCTTGACTTAAAGGGAAGATACAACCGTCAACCCCGAGATTTGTCTCGTGTGAGAAGGCCTTTAGCTAATTTCTCCTTGGCTTTTTAAGTGAATTTTGATAACATTATTCTGTTTTATTGACTGAAAAAAATCCTGTACATTTAAACTACAATTATGTAATCAACTTTTGAATTCTGTACCTTTATTTTTGGGAAGTGACAAGGCAATCTCATCATTGTTTTTAAGCGGCGATTTCCTCCCTTTCCCGATTTTTTCCCCATTCAGGAAAGTGCCGTTGGAGCTGTAGTCTTCGATGAAAACAAAGACACTGCTGTTCTTCTTCTCCTGTTGATAAGTGTGTCAAATATCAGTCAGTGACTGGGATTAATGGCAGAAGCATTGTAATGTTGTACAATTCTACAAAACAACTACTGCCCAGATTGGTCTAAAACTGACCCACAAGTCTTCTAAATCTCACATCATGAAAATGAAAAATAACATTGCTTGAAAGGTTGCTGCTAAAAAGAGAAACCTTGTATATCCTGAAGTGTCTCTTGCTGATGGCTTGGAAGCATGGATTGTTGACCATCTGTTGGGTGCTGTAGGCAACGTCGCAGGACGAGTCTCGTCCAAAGATGTACTCATCTTTAGGCTGATCTCGCGTCTCCTTCAAGTCTACAGGAATTAAGAAACACACATAAAAGTCATGGACTTCATTTGTATTAAAAATAAGGAGATATCCTTCCAAATCAATTTTTTTGAAAAAAAATATTTAGCACAATATTTTTGTAATCAAGATCAGTCATAAGAGTGTAATCAAGCATTTATACATTGCATAAACACATGTACAATCCATTATTATCAAATCATAAATGCATACATTTTTTTATTAATATCTAGCCCAATTCCAATTTAAAATTGCAAAGAAAATTGAAACCAACATACTGTACTGTGCTATACAGCTAGACATATTTCATGTTTAATTTCCAAAGAATCATTTGGTTCATGACTTCATGTTTAAAAATAAATTATGTGCAGAAAGCATGGGCCAATCATCAAAAAAAAATTGTAACAATTTTTACAACACATTATCTTCATTTTGGTCAAAGAAACCACTTGAAAACACCCACACACATAAATGTAGTACAGCATGTACACATTAAGTGATAAAAGGCCATGTTTGTTTATCTTGCAAAAAAAAATAATTTGATCACGAAATTCATTCACAAAAAAATACCCACCCACAGCCGAAAAAGTCTTCCCAACGGGCAAAAGCCGGCCCCACACGATCTCCGGATTTTCCTCGACCTCGTCGTGGTAGTCAAAGTCCCCGTCCACAACGTCTTGAGTCGGTAGGGTTTCCATGCTGGAGACGGTTCCCGCGGAACTCAGCGAGCTGGATGTGTTGTGCGAGTTGGTCTGGCTCATGGCCGCCGTGCTCACGCCGCGTTACACCGTACAGAAGCTGGGTCAGGGGCCGCTGGGTTGATGATTCACTCGATGTCACGCAACGTCACGGACAGCGCGGCAAATTCAAGCTTCCGTAAAACATATGTCCGTCGGTGCACTTACACGTGAACTTGAAGGAAAAACACAGAAGATACACATTATGACTAATTCTACTACAAAATGAATGTTTTTGTCTCAGATAATTGCAACATCAGAATATTATAAAATTAGAAGGGGCGAGAACTCGCAAAGAGCGGGCCGATCGTTGAGGATCTAGGAGGAGAGGTCGTGGGTCGAAGTTCGTTCAGGGATGGTCCAATTTTGCCCTCAGTTTCTATACCTAAAAAACGGATAAAAGGCAAGTTGAATGTATGAATGAAATTGGTCAAAGGGTTATCATTAAAATGAGGTCATATATCTCGAAAGTAAACTCAGCAGAAGACAGATAGGCACCATTACCGAGCAAGACAACGGCGCATGGGCCCATTCAACTTTGAAGGAGGCGCCATGGTAAACTAAAAATATCCACACATCGGTCCAGTTTTTATTTCGTATTTTCACACAGATTTATAGGTCGTCACGGGCTGCTAATGCCACAGCCTGAAGACTAATGTATATAGATTAATAATCATTTGAAAACTTGACAATCGGATAAATTTTTGTTGATGAAATCTTACATTACAATGAACTTACGAGTTTGATAAGTCACGCTTGCATCTGAGGTTGGTATGCGCTGAGCGCATAGTACAAGCACGTACTTGGGGTGCATGTACTGTATGTATAACACGTGCATGCAATTTTAGAGTTCAACCCGGTCATCAGTCGATATCGCGATATCATGGCAGACAGCTATTCCACTAATTCGTAGGGGGGCGAATTATTATTAAAAGAGCTATACTGTCCTTAAAATAATTATAAACTTATCTGAAATTATTCTTAAAAGTCAAGTAATAGGTTTTATTTACTGTAGAGTTGAATATCAAAATGAGATTTTGAAAGTCATGTCTGTGTGCAAATTTGTAAAGATTGGACACTCCCTTTTTTGTGCAATGGAATGAGCGACGGTGCCACGAGCTAGCTAGATGTGAACTCGATGTGACAGTTCATGCCTAGTCTGCTAGTCTCCTACCAATACATTTTTTTTTTACTGAAAAAAAAAGTGAAATCGAGTTATTTTTACACATCTTAACAGGTGGCGGCAATGGAGGTGTAAGTATTCTTCATAGAGTGAAGATCACAGTAGAATATTTTATGTTAAAGCCTAAATTAAGTGAATAAAAATATTCACAACCGCCTCAACACGTCACCGCGTGTGTGAAGTAGAAATTGTTGCTAGAGGGCGCTCTTTGGGTTATACTGTTATTATTATTAAATGTTACGTAATAACGTAGACAACACAGTTTGTAAGGAAAACATCATGTAACTCTTATTTACGGCTGAAATTTCTATGCACTGGTCTTTGTGTCTCAATTTGGAATAGTGGTCGTAACGTTGCGACTGTGAGTACATGTACAAATGTATAACATTTCTACGTTTCCTTATTTAATTTAAAGAAATTTCTTGCAGTTGCAGCCTCCCTATACATGCTATATAAAGTATTGTAAGAAAAATCAACATTTTTTGTTTATTTATTAACTTTCTTTTCAGTGTGGACGGAAATGCAGCAATGCTTAGCAACTATGAGGTACGGAAACACAGTAGCACATACCAGTAATGTATTTTTAAAATTCATTTTCACCTTTAACTTACGTCATTTTCTTTGAGAACTTTAGGGCTTTTCTGAGAATTCTTTTTCTTCCAAATACACTTTTTCATGTAATGTAATTTTTATGTTCAAATACAGTCACACAGTATAAATTGGTAATTTTATCATTTTTTTCCCTGCCAGGTTTACTCTCTTCTGACTGAGCTTCAGTCGAAAAGCAGTCAACAGAAGAAGCCCAGTAAAACACAGCAGAACTTGGCTACAATCTCTTACGAGGTAAGAAATTCACATAATTATTGCAGTTTATCATATAACATTTGCTGGGGTTCAACGGGAATGCTTGCCCATGTGTGAGAATACAGTCACGGTGGAATATTGCTTGTTCCAATTGAGTCTTGTTCCAACGGAAGTGTCCCATTAAGAAAAGAAATGTTCCAGAATAATGAATTGTTCCAAAAAGAGCAGAAGTTATGAGACACTCCGTAGCCTTTACCCTCCTGGGATTTTTGCTTGGATTCTCTCTGAATCAAACAAAATCCTCCACCCTACAGCGAACCAGTGGCACATTTATTGCATCAAACAAGTGAGGTAAAGATGGCCGAGCTCTACTTTCTTCAATCCTGCAAAATCTCTCAAATCGGAAGAATCTGGGCCGGGAGGGTTAGGGCTAATGCAACATTTTGTGAAAACAAACACTTCATGTTCATTAACTTTGCTCTATTATTTTTGTGTTCCACAGACCTCCAAGTACCTAGAGAATACGCCTTGTAAAGATCAGAATGCAACATGCATCAAGAAGTTCATGACATCAGTAGAACAGTTCAACATTACCAAGTAAGAAAATCACTCCAATTCTTGGTTCTTGGTTTTTGGTTGGTTCATCTCCTAAACACTCCGCGTGGGAGTTTATACAGGAGGCCAGAAACACAGGGGCAAACCCCTTCTCTTAGCGACAAGTGTCACTGGGTTCTTTTAAGTGCATTGGAATACACAACACACGGGACCTATGGCTTTACGTCCCATCCGAAGGACGAAGCAATAATGGATAAGTGCCTTGCTCAAGGGCACAAGTGTCCACCCGGCAGGCTCGAACCCACGCCACCATTGCCTCTGAAACACCAGAGCATGAGTCCGGCGTTCTTAACCGCTAGGCCATGACACTCCAATCCCAGTAGGTTAAAGACATTTTTTGAGGTGTTACCACACTCGTACAAAAACAGCCAGTTCTCTTCAACCTTTATAATTGCCAAATTCACAAGCCTCTATTAGGGCCCGTCTCAATTCATATCCGGGACAATTTCGGACAAGTTGCGGACATTGCATCGGGTATAAGTTGCAGGAATCTGAACAACTTCCCTGCAATCTTCCTGCAACGAAGTTATCAGTATTGGTGAGTCAAGCAGTTGCTAATGAAAATTTCTCCAGAACATCTCCGGAACAAATGCAGAGCTTCTTCCTGACAAAGTGAATGATTCTACCTGCAACGTGTCCGGAAGACGTCCCGGATACGAATTGAGACGGGCCCTAAATTAGTAATTGCAGAAACACTTCAAGCCGTAAAGAAAGGTTGGCCATTTTGTAACAACAAAGTTAAGTTTTTTAGAGACCTACTTTAAAAAAGTTTGTCATGGACAAACGTGGATTCGTATTGCTGTTCTGAATACAATTTTACTCTGTTTTGGTATTTTTAGGGCTGAGAAACTACAACTTCTGAACAACAGACCCTGCACTGCCGTAGAGATTCAATTGGTAAGAGTGCTTCTTGTATGTGACAATTTTCTAAAAGAAACTGGTGAATCGTACTGGGAAAAATGACTGTTTTTGTTTTTAATTTTTTTTTAGATGATTGAAGAAAGTGAAGAGCGACTGACAGAGGAACAGATTGAACAGCTGCTCGACATCATTGCGAATGTGCTACCAGGGGGTGACACAGCGGAAGAAGAGCAGGAAATGGAAACGGAAGAGATACCCGCTGGGGAATGAAGGGGCAATATAACAGGGGGTGACACAGTAGAATAAGAGCTGGGAATGGAAACACAGATACCACCTGAACGGACTACCAGGGGTGACACAGTTAAAGAAATTTTGGGAAAGGAAATACAGGAGATTTGTGCCGGAAAGTAAAAGTACCGGAGATTTGTGCTGAGAATGGAGAGAAGATGTAACAGGGGGTGATACAGTTATATAAGAACTGGGATTGGAAACAGAAGATGTGACCTCGCACTTATTGTCTCGTGATGAGGGCCACTACTTATGCATTCAGTGTTGAAAATCCAAGGCACATTTTCAGTTGCTGCAATCATTATGTACATGTATAAAATAAATATAGTTTACGTGTAAATGAGATGTATATTAAGTTGTACATAATAAATCATTCAAATAAAGAATGTTGTACACCCTTGAAATACACTGACTTTTTGTGTGTGACTTTTTTCCTGACTCTTCCACATGGTTGTACATAGCTGAGCAAAAATGTGAAGAAGGGGCAAAAACCTAAAAGTCACCTTGTTTTATTGTCGAGCTTAATTATAGCTACTCCATTGCTCTAGGTTTTTTGGGTATGTCGATCAATACTACATGAGGCACTAACCACTGAGAGAAAAATAAAGTGGAAGTTCTATTTAATTATGTCCCTTTTGTCCCTAAACCATATACTTTTAACTTGGAAAAACGAAGTACACATAGCATGTATTCTTTTAACTGATTTTCAAAAACTCCCGCTGGAAATGAAACGGCGACTGTTAAGTTACTTAATATAGGTCAGGTCAAAGTTCAGGGGTCGATTACCGGTACCGGCGATTGTTCGAGAACGCAAAAACGTGCGACAACAACATTAAGATTTTTCCAAGGAAAACATTCGAGTCAAACTACAGAAGTTCTATTGATCATAACTTCGCAATAATGCCTCGTGGTGGAAGAAGTCGTGGGCGATCTTTTTCGCCCGTCAGGTAAATAAACTGAGGATTTAGAAGACAAAATGATGAATGCTTGTGTGAGCACTTTTCGAGCAGAAATCTCCATCATGTCCATGGATCTGCCGATCGAGTGCTGCATGCTGATGTAACTTTCCAATAGCGTTGCGTGCGGCATGCGATATGCGGTCGGTATGCCGTTGCTTGGTCATGTTGGTCGCTGTTGCACGGCAGCTACTAGTAGCGTAGTAAAACTTTGGAGAAAAAAACAGTGGCGATGCTACATGTTCACCCTATTTTCTTAATATGTTGACAATGACATATTATTTCAATGTAGCCAGTCGAAATGCAAATTTTATTGAAGAGAATTTTTGAAAGTAAAACTTTATTTTTATGATTTTTGTCATGTTTGTGTAAAGAATTGTCTTCTTTTACTTAGTTTAGTTTTAGTTTTATTGTTTTAAATAGAATCCTAAATTACAGAATGTTTTCATCTATTTTCTGATTTGTGGGCTGTGGAAGATTTTTTTGTAAAGGGAAAAGTCCGAAATTGCAATAGGTCTGACTCTCGTCTCCTGAATACGAAGTCACAACGACAGTGTAAGCGCGGAACCAGACAAAGATTCTTCGCAATAACAGTTCTAAGAGCCAAAAACAATTGCTTATGTTCAGCGCAGTTCCAATAGTACTAAGAGCGAAAACAATCGGCGCCAAATCATGGTCACTGAAATATAGGCCTACACTGCCTTTAAAAAACTAATAACAATATTTCATTTTTCAAATAAAATATTCATTCATTACATAAATAACTTTTTTTAATGCATTTCATTTCGATAAAATTGAATTTCGCATATGTTCCTAGACAGCATTCAGTTCTTTAATATAAAAAGATTACACCAGAGATATGCAGTGAAAAGCAATATTGAAAACCAAAATTCATGAACCAAAATTTAATCTAAAAAGTTACTGAAAAGTGATGAAGTTAATAAATTAAACCAATTAAAAAAAATTAAAAAGCAAAAACAAATTATTTATAATTAAACAAAATGCTGCTGTAAATTGCTTGCTGACTTTAATAACTGACCTGATTTTAGTTTTTCTTAAAGGCAGAAAAGGCATTTTTTTTTCCATTTAGATAAATGTTGGGATCGAAACTTAAGGTCCTGCAATGAGTGAAATTCAACGCTTTGAGTTTAAACTTCAAGGCATTTAACTGACATAATTGTATTCCCTCTAACCAACAGGCGAGCCCCAGCCCCAGCCCCTGCACCGCCACGCACCATGGCCAATCCCCCAGCCCCTGTGGCCCAGCGAGCTCCCGTCCCAGCCCAGGCCCAGCCCAGTGCAATGGCGCCCTCTCGTGGGCCCGGGTTGTTAGGCCAGATGGCTGCCACTGCTGGCGGTGTTGCCATTGGGTCTGCTGTGGTAAGGATATGTACAATGGCTCTTAGGCCAAGTAAAAAAAAATAACCAGTTTCTCATCCCCACCACTTGCTTTTTTCCTGTCTGCCTCCTTTTAATTGAAAATCATACATTGTCTTTTATGTGCTTCCAGCAAAATTGGAGCTATATCTGGAAGTTTAAATCTGTTAGAAAGGATGAAGGTTCATTTGGTCACAAAAGTATCAGCAAAAAAGTTGAGAAAATGGAAGAATCCGTCTTGGAAAAATTGATATCTTAGAAATTGTTTTGAAGGGACCATCTCCTCCCTTTTTCCAAAAAGCCAGAAGAGAAACTATTTCATTTGTTTACTTGGCTTAACAGTCAAGTTAGAGACAGTTATTTCATGTGTACATTCTGGAAAATGTGTTGGTAAATTTCTTTTTCATTCATAAAAGAAATTGAAGAAATGCCAAAGCTACATGTATGAAAGTTTTCTGACCGAGATCATGACTGCAGAAAATCATACGAATAGCAAAACCGAATGTCAGTCAATTGTCCTCTATTCACCTATGTTACTGACTGACTGTCTGTCATTTGTGGGCCGGGCAGTGCTCTTATATAGGATAACCTGGTAATGCCAGTGAGTGGGCTAAAATCTGGCCCATTGTGTAGACCAGATGCAGGAAAAGACTTCCAGTGAATAACCATTCTGAATCAAGTGAATAGACGTTTGTGTTCTCTGGGTCAGTTTTACTAAACAAATTGATAAATGTAATGCTTATATAGCGCTTTCCATCGTATCAATGTTCTGAAAACGCTTTACAATTATTACCCTGTTCATCAGGCAGCCACCCGGCAGCCGATATCAGGGCATCCTCTATCCTCACAGGTACCCATTTATACTCTTGGGTGGAGAGAGGCAATTGTAGTTAAGTGTCTTGCCCAAGGGCACAGATCCCATGTTCCTGGCAGGGTTTGAACCAACACGCCATCGTACATGAGTCCAACACCGTAACCAAGTTGTTCTACTAGGCTTACATTGTCTTTTTCTAACCTTTAGGGTCATACAATTGGTGCAGCCATGACAGGCGGTCATGGGCAGCAACAACCTGACGTCACTTATCAGGAACAACCCCCGATGCAACAACAGCAACCCTACCAGCAACCCTACCAGCAGCAGCAGGACTCGCTGCAGGGTGGAGGCTGCCGCTACGAGCTGCAGCAGTTCTTGAACTGTGCCCAGAGCCAGCACGACATCACGCTGTGCGAGGGTTTCAACGAGGCGCTCAAGCAGTGCAAGGTATCGCATGGTGAGTCTCCACAAAACCTGTCGGACAAGCACAAGTTGATGATCAAGAAGCATTTGTTTACCATTACCCCTCCTGCTATTTAAACAGTCACAGACAGTCAAAAATTCAATCCTCTTCCCTGCCATGCCTTTTACACAGGCTAGTCACCAACAGTCAGATCACATGTTAAGCAAGCACCTTGACTAGTCAAATTCAGTCAACAGACTTTAAGCAGGCAAGTTGTGGACACAACTGGGATATCAATCACCCACATTCAAAGCATAGCCGTATCAAGTTACATAAAGAGTCACAGCCAGTCAATCCTGCTTAATGTAGGCTGGGAGCTCTTAACTATTAAAAACAGTCACTTGATTGATTTTGACTGCAAGGACAACTTGGCATAGAAAGTTTGTTTGCATAGGAGGGTTAATTGCTTTTAAGTGAGCCTTGCTTCTGTAAAACTCTATTGAATGGCCCAAATTTAAACCAACCAAATTATGTCAAGATCCTTGCATGGATATTCTACTGGTTGGAAAATCACACTTTACTTTGAAAATTTCTGTTTGTAAAGAACAACACTGAAAATGGTCATTGTTCGCTTATTTCACTTATTGATATGGGCTCGCCACAGTGACTGTTTTTATTTTTGTTTATTTGTAGGTATTCAGTGACGATGCATCAAACCAGGCCAACTACAAATGCATTCAAGCCATGAAAGACCCTCAGATTTATTCATCTTCCAAGCTGCAGATAAGTTTACAAATTTCTCCGACAGAAACTTTTATTTCCAAGGCAGTAAATTTAAGACAAACATCGTTTTACTATACTTTGAATAGAGGCATGGTTTAACAGCAATGCAGAATGGCTGATGTATACATTTAGTTTGCATGACATGTAATGAAGAATTTCTCTCAACGATAAGATTTTTCCCCACTTTTTGGTTTTGGTTTTTTTTAGGGGGGGGTTTGAAGAATGAATGTTCCAATATAAGCAAGTTTTTTACAGGAATGTTTTGCAGAAATAAAGTGTATGTTTGGCAGTTTTCATCAGAATCTACATAATATTTAAAAACTTTTTACATAAAAAAATATACACCCCACATGAAATTAGTGAACTTTATAATTGCCACTGATTGCAGTTTTTATTATTTATCTCGGAATGTGTGTGATATTTTGGAGTTTAAGAGATTATTTTCGATTGCGCAAATTTACATAATTATTTTGTTTTCAAGTAGTACACTGTATTTAACTACATCCATATCTGCACAGAAATAGATTTTTTATGCATTCAGTAACGTTATGGTTACATGTACAATAACATTTTAGCATTTCGATGTTCTACAATGAATCTCCAAAGAAAAGAAAATGTACGACAGCAAAATATCCAACAATTTTGGCAAATTTTGATGCTGAACTAGCTGTTACATTGAGTTTTCTGCATGAAATGACGTCACACTTTTCTCTCAGGAATATACATATTGCATTAGTATAATAACCAAAAGGCACCAAAATTCCCTTAAAAATTGCAAAATGAAAATTGAAAAAGATCACAAAGGTGCATTTCCAAGGATTGCATTCAACATATTGCATTACATGGGCCCTTTAAACAAGTCTAACTCACAAGTGACAGTCAGTCAGTGAAAAAGTGAAAAAGGTATAAAAAGCACTGTCGGCTGACCAGCAAAGAAGAGAAAAAGAAGAGACAAGTAGTTTCAGAGAATTTTCCAAATATATTGAAACTCTACTTGCAGTTCAGGCGAAACAAACAATCCATAGACAATATCGTTATCATCCATGCTTGCTTTAACCTACCCGCAGATGTTTTCTGAGGTAATTTAATCGGCACAATTTATCATTATTGCAGATAAGAAAGATAGTGGACAATGTACAACCACAAAATGGGGAAAAGCTCTAAAGGCCATTTGTTCATCTTCTATTCTGTCGCTAATTTCCCTTTTTTTTTTTTACTTTGATCCATTTGTTTCGTTATTTTGTTTTTCTAAGGAAATTGATAAGGAAATCCTATCAGAATGTTTTTGCCGTTTTGTAATTAACCTAGATTTGCATTATGGAGACCACCTGGTTCAACAGACACTGTTTAAAATTCTTGTATTCTGCGTGTATTGTGTGCTGTTTGAAATAAAACCAAGTGATATTTTTAATGATAGAAATATATTTTCGTTTACAAGTTCTGTTGTTGTAATTCCTCGTTTAGTTAAATTACATGTAAATGCACACCTCTTTTATTATCTTTAGAATGGTTTGTTTCATATTTTTATTTGCTTGAACATATTCATTCACGGTGGAGGAATCATACTATATTTTCAACTTTTGGCCAAATGTTAAGGAACAGTTTTTCTGGCACATCTATCCTAATGCTAAATGTACACATGTTGCAGTTCCCAGGTGCATAATTGAAGCGCAGAAAATCAGGAATTTTAGTAAAGGCGAGGCAAGTCTAGTAAAGCTCGTCCTAGAGCCCAGAAAATTCTATTCAATTGATTCAGAACGGCTATTCACTGGAAATGTTTTGAATGCGTCTGTGTGCTACACAATGGGCTGGATTTTAGCCTATTTATTGGCGTTATGGGGTAATCCTATACAATAGCACTGCCCGACTCACATGTGACAGTCAGTCAGTCAGTCAGTCAGTTCGTGAGATACAACAAGGACCATAGGCTAGCTCTCTCCAATACCATTAAAACTTTTGGTTCAGGTTGATATATAGACTGGTTGCATATTGAATACATTTCTGGGTCAAGTTACTTGGAAACCGGTTGAAACCAGCATGACATTTATTGAGGAAGTACGGACTTGGAACATGATCAACTCTCTTCATTGTGGTCTGTGTATGCTTTTCAAAGTATGTGGAGATAATCTCCAGTTACAAAGTTGTTGACTTATTTACCGCCTTGGGCCTTTTTCACGGAAAATCCGTGTCCAAATTGTATTTCGGTGGTCGAGAAGGAAGTATCATTCAAAAAAATAATAATAATCTTGGTCCCACCATTTTACTTTTTTACTTCAGCAGCTTCGCTGAGTGGTGTCATTTCTAAATTTAACTTGACTTGACTTGACTTGACCTGTGATGCTGTTGACTGGGAAAACTTTTTCTCCCACAATGGGGAAAAGGAACTAGAGATTGTAGACAGTTGAGTCCCATTGCCACCGTGCAAAGGTGCAAAGTTTTTTTCATGCATGCATATGAGAATTGGTTATAAAACTGGTCGGCCGACCAGCGTTGGAAAAATGAACGTTTTCTTGTAAATGTCAGCCACGATTTTACAGGATGCTTTGGACTGTCATTCCCTAACAATCCAGTAAGGTATTTTGTGATAATTTGATCATTTCATTTTTTGATGTTTGCAAATGTTGTATCTTCCCTTTAAACACCCACCATCATGAAAGTTATGCAGGTACATGTAAATGTATAAAACGTGGTTTACTTTCTACTATCCATTATGCATTGCACATGTGTCTTTCTGAAAGATAAACACTAGAAAAGATTGGTTCTCTAAATATAGCATTCTGTCCTCCCAATCGTAATGTTGATCTTCAGATGATAAAATCATTTTTTTTCTCTATTTATATGTCTCCCTTGAAGAAAAAGTTACAAAAAAAGCATTGCATAAATTTTTGCATATAATTTCATTATATTGGCAAATATTGTGTGCAATTGATAATTGAAATCAGACAAAGATGGTTCTTGGACAAAGAAACGGGAATAAAACTAGAGTGCAATGAAATTTTAAAGATAGGAGCCAAAAAAACACTGATTCTTAGCTTCACTTTTGCCTTGTATGTAACGTCAAACTTAACACATGAAACGTTTCACACACTAGAACAATGTTCACAATAAGTTGTAGCAAAAGCGAATCAGAAATTTATTTTTCACTCACAAATAAAAGTGAACCTACTCCAATCGAGTCAAAAACGACTTTTGTTTTTGAACGAAGGAGCATGTAAATGAAAAAGAAACGAAAAAAGGAAATTCATGATATTAAACCAAAATTACTGAACTCCACACTCGACTTTCTAAACATCTTTTCTGTCCAGCAGAAGAGAAGTCATAAAATGTTAACAACAAAACATAAGCAATTCAGAACACCAATTTCACACTTGATAAAGTTATTCCAGAATAAAAATATATATTACTTTTTTTAGTCATAATTTTTCTGTTAGTAATTTGTAAAAGTGCTGTACAGTATTTACAAGACAGATCGAGGCAAGTCGGACTTTGTGAAAACGTGAAATGACTCATGATTCACCTTTTGGATGTATTCATAAAATCAAACAGTGGTGACATCATGTTCTGAACATTTTTTGTAGCAAATGAAATAAAATGTCATGTCACTGGTTCATCTAAAAGAACAGTTAGTCACAAGACTTCTACTGTTAAATTTTTAAGTGCTTTTAAATATGCAAATGATACACAATCCTTGTGTAAGATCAGTCTGTTGTGATAACAGTTACTCATTCTATTAATCTTTCCGTTTAGGGAAAAATCACTGCCTCTTTTTCAACATGCTTTTCCAATTCCCAATTTCAGACTCAATTTGTTTCTTCACAAATTATGAATGAAAAATTCATGTAGCTTCAAATCTTTCTGGCAACAACATATGCCTCTAAGTTTGTCCATGTGTGCTACAAAAGGCTATTCTGCAGTGTGCGGTATGCATTTTGTGACCATGCATTGCAGGTATGCTCTGAAGCTTATGCACACGAAAATCCATTTATAGTTAATACAAATTATCATTAGTTGATTTTTCTGGAGTTTTATCATCTGTCAAAGCTAATTTAATTTGCCTTGATATGACACTTTAAAGCATTTCTTTCAACATACAGTGTTAAGATCACTAACAAAAATTTACAAATTTAACAAAAATTGAAAAAGCACTTATCAATGGGCAAGCGAGATAGATCAACAGTCCTTTACAAATGTGCATGTACAGTTTGAAACCAAATTTGGTCAAATTGTCAAGCATCGAACTGTAAATATATACATCAATAGGGAAAGAGAGTTATTCTTGTCTTTGTAATATGATCACACAATCATATACTAAACCAGAAATATTGATGCGATCTGTAAATGTTCTTCTTGAATCCAACAAATTCAGGCCCAAGTCTATATCTTGAGACATATTTTCAGTGTTAAAGATGGTTAAGTTCCTTAAGTGCACAAAATAGAGCTTTTGTCATTTTGTAAAAGAAAAATCATAGCATTCAACATTTAATTGTTTGTGGCAAAAGTGAAAGTTGACATTTTTCTTGCCATAAATGTTGAGAAAAAAATACACAATAAATAAACGGGAGAATTCAATTCTTTTTCTTTGGTTGCGTTAATAAATGATATTTTCAGTTACTGTACAATTTTCTTTTTTCAATAGTAAGACTCTGGAGTACTGGCAAAAGATCTGAAAATGGAAGGTCCGGCCTGCCCAAAATTTAGACTTAAACTTAAATGAACGACCAGTCGCCCAAGCACCTTCTGCGAATATACTTAACTATTCTGATGCTACCTAACAAACATTTGGGGTATTGTAAAAAATACCATATTCTGAACTATTTTAATGTTATTGTACTGATGTTCATGGTGTTATTCTTCTTAAAATCAATTTAAGAAAAAAATCATTTCATAAATGGATTTTCAACTTCAGTGAAATTTAAATGGACTCAGATTTCTTTTCTAGTTGATGCATTTTAAAGCATTTTTCACCAATGAGAGTGTAGGAATGTATAACTAAGCACATTTGTAACATCACATCAATGCCTGCCTCATTTGAGCATTAAACTTTAATTTTTTTTTTTAGATGGGAAAAATAGTGCAGTGGTGCTAGGCGCGGATCCAGAAGGGGGGGGGGGGTGGATCCCCCCCAGCTCTGACTCAAATTTGTTTTGTACATGTACACTATTCTGTAATATAGTGATTTGAACAACGCCCCCATTGAAAGTATGGCATGAGCTGCCCCTCCCCCCCCCCCCCCCCCCTCCAAAAAACCCCATGATTTTACGGAGCCAATTGACCGGAGAAAAAACCTGTCTACATTTCAGCATTTGCAGATGAAGTCCCCCCCCCCCCCTGCAAAAAATCCTGGATCCGCCCCTGGGTGCAACAAACATTTTGATGTGCATTAACTCAAGTTGAAGTGAATATTGAAGTTATAGTGCATGTTTGCGGTGTCAGAAAACGTGAAACTAAACCAAGATTTTATACTCAATTTGAGACAAATAGGAATGTCATACAAGTGCTGTTTTTTGGCATTGTGCAATAAAAGTGCTTCACAAAGTCACTGTAGTGTCGTACACTTAATAGAAAAACTTTCATAATTTATAGACATATTAAACACTGAATTGTACATCATACCTCAATTTGTTTGTTAATTTTAGAACAAATATAATCATCAGGTACAAAATATTTCTGTCGTAAGTACGTACATATAGTCACAATTATCACGTAAATTAATTTTTCTTGGTCCACATTTGAAATAAATTCTCAAAAAATATCCTCCTTTTTTTTCACTCAAAAACACACACTTTTTTGTAATCAAAAAGAAACTCTGTACATAATCACTCCCGAAAAAAAAAATTTCTTTGCAAAATGAAGGAAAGATAATCCCAAAAAAGTTGAGAAAGAAACATCTGTGCGTGATAAGATTTTAGCATTAGTACTCGTAGTCGAGGATTTCCGCTAAAAGGGCCGGGATTTCGAGGTGGGGCCACGCGCGTCGGAAGTTGTTCGCGCACTTGTTGAACAGCATGGAGACGACGCGGACTGACGTGACCTGCATCAGTAGCCGTGCAAACAGCTGTTTGTTCTTCCAGTCCCGCCGGGTGACTTCGCGCTTCAAGACCGCGACAAGTTCTCCCTGCAGCTGTTCCACACGGGCGCTGTCTTCTAGTCCATAACGATCTGGAGTCATACGAATTGCAAAAAAAAAATGCGTTCATGCAAACTTTGACCATTTGACACTTTACAAAGTCAAAAAAAGCAAATGGGAACACTGAAATGCCATTTTGTGGGAGTTCAAAGAAACAATTTCAGGCTATTGACGCATGTTTACATATTTTTTTGCTATAATTTGAAAAATTATATTTTTACAATTTTATTATTTTTTTAATTGAAGTGAAAAGACTAAACGTTTTTTTTTTTTTATTGAAGCATGATTGATAAAATCCAAAGATTAATGCATCTATACTAATAACTTTCATTTCCTTATCTTTTGTCTATAAAGATAAAGACATTTACTAGTCTGAACCAGCTGTAAAACTCATTAGGTTGAGATTGTGTTTTCAGTTCTAGAGACTTTGTAAAAGTAATGGCATGCTCCCATTTCAAATGAACTCATTTCAGAATGCGTAAGTGTGTCATTTTGTTTCACTTTCAAATAAAATTAATGGGTTTAACCCATTTAGTCCCTGTACTGCTCAAAACTGCCCTGCCTGTTACTCTCTATACAGGGCATATCAGGGGAAAAATAAAAAAAGAAAAATAAACGTACCGCTGCAGAGGATGACAATAGACGTAAATATTGCCAGTTCCTCTTTGATCAAATCCAGAGCGTTGAAGTTGCGGACAAAGTCGAAGAGCGTCTCCCAGAAATGCTCCTCTTGCCCCAAGCCCTGGAGGTTGGACAGTCGGAAGGTGTACTGCTCGTCGCAGCCCTTGGGCCCGCCAAAGCTGAGGGTGTCCTCGTCGATGAGTGTGAGGAAAGGGGCGGTGCGGATGAGCCAAATCTCAAAGAAACCAGCTTTGAGGAGGGTCATTTGGTCACCCTGATGACAGAAGAAAAATAAAAAGTGAAAATATTTTTGTGACTTGGTTGGCAGCCTGAAAAAAAAAATGAATACCGTGCTGCAAAAGCAAAATGCTTACTGACTGGATTGACCTGAAATATTAATCTAAAACAAGTGAGAGGTCCTAATTTTTTTGTCTGCAAAAGAATAATTTGCACTTGACACAAATACTGCTAGTATTCAAATGTAAAGCGCGCACTCTACTTGTTTAGAAATTGAATTACTGTTTTCTTGATTTTACATGTTATATGATTTTCAATATTCCAAGAGACACCGAAGAAAAGTCAGTTTTAAGTACCAGATTAAGTTTCAAGTTTCAAGTTTCAAGTGTGCAATGTTACTTCACAGTTCAACAATAGTTTAAGATATATGGGATGTTCGGAGTGCGGGCCATCTAGAAACCAAAGAAAATAGTGATGACCCTGCTGGGTACCAACTATAGAGTGGAAATATTTGTCAATTAAATGTTCAAAGTAACCCAAAGGAATTTTGAGTAAATCAATCAGAAGAACATATAAGGAGGTTAATAAAAAATTGGAAACATTACACTTTGACAAGTTTCCTTTTAGAATAATTCCAAACACAAACACTGAAGAGAGCACTAAGATCTTTTCTGTTAAAGAAAAAACAACCTACCTGTGAAAGATCGCAAAAGCCTGGCAGGTTCTTGCTGAACTGGACAACGTTGACCACCGAGGGCGTGATCACGTCCGTCAGGAATGATCGGACGGCACAGATCTGGGCATAAATAGCTTCGGGGTCTACGATTGGTTGAGGTGCCAGGAGAGCATATTCCTGGGCCGCGAGCAAGGACAGATCACCCTGAATCATGTCTACGTCACTCTCCAATGATGACTGCTTCAATTTCAGCTAAAAGCGACAAAAAGAGAGAGAACAATTACATTTCTAATTGATGCCAATGTTTCTGAGGCTTTGAGACCTACAGGGTGAGTTAAGAAAAAAAATGAAACCACAATGTCGGGACTACTGATTTTGTGAAGTTCAACATGTAACACTCTCAAAATCTAGGATATGATATGGCCTATATCTAGGATATGAAAACAATTCACACACATCACTATGTGATTTGTTTTCATTTTCCTGAAAGAACATTCTTACCTTTCTGTGATCCGTGGACACAACTTTAAAAACGGAGGTTGTGTTTAAAATTCTGTACCTTGAAAGTTTCATGAGTGATTTGAATGATTCTTGTACTACAAGAAAGCTTATGAATTGGGCTTGAGTATTCTAGATTTTGAAAGTGCTACATGCAGAACTTCACTAAAACAATATTCCCGACATCTGGGTTTGGCCAGTTCATTTCAAGTAATTATTGTAACAATAACCGGTTCTATACAAGCTTATACCAGATGTATGAACAACTGTGTCTGACATTACTGTAATACCCCAAATTCTTTGTATAGCCTCATCCAAGTAGGGCCCTGGTGGTGGCCATACAGTGGATTAATCTCATTGCTTTTTTTTTGAATAATTATATACCGGGCACTACACTGGATTAGAGCCCTTGCTCCTGTCTACGGGGATTAAGAGCCTTTAAACGTTTGAGCAGATTAGAGCCCTCGCCCTCCAGCATGGGTTGGGATCTCTATTGTTAAGCAAAAACTTTCACAAGTGGGTGAAGTGGGTTACTTTTTGTTATAAGGAAATTCCTTTAATTGTAATCTCCTTCACTATAAAAACCCTGGGTCCCATGTGGACTTTCAGACTGGGCGTTGGCCATGCATGTTGTTTTGTAATTTTATGCAGTCATGTACGAGTACTGGTAGATGGGCCTGCACTGCTGTGGCTGAATGTGTTAACATGTAAGTTTCAGTTTCAATCTCATTTAGCTCCCCTCTGACTGCTATTTATTTTTGTCTTTCATAAATTCTTGGAAATCATATTCTGCTTTCTATTCTTTCAATTTCTTTGGTTGTCCAAGATGGGGTGCCGTTACATTATGATATCACTCAAAGTTCACTAGGTTGAAAGGTGTTCAACTTCTACACATTTACAGGACAAAAGCTTTGTAATTGCAATAATGTCCCAAATTTGTGACAATTATGAACCAGCCTACAGCTCATGTTCAAAATGGGCACTTTTGTCTATGGGTATGGCTTTTTGCAGTAGTTTGCAAATGGCAAAACCGAAGCCACAATGGACATTATCATCTACGGCTATGGCTATTTACCGTAGTTTGTCAATAGGCATTAGTTACTTTAGGACCCTGTTCTTATATAAGGGAAAGAAAACGCATTCTTTTAATGAGCATGGGGAAAATTGCAATGGTGAACAAAAATAGTGGGGTCCTGAAAGTAACCAATGCCGTCAGTGTCAAGAACTTGAGCTCATAGCCACAAAATTCCACTCACGTGTGCATGGGTGTTGTTCGTGAAGCACGTCCCCTCATAGGCGTGGACTAGCTTCTGAATAAGGGCGTACATCTCTCGGTCCTTCTGCTCGCGCTCTCGGATCTTCTCGTTGGTCGACAGGCTTTGGATCTCTGCCAAGTTCCTCGCTTTCTGTTTCTTGGAATATCGGCCTACCCTGACAGCTGATTAAAGTAACATCAGAAAAAAAGGAAGATTTTTCAATTTTAAGTTGCTTTGATTTGGTAAATCCTTGTGCTGCCTTCACATTGAATACAATTTTAAATCGGTTAATTTTTTTTTAAAGAATAAACCAAGAAAAGCAAATTTATTTTAAAACTATTTCAAGCAGAAACTTTTTTCTTTTTGAAAATATTTCATTTTTCCACAAAAAAAAGTACATTAAGTTTCCCCCGACCAGTGTTGATATTTTGCCATCTCTTTCAACAAATTCCATGAATCAACTTTTTTGTATTCTTTTTTAAGACTTTTTTTTCACAATACTGATTTGTAAAGTATTTCTCCACTGGAGTTCCTCCTCTTTTTATGTACAAGAAATGGTACATTAGCTTCGGACAATACCTAACAGTGATTCACCATGCTTTCATAAAGCTATATTTTGTTGAGTTCAAATTAACAAATGACTGGAAAAAAAGGCTAGAATATACTTTTAAAAAAGGGTGTACAACAGGTTTAACGTACTAGTTTTGAAACTCCATAAATGGTTTTTCCTCACAAAAGCCAATATGTCTGCAGGTCATAATGAGTCATACTAAGAGTTTATATTACCTATTCAAACCGGAAGTATGCCACGTTTCTACAAACTTCACCCGGTTTAATTAATTGTATTGGGGACTTATCCAAGAGGTAAATTTGAAAAATTCTGTTCCGGATACTCACAGTGAACGGACATGCCGACCGCAAGGCATTTTTGGTAGCGGCAGTGCGCACAGCGCCCTCGGCTGGTCTTGTCAATGTCGCAGTCCCCTTCTTTCTGGCACTGAACGATTAACGTTTTGTTGCCGATGCAACGTCTGAAGAATCCCTAAAATTAAAAACAAAAAAAACATATTGAACCCTAAACTCTCTTGATCCTTCAAAATTGAGGGTTTTTGGAAGTTTATGCAGGACAGAGGAAAGGCCAAGCCCAGATAATACTCATCGAGTTTTTGCACTGAAAATTCATACAAACATTTTAGAATTATGTGCCATGATCAGATTATTGCACAGTTGTGGGTTAAGGGAAATTCAAAAAATTTCTTGAAAAAATACCTGGGGAGCTATGGTCAACAAAATATTTGTCTTTTAAATAAAAGATCTTCAAACAAAATGCTAATTCCAACAACATTCATGTGGCCTCAATCAAAAAGGTGTTTATTTCCACTTCTCAGCTCAACAACTTCAACAACATATTTTGCTGTTGGCTCATGTTGGTTTAAAGGTTGATCCATGCTTATTTTTTTTTTTAAAATTGAACTTTTTATTGAAGGCTTTTGAAGGAATTTCTTATTAATTTTTTTGTGGACCTTTTTATTAGTTTTTATTGATGGATTATGAAGTGGTACAAGTGGAATGTTCAAATATTTTGTATTGTGATTGCTTAAGTTATATACATTGTAACACATCCCCCAAGTTGATATTCACAGTTTCTAATAGTGTCAACAACACACCTTGTAAAATCCTAAAGTACTAATGTCTCACCATTTTTTTGTTGGGGGGGGGGGTGTACAAAACTAAATCCTCCCAACACCAAAGAGGTTTCACAAACCACAAAAATCTCCCCTGCAGTGGCCCCTCCCAAATCAAACAAAGGCATTTTAACCACACATGCCTTCGTACTGGAATCCATTCAGAAACTTTGAACTGGGACAATTGGACAAAATTTGCTCCACAGCAGATCAACCCATTTTTCCTGCCCTTACTTTTCCTTTCTCTAAGCTAATGACCAATTATCTACTTTAACGCACCTGCTTCATGTAATTAATTGAATCTTATTAATTCATCAAGGACAATTGTGACATTATCTGTGCTAATTAACTTAATTGACACGAAAACTGTTCCGTTTTTGGGGGAATGACCTTAAATCTGATGTTCTACATAAGAGCCATTAAAAAATGTATTTCATCAACTTTTCATTTGATGTGGTTGATGTCCAAAAAAATTAAAAGCTTGAATTTGAAAGTTTGCAGGTAGCATCACAATTTGGCAAGGCCTGACTGGCAAGTATAAAATAATATATTAGATATATAATCTGGATATAAAATCAAGTACAAGTACATTTGATGATATATTTTCATTTTCTGATGTGTTTTTTTCCCATGCTTTTCATTAGTAGTAGTCAATGTGCATTTGAATTTTACAGTGCACAATTGAATAAAAATTTACACTGTCAATGAAAAACAATAAAAGTACACAAATTAAAGATAAATTGAATGATCTGAAACAAACGTTTCCCCTGAAAATTTAGAAATTGATGATTTTAATGTGTACATGTTAAGCTTACTTTCAATACATGTATATGAAATATAACTTTTCTCCTCAAAATTGAGAAAACAATTATGAAATATGCTACTTACTTTGCATCCTTCACACGATGTCACGCCGTAGTGAATACCGGATGCCTCGTCAGTGCAGATCCGGCACCGTGGGAGGATGGGTTTTGGAGGGGTTTTCTTGCAAGAGGCAGGAGCCATTGCATCTGAAGTGTCCAGCACTAGTCTGTAGAGGGGATGGTGGGGAACATGGAGTAGAAATGGAAATTGGGCAGAAGGTATAAAGTTTGAGAAACAAGATTTGAAAGATGATTAGAAAGAACCATGGAAAACATTAGAAAGAACCAAGCAAATGATAAAGAAAGTGAAGTTTGAAAGAAAGGGTAGGATGGATGAAGAAAAGGAAGATGGAGAAAAGGTGTAAAGTTTGAGGAAAAGGTATTAGAAAGAACCCAATCAGAGAGAAAAATGTGGACAAAGAGGTTGAGAAAGATGAGAATGAAAATAACAGGCAGAAAAAAAAGGATAGATTGGAGAGAAACAAAAGAAAACAAAAGTTCTTCAATAATGCAAAACATAAGAGCATTTTTTTTGGGGTCATAACTTGATGGTGTAGAATCCTGACTAAAACATGTTATGCATTTGAAAACAAAATGCTCAAAAACAAGTTGATATGCATTCTGTTCTTTTTTTCATTTGCCTGCAGCATTTCACACAAGTTTTTGAATGCAATTTTTTTTTATTATTATATTCTGGTTTGACGATTGGTTAGCAAGTGTGCAACTTCAAAACTGAATCAGCGAATTCAATTTTGTGCACATAAACCAACTTTTCTTTGAATCTCAGTACCTTTTGAGTGCATGAAATGAATACTCCAAATATTAACCTGCCATTCACAAGTACCAAGACAGTTATATTAAACATGATCTGAACCACTTTTATTTCAAAACTGGCCAAAAACTCCACATAAATTCAATCTTCATAGCTAAGTTGGTACAATTACCTTCAGTCCTCTAGCTCGCATGCTCCAATTATTCAAAAAATGATCCACATTCTGTAAATGATCCTCACTGACTGAATTTCCACATCCAAAGAATGTGATCAAACCCTCAAGAGACCCTACCAGATCAGGCTAGTACCAGGAAATTATTTCTCAACAAGAGGTTTTCCCTTCGACATTTCCCTCTGAAAGAGACCCAAAGGGGTTGTTTTTCTCACCGCCACTAAAGGAAGGAGTAATAAGTATACTATCACACACCTGTGTTGAATACTGATAAGGGAAACTGAACTCTGTCGCTCACCGTGAGTGAAGTTTAAAGTTTCATCGACACGTTTCAAACCTAGTGAAGTTCAGATTTAGTTACATTATGAATTTAATCTGTTCCTGTATTTTGCAATAAACTATTGTATGCTAATTTTCATGTTTAAAAAAACATATAATTTCTCAATATTAGGTTTACAACTCCTTGAAATTTATCTAAAATCCACACCACAAAAACAAAGAAATATTACACTCAAATAAGCTTTCCCTACAAAAAAAATTAAAGAAGCCTATTAACTACTTAAGAAATTCCTCACACTGTGGAAAATTATTTCCTTGAATTATTGATGTATTCATTTTCTCACATTTCAAAGTAAGATCAGCTTACAATTTATGCACAACCCAAACTTTCATGATATTGAACAAGGTCAATGAACTTGTATTACATACACATTGTTTCCCTTTCAATTAGAATAAGTTAAGGTTAGAACTATTAGTTTACTTCCTCGTATTCTTGTCACAATAAAATTACAGCTGTTTCTACTGAATATCATTTCTCATTTCTCATTCTGCGAATAATTGATGAGTTAATTTCCAAAATGCAATATACACCAATTTGTTCCCCTTTAGAATCTTGCTCTCTCATCTGGCTGCCCAAGTCCAGTTTAACGGCTGTTATAAAAGTTACACAATTTAAGAATACAACGACGTAAAACTGAAGTTTACAAACAACTTTCATACTGTTTTCATTCTAGTATAAAGTTTCATAACCATGCACATTTTCCACTTTTTTTTTCAAATGGATATATATCACAGTTTGCCAATAAATTCTTCATATGAATATCTGTAAAAGTATTACTAGTATAAAATCCTTTTTGTTGATTTTTTAAAATTTTGAATAAGATTATATTAAATTAAGTTTAAAGTCGGCTCAATTTACATGTCACTTGATTTATGTAAATTTCAATTGATTTCAATTGAATACTAGTGCTTCAAACTCATAATGTATACAGGTTCAAATAGTTTCAACAATATTCGTTTTTTCCCCTTCATTTCTCCATTGAAAAAAATAAATCTTTATATTTCTTGATAACTTCAATTTCCTGAACTTTATTCAGTTCAACAGCCCACAGCGATCAGCCGAACGCACAGCAAAGTCTTCCCACAATGCAACGGTAAACTTTTGCTTGCGCGCGGGAAATATGAAATCACGCCACACACAAATTTGCATAAAATAAGTTAACGCAGTTGAATTGAAAACCTCGACAGAATCGTTTGCAGGCGACGGCTGTTGAACAAAAATATGCGAAAAAGCTGGCCATTTCAAAAGAAGACGCCCTGGAAAGTTGCAGCCATGAGTTGTGTTGGCCATGTTGACATGCTATTGTTGGACAGAATTAGGAGATATTTCGTGGCTGTTATGACATCTTACCTTGCAAGGGAACTGCTGTGGAAATTTTCGTTTACTGGCGCCGCCATTTTTCAAGAAAGTTGCTCGGACATGTGTTGATAACTTTAGTTTACAAATACGCACCGTGGTCTCGACACACGAGCAGTAGTGCTGAATTTTCTTAGAGACGAAACAGGCACACCATGGAGAATTTCTCAGCTCTTGAAACGGTAAGCTCACGGTGTACTTTATGTCAAATTGCTGTATCATTTCGTACTTGGTCCTCCATTGTTTAGTACGCGGTATGGTGACTCGTGTCTGACGCGCTGCGTTTGTGCAAGTCAGCAAGACATTATTCAAGCACAGGATTCATGATTCAACCAAAACAAACCATCTCAAACATTTTGGGTGCCAGGTGCATGTTGACACCACAAGATGAACACGCATTGCGTTGATTATGATTCTTCATTAATCATGATAGGCGTTGGCCACGCACTGGCGCGGGGCATTGTATTTTAAGGAAGTTGTAACAATGAAGAAACTTTAGGAAAGTCACACAGACAAACTTTATTCACTAGTGGAAGTAGACGCCCATTTACCAAAGCGGCCTCGGGTCCTTTGTCGTTCACATCACCCTTTGTTGTTGCCAGTATTATGGAAATATTATGACACAGTGAAGCGATCAATACGGTAGACCGCCACTGAAAACGAATGACGTAGATTGTGTGTGAATTCGGGGTGCTATGAAAGCGATGGAACCACGAGGCATTGTATGGTTTGCAGGCTTGAGCAAAACTGATTAATAAGAATTCGGTGTGTGCAGCATTTTATTACCAAATTCATCTGTCAATCTTCCACACCAATGTGAATTAAATTGCCATGGTAACTGTATCTTGGTATGCAGGGAATGACTGTAATCTCGAGTAACAATTGTGGGAAGCGACTTCGTCGCCAGCAACAATTAACGTGTAAACAAGAAGATCAACCATCTTTATCATTTTGAGAGAAAAAATACAGACAAGTTTGTAACCTTGGGAATCAATTTGATTTTCTGTTTCTAGCGGAGAATCGGATTTTATTATCTCAATTTCCTGAAAAGCACTTTAGGTTGTCAAAAATAACTAATAAACAGACATAAATAATAACAAACAACAAATAGTAACAAACAACATTACCTAGAAAATGAGTTGTCTCATAAATTTTGTGGGAAAAAGCAATACATTTGTATTTTCTTGAATCCGGAAAATTAATTTTCTTGTAAAAAGTGCCGAATGAAAAGACTTGGCATATAAATTTTTGCCTATTTCATTTTTTTCTTGGATTTTTCTTCTGGCCAATGCAGAAGCATCGATCAGTGATTTAAAAAAAAAAAACAGGTGTTAGTTGACAAAATTTTCTTCCCCAACTAAAATGGAAAAACGCCCAAACTTTATGATTTAGAACTCGCCTTATGACAAATCAACTAAAAAGCCACCTTCTTTAATGAGTCACTAACAGAAAGTAAACAAAAACGCGACAAAAAATACAGACAGAACTTGCCCTCTTTACAGTCATCCTTTACCGGTTAGTTTTGGTTTTACCACAAAGCTAATGGAGGGGGTGGGGTCTGGGTTAAAAATAGACCGGTGCTAGTCTGGCCCGCCGTGTATGGAATAATGCCCACGGAATTTGTCCATAAAATAAACAAACAAACCCAGGAGTTGAGTGGGAAATATATCACTTCTCCAAAAAAAACCACGACAATTTCGTTTTGTTTATATACTTTTTTTGGTTTTAAAACCGTCAATATTATACAAAAGATGATTTATATATATTTTTTTGTTTATATTAGTTTTATATATAATACAAACATTATGTTGGGTATTTTTATTCCGTATTGTGTAGGGCCACGGTAAACTCCTATATCACAAGATGTTTGAATAAAAAGTGGTTCTTTTTAATAAATTTCAACAAAGAATGTTTCTTGTGTAAAACCTTTTTCATAAGTTACTGCACTTTGTTAAGTTCAAAAAGGTCTGGACACTTTCTAGCTGTGATACAAATCGAATAAGAAATGTCGACAATTTGGTAATAAAATAAATATTTATTTCAACTTACTTCCATTTGTTGTTTTTAATGAAATTAAATGCGTGGATCGATCATTTGCTTCCACAAGAAATAATTGTTAATTTCTGAATTTAATTTCTGATTTTTCAAAAAATCTCTCCTTTTTTAACATGCTTCCAAAAAAAAATGGTGGGCTGATCTGGATACAATACAAATTTAAAACGCACCTGGTATCACACTTGAACTGAATATAGCAAAAGATTTGGGGTTTTAGTCTAACAGATAAATGATAGCCTTTTCATCCACAATTGCGAAAAAAAACCCAGACACCCGACCAAATTATATCACACAGTTTGGTTGAGTTCAGGACCAATTTATTAATTAAGATGCAAAGTTAATGAAATACATAACAAAAGTCCATGAATTACATTATAAATCCTTTCAATTGTCATGACTTACGATTCGATCTCATGTCCAGGGTCTTTTCCACTCATCCAGTCCAAGATGTCTGTAGGTGAAGTCATTTGCTCCATTTTTTCACTCATAGTTCGATTCCCTCCTTTTCCACCCCGTTCTATAAAATAGGCGGAGCACCACCCCCCACTTCTGGGTAGGCCCCTGGGTAGGGACATGTCCACTGTACAATTACCTTATCCCCTTTCTTGACTGAATAATCGACTTACACCTGTGAATCCTTTTGACACACTAGAATTGTTCACCTCTCCCCCAATTTTTCCACGCGAAAACAAACATTTGCGTAACATCTCGTTACAAAACATCTTGCGTAAACCATGAAAAGTGCATAGGCAATGCACGAAATAATAACGAGCGTTTATAATGCTTGAATAATATATTCGCGAGCTGTGCACACTTTAGTGGGGTGATGTACACAATTCAGAATCACCATTTTCTCCATGTTTGACACCCACTTAGAGACACATGTATACATGTATATACATGTATTGATTAATTAATGCATGGTAATAAACATGGATTGAACTTACCGCATGTTTAGGGTCCAGCCCCAACGCTCCGGAATGACTTGCACCGGTCCCGTGCCTAACATGGAACAGTCTTGTATCACACACCGTCAGCCTTCCGACCCGCAGAAGGCTTGCTATCGTCAGTCGTCAACGGACAACGTGAACACCACGCGTCCAGCCGTCACAAGCGTCTCTCTCCGTATGATTCCCCTGTAGTTCACCTCTCTCGTCCGTCGCATTCGGCCGGCAAATCTTTTCTATTCTGCCCGAGGACTTCGGACTTTCGGACCGAAGTACGATTTAACAGTCGATCTACCCGTGATCGATTTTTCTTTTGCTTCTCGTTAGAGCTCAATTCAATCTGCTCTACGCTGCTGCTATAGGCATACCGGCCTTTGACGCAATTGATAGGTAAACACTGCCCGGTGCTTGGTACCGATTGTACGGTGGTAGCATTAAGCCGTTGTGGCGCTGGATGAGTCATCGTTATAATGGGCGGGGTCTGTCGGTTCCGGCCCCCTGGATATACCATACCACCATCCGCTATCTCCAAATATCGAGTACTCCTTTTTTTGGTTGACATTGCAGGATTCTAAGAAAACTTAATATTTGTCTTTCAGCCGAGTTTTTACGCCATTATAATCACCCCCCCCCCCCCATTTTTCTGTCTCAAAAGCCCAATGTATGGAACATGGTGAATGTTAACCAACTTTTTTTCCCAAGCTCCCAGAACATTATTAACTGACTTCACGCTTCAATTTTTTTTCATTGTTGTTCATTTTACAGCCCATATTTTATGTCTTAGTTCTGTTAATGGACGTGAGTCATTTTAAATGATATCTTGGGTATCTTGATCCGAAGGTACAACTCTTTTTGCAATGCTGATCTTATAGTTGAGGTTTTTTCACATTTTGTTAGTTGGTCGACGGTAGCCTAAAGGTTCATTATCAAGACCTTGAAAATGGGTTGCATAAATTATCATTATATACAGAAATCATTCTCTTTTGCTTTTCATCATTTGTGTTTAACAATTTCTATTTCAGTTTAGAGGGAGCAGTGCTCCTTCTGCAGGCGTAAAATTGTGCTACATGTTTTATGGTAACAGTACTATATAGACATGCCTAAAACTCGCCCGTGACCAATTTGGTCAGTAAGAGGTATTTTAAAGTAAGTCATCAAGTTGTTTGGCCCAATTACGGTCGGTGAGTGAGATAGGTACATAGAGGGCACTTCTGGCTCTCTGGGAACAGCAAAAAATGTTGATAGAAATACCAGAATTCTATTTTAAAAAATCTTAGCCTAATTGTACATTTAGTGTGGCGGGTTTTTATTATACGTGCTGCAATGCCGTGAATTCTGCGCTGCAAGTTCTATTCATGGTCCGATAGAAGCGACATATACGCAAACAACAAATTATTGTTGGGCTAGGAGCAAGAGAGAGTACATGTATAACAAATGGGTGAATGGGTAATAATGGGCTAAATAGGAGTCCTGTGGCTCGGAATAACTTGCGTATTGTATGGGATCAACACAGAAATGGCTATGCATGGAATGCATTATACCGTCTTTCCATCCAGCCTTGAATATAGGCGAAAGTCATTGAATGCTTGGGGTGGGGTGGAGTAGAGCTATTTTCCCCCAGTTTTTTATAAATGTAAGCAAAACGGCGCCAAGAATTCGAACAATTTTTATTCAGCCTGTGAAGAAAAAGAGTTTTTACAAGCTTAAGCTACAATGACTATTGAAATGTCGATCGGCATATTTCCGGTGTTTTCAAATTTTTTTTCTATAGTAATACGCGCCGCCGCCCGTCAAATGCGCCGATGAACTCTCAATTATTATTTTTTTTTCGGTAGAATTCGTCAATTTTAAACAGGTCAAGAATTCCTCACAGAATGTCACTGGTCATGAAGACTTATCGTGATGTTAAGAGGAGGCTTACATTTAAACTCTTCATTCCTTGTCTTTCGTTTCATTTTTCCCCCACGGTTTTCACAGCAGTTGTAATTTCCCTCATGGTTCTGCTGAAAAAAAAATATGTTCTGTTGAAAATATCGTTTTATTTGAGTTGTGAGTTTTCACTAAGCTTAATTAAGACCACCATGTTAAAGGGAATATACAACATTTGCAAACATCGAAAAATAAAACTACCAAGTTTTTGCGAAATACCTTAATAGGATGTTGGTAAATGACAGTCTAAAGCATCCTGTAAAATTATGGCACCTGGTATACTGTCATTTTCAAGAAAAGTGGTATTTTTGTATCAATTTCCAACGCTGATCGGCCGATCAGCGTTGGAAACAACTGGCTTTTTTTCAAATACTGGCCCCAATTGACCATTGTACTTGTTTGCAATCGATTACAAACCTATGAACGGGTACGAGCCAGCTAGACTGGTTCCCTGACCTTACAATTCCCCAATGTATGTAAACTGCTCTGTTTCTTCTTATATAGAGTCAGGGAACCAGACTACAGGAAAATGATCGTTTTTCTTGGTTTTTATAGCATTTTCGAACCCAAAACCTCCAAAAAGTCAGTGTAACTATATTTGCTTTATATTTCCAACCCCCCAATTCCATCCATTTCTGAAAATTACAGCAAAAGCAAATGATGTATATTCCCTTTAAGACAAACGTTCACTGATATACATACCTTGCATGACATGCCATTTTTTTAGGTGTGTTTCGCGTGGATACGCAAGGGTAGATCACTATACTGAACTATTAACCTCTCATTAGATGACCGCAAAATATATGCAGAAGGTGTTCTTAATATCTGCCTTACTGATTCTAACTTGTGTCGGGCAGAATTTTGATCACTGCTTGTATAGTTATACACAATTGAGAGGAGACCATGGTTTGGCGATTGAAAAAGGTTTGTGAGTATTAAATGGGAGGGGTCGGTTGGTCAGTCGGTCAAAATGTAACCTATGTTGAACTGCAGGGGCCATCTGCCCCTATCACCACTTAACCACCCAGCATCACCACCATTATAACCACCACCACTTTGACACTTTCCACCGTACCAACATCTGCACATGACCAGTTTTCTCCGCGTGGAAGGGAAGGCAGAGTTGAAACTTTTAACTCTCGTTTTCAGAATCGAGCCTAATAATGGTGGCTTGTCGGCTGGTTGTATTAATGAATGGTCTGCGAGGTAGGAATTTAATCTTAAACCGTGTGTAATACTGTAAAATATACTAGCATTTCAGGAATAGATGGATGTATAAGCACGAAATATATCAGAAAGGCAAACGTGTGTTTTTACCTTTAAGACTGGAAGATGTCACTCTTCCGCTATGTGTCAACGAACTTAATGGCGGACTGATATTTGTCAGAAGTGTGGCTTTCATTAAAGAAGGAACCTTTGTATATTTCTGCAGGTTAACAACCATAAAACACTCCCTGCTCTGGGTAAACAATAGTATTTTCCCTAAAATGCCCAACCCTTCCATTTGAAATAAAAACGACATATTTTTGTTTTGCATTGCGATATCGAGCAATCAGCAGTGCACAACGGCCAGCTGTAGAGACCTGCTCGATTTCTGCTGACAGGCTTCCATTTCTTGAAGGAGCAAATGTGAGATGCGGCCATCTGGGCTTGAAAACGCGTTTACCACGAACTGATATACAATGTATATAGGCCTATACGTTTACATGTAGTTTACATGAGGTACAAACTTTTGGTCCTTTGAAATAGCAAACAATATGAAATATTAAATTAGACGATCTTCCGTGTGCCCGTTTAGCCAGACCTGATATTAATAATCATGCTCTTGTACCGGTATTCAATATCATACAATTTATGCCCAATATGTAATAAGGCAGTTACATTATGCCAAGTACAACGATTTGGCCTCAAATATATTGTACAGAATTCTTACAGAGAGATCTTCATTGCGAATCCTGCATCCTAAATCTGGCTTGAAAGTTTGTTTGCCCTATACAATAGTGCCGATTACCCTACTTTTGGCGCGCAAAATCCCGGGCATTGGTAATTATTACATAGATCAAAGCAGAGCAATTTGTCATATTTCCAGAAATCTAATTCCAGAATGTGACAGGTGCTTAAGGCTGATAACCACATGAAAAATGTATTTGATCTTCCCGACCGGCTAATGCACTCGAGAAAACACATTGTTTTGTGTTGTAGCAACAGTACAATATTATGTGTGATTGTTACCCCGACATAATTCGGAGTCCAACAAACTTCAAGCACCGGACTGATTAAGTAATCGTTATCGCTGTATGATTTACTTGCCTTATATGGGCCGTGGTAGGCCAAATATATAAGTGAATAGATTATGTCACCATTCTAATAATAAACTTGAAGTCGGTGCACTTCCTCGTAAAGTTTTGAAGTTCGCATACGTTTATTCATAGTTCGATAGTCGTTACACATGGCTGCGTATGAGTCACGCTATAAAAATATACCTATAGGCCTACATAATACATTTTTTTGCACGTATACGCCGTGTACAATAATTTATTATGTGAAAGACTTGCGTGAACCTCGTCGCAATATTTATTCATCACTTAAATATTGGTGTTATGGTCGTGTTATGTCAATCACCCAGGCAATGCTATCAGTACCAAGTCATCAATCATTACATGCATTATGCGGTTAACGGGAACACTCCGGGTACCGTCACCACGGGTGCTGACGTCAATGCTGATAGGACCGATAAGGGAACATGCCCAAGTCCAAGTACGGGGCACGTGGGCAACAGCTGCAATGCCTTCACGATGATGCGCGCGAGTTTTCATTATTGCCCATTTGTGATGACAACGCATTTTGTTGCATGCAAACGCTGGCCACTTTTCAGTTAATGATTAATCAAATACGCCAACCCTCGGATGGCGAACACGTGAGCATCTTGTCTGTAGAATTTGCTTAAAACTTGAGAGCACGTGGCGGGAACGGACTGACAAAACTGAGGGAATACAACACAGCCGCGCCCACATACATGCAGACAATCAGACCAACCAACCAACGCATTGACAAGAGCACAAGCCCCTAGCACCCAGTGGTGCAGTAATTAATGATAAAGGGACGACATAATTTCAATTGACTCCAAAAACAGTTTTCATTCAGTCGTCATGGTTTGGCAAAAAAAAAAACAAGACCATCATGTTTCACAAACTGAACGTTTTCTTGGAACATCAAAATTGACGTCTCTGACTGAAATGCCGCAAAAGCTGCGATGTTAAAATTACACCACTCCATTATGAAGTATGCAGTTTCTTTTTAAAATCGCCATCACCATTGCAACCACTTGCATTGTTTTATCCAATTTCCCACATATTTTGCACTCCAAAACCGAAAACCGGCAGCATCCCCGGAAAAAACCCTGTAACATACTTAACCACAACTTAAGAATATAATGAATAGAAAAATGAAGTTTAGAAACAGCTGTTATTCAATGTACTGATTTTATTCTTTAAAGTGTCATAACCGTGCAAATTTTTCACCTTTTCAAATGGATGTGTTGCGTTTTGAAAATAAACAAGCAGGTGGACATATATTTTGAGATGTATTACCGTACATCGCTATGTTGTAACATTGTCAACACTCAAATATGAAAAAAAATCAAGACCGAATCACGTTTTACAAACTGACCATTTCCTTTGAGCATCAAAAAGTAACTTCTCTTGACAGAAACACCCCAAAAGCTGCGAGTAAACCTCTCCAATATGACGCATTTTTTTCTCAAATCGTCATCATCACCACTGCAACCACTTGCACTCGTTTACCTAATTCCCCCCATATTTTGCCCTCCACAAAAAAAAGCAGCTGGTTGCGTTCTTGACCGAAAACCAGCAGCGTCTCGGGAAAAAAGCAAGCCGTCTGACAGACAAACAACGCCCGTCCTTCCTCCGTAGACAGTTGTGGGCGACGGATGTCGAATGCAACAAGCGATGTTTAGAAAGAGGGATGGGATGGGATGTGGTACGGAGAGAACAACCGCTTCGAAAAACCAACAGCTGGCAAGCGGGAGACGATCGTTTTAAAATTGCACTTTTTTCTTTCTCTTTCTTTTTAAAGGATTTTTTTTACCATTGAAGTCCAGGACCGTATAGCCAGAATGGTGTGAGAAGGCGTGGTTTCAAAAGTGATTTTTTTTTTGTACTGGACGTTTCGCGCCAATGCAATTCAGTTTTGAACCAAAGATCCATGTTACAACTGTTACACACATAATGCCACCCCATGACGATTTCACTTTTCAAATAACTCATAACTTCGGGGAAACTACAAGTTACAACAGAGATAATCACTGACGATCGGAGGTCGCATAAACAGAGGACAAACGGTTGTTACAGGCTACGTAGACGCGGCCTAAAAATGTGAAAACGATGGGTTATTTTAATGATCACAGATGAAACATAATCTGTATCTACAATTCGTCGTGTGCCCGGCAGAAGGGCATATGTGCATATGCCCTTATGCAATAGCGCGTAATGACCAAAATGTTCCCAGCAAAAGGGCATATGCTGAAAACTGCCTCCATTTTAATGAGATTTAAACATTTTCGTCAGAAATTAACGTGTATAGTTGTTCCAAAACTTATGATTCATACGTGTGACAAATTTCACATTCGTACGATTTATATTACGTGTAGGAGAGCATTGGATACAAAATGCGCGCGGGGGAACAATGGGACCTTTCAATGCAATTTTCTTTAAAATGATTTTTGCGTCAGAACGCTCATATGCCCTTCTGCCGGGCACCCGACGAATTACAATCCTTTCCTCTTTCCTTCTAATGTTGTAATATGCAAATAAGATGTTTGACTGGAATCATAGAAACAGTGGCCATGATCGCCTCTTCTGGATAAAATATCCTCCAACTTTCGATATCTCTCTTATGCTTAATCACCCATTCAAATCTTTTTGACTGTATCCCTGTTAATTGCCTAAATGTTTGATCTTTCATTCGATTTGTGTTTTACACCCATGCATATTTGCACAAGACGAAGTCTAGATAAAAACGTGATCCCAAAGAACATACACTTCTAAAAGTTAGAGAGGCCCGATATATTTCGTCTTTAGCAAAGACTTCTTCAGAGACAAATGACACATGGACGAGAAACAAACATGTGTCCATGTGCTATTTGCCTCTGACGAAGTCTTTGATTAAGACGAAATATAGGCCTATCAGGCCTCTCTAAACTTTTAGAATTGTATATTTCAGGTCAATCCAGTCAGTGAGCAGTTTGCAGCAGCTTAAATATTTTCACACACAATTCTACACGTCAGTTCATTCGTCCATGGCCTGGGCCAGATTCAGCTCATTCATTATATCGGTACGGGGTAATCCTATAGGAAAGCACAGCCCGGCTCACAAGTGATGGTCAGTCGATGGATAGGCACACAGAGGACACTACACTAGCCCTCTCAGACCAGCAAACAAAGCACCAGTATTCATCCATGATTTCTTATTGTGGAATTGTGATTATGTAATATGGGATCAAAATAAAAAGATTCCCATTTCTGTCGATCAATTGTCACCTTGTGCACAAACCATATGAGACTGGTCTTAACATTTCTAAGTGTTTCCTTAGTAAATAATTCAATATTTTCCCTGCTAAATTTGACTTTTTAGGACATATTATCACTTTCTGATGGCCGACAGGTCACTGAAGGGAAAATTAGTGATGGCCAGATATGGGAATCTTTCCAAAATGAAACCAAAATACTGAACATTTTCATGCAAACACATTGTAAAGTGTTTCATGCAAACACATTGTAAAGTGTGTCACTTGGTGTTCTGGTAATTCTTAAACTCATGGGCGTAAAAAATGCAGTCACATTAAGCAGAAAATTAAAACACTGTTAAATTTACTCTTTGTTCGACAGATGTCAGATTCAATGACAAAATAACCAGTGGCAGCTTGTTATAAAACAGCGTCGCCATCAGATGGCATCCTAAAATGCGCTGAATTGACAGAGACCAAATAACATTTCATCTGTTCCCCTCTCTTTTTGCAGTTACGGTAAGGCGGAGTGCGAACATGGCAACGAAACTTTTGTCACTAAGGTACGGACTTCAGAAACCTGTGGCCCACAAAAGACAACCTCACAATGTAATGTAAACTCTTATTCAATTTTTTGATTATTTAGCATTTTATTTGAGGCAGAGGTCCAAAATGGCAGTATCTCATTATCTCTTTGCTGCATGTACATTTCAAATCCTCTGTCACTCCTATTAGTCTAAGGGTTTTACCAATTAACTTTGTAATAGGCCTGTACAATATTAAAATAGTTTGGATGTGTTGACAGTTACAATGAAGAAATAAAATTACAAATTTCAGTCGTTACAATGATCGTATAGGATATTAAACTCACTTTGTGAAAGTAATTATTGCATAGCTTTAAAGCTATAGTCCATCATTTGCAGCCATCCGAAAAGTAACTGGCGTAGTTATTGTTGAAAAACAAACTTGGTTGAAAGATAGTAAGGGAACTAAACTCCCTGTGAAATTATTCTTTCTGGGAAGCTGTCATTTTGAAGTAATCAACAAAAGAAGGCATTTCCAACGGTGATTCTTAAGAAGCAATTGAGATCTTAGAATGTTGTTTTTCTCGGAATATACAGCTGAAGCTTAGCTGAAACTTCATCAGGTTAGTTGCTCAGTATCCTTCATTAGATTTTGAACTCTTTTGTTGCTTCAAACGAACAAAATGCACAAATTACAAATGATGGACTATAGCTTTAATATTTTAATATCTCATATAAAGTCATTGTACATTGCGCTTGCAGAATCTGTAGTGGACGTTAACATATAAACATATATACTTAAACAAAGATGCTAGTTCTTGTTATTTTCATAGATTTAAATATTGAAATTTTACATCAATTTACAGTAATAATTTACATGCGAATTACGGAGTTAAAATTCACATTTTTTTCTCACGACGCCTCTGGCATGTTTATCCTTCTCCCCAAAATGTAATAATATTAACCGCTTCAAATTCTAGACAACGGGTTAAACATCAAAGCATAAAATTTGAGATAATTTTTATTGCCGGTATAAAAATAAAAACGATTTCTTTTTTTGTAGGTAAGAAAAATGTTTACATATATTTCATATAGTCAAACAAACATTAAGCAAACACTGTCATTCAGGTTAATGCTGATTGAGTCCCACAACTTGCAAACTGCTGTACACTATTAATAATTATGTAACTTATCTGTTAATTTCTAGAAAGGAAATTTCAAGGCTAAAGTAGTTAAGGAATTTCAAGCGCAAGAAAGAATGTAAAATGCATTAGTTGTTTCCAGCAAATTCTGCTTTACCCACAGTGCATCACAGAATTTGTTTTTGACTTTATTCATTTTACACAATGTAAAATGAACACAGTAGGTTTTAAGCCTTTTAGGGAATTTGGAGAATTAAGTTGGAATTCCAACAGGAGGCTTCCAACAGGAAGATTAACGTCTGAGAACGTTTTGACCTATCACAGCCAAGACTGCACAACCAAATGTTTGAACTAATATGTGCACAGCTTGAATGTTGTTGTTGCAAAAAGACCAGGCCTTACAGCAAAATTCTTACTTGCTTACTTACTTTAGGTTGATGGGAATTGAATAGGCTAATTAGAACGGTATGTTAACTCTTTAGTTGTGAAAAAGAAAAGTTTTTAAATATCATTCATGGCTTAAAACTGTGGACCTCAATTTGGCTGGTAATTTGAAATCCTCTATCGCTAAGTTGGTAGAGTGCAATGATCATGTTCTGCAGACCCAGGTTCAAATCCAAAGATTCTTTGCATAGAAATGATATTCAACTTACATCAAAGAAACCCAAACTCACAGCAAGTGGATGTTGTGTTCTCTAAGGGACTCCTTGCAGCTATTCTGGATGTAGAATGCAGCGTCGTCTCGTGAAGGGATACCGGGGGTGGGGCTGGGCTTGTGGTTCTTGTGGTAGAAAGTGTGCTGGCAAGCGCTCTGATGGGCATGGACAACTGTCTGGTGATTACTAAATATGAATGGAAAATTCACTTCTTTTTAACATTCAAACCCTCAGTTTCTTAACATAAAGATAAGAAGGTTTGCATTGTGGAGTGAGTCACATCAAATTTGATGATTTTCATGGTCAAAAATATGACTGAAATATTAATAACAATAATGGGTATTAATAAAGCACACGTATCCACCATTATTGGTGCTCAAGGCGCTACATCATTATTACCCTGCTCATTGGGCCAATGAAACATTCCAAATACAATATCAGCTCCCTGGGGAGTATACAGCTCGATGCTGCCATTTCGGCGCAAAGCACCTTAAATCAACCACAACTATCTCTGCCCTCACAGGTACCCATTTACTCCTGGGTGGAGAGAAACAATGAGTGACAATGTGCCTTGCCCAAAGGCAAACGCACCATAACCTCAGGCTGGACTGGAACCCACAACCTGCAGAATTACCTGCAGACCACGAATTCAAGGCTTTAGACCACGATGCCATGGCACTCAACAGCCTTTCCTTGATTTTTTTGTATATAGGTCTTTATTAACTTCATAAAAACACTTTTTATTTTTTCGGTGCAGGTGCTGAAACTTGGCAGGTTTTGGTGACAATCTCACTTACCGCAGAGTAACATCCGTCAGTGTTTCATCGCTCAGGAATTGCTCGTGGATCTGTTGACATCCTCGACAAAAGACGGACTCAGCTTGGTTGACAGGGTTGCTGATGCTTCCTAAGCAATCAAAGAAGAAAACAAGACATTACAGAACTTGTATATTTAGCTTTATCTTAAATTCACCAGACAGCAGTGTTCGTTTCTTGTCAAAAAATTAAGACAAATTATTAAGGTGCAATTTTTTATTTCAGAGAAAACAACATTGAATTGTCATCATCAGCCATTACTTGGATTCCTGAATTTCACTTTTTAATGTTAAAGTTCGTTTTTTTGGCAGCTTTCATATTACCTTCTAATAACTTTTGTTCATTATCAAAGTGCATGAAGTTGTAGGCCCCTTTGCAATCCTGAAAGTAAATAAAGGTAGCAATAACCAACATTAAATGTCATCACTCTTGCATTTATAATTCTGACCAATTTTCTAGATTCTCACAAAATAGTTCTCACTCATTGCATACCAGAATCCATGATGGGCCATCCTTTCTCACAGGAAACAACTCACTATAACAACTGTTTCCATGGTCTCAACATTATCCACTGTTAAATCATTGTAACTTACTTTAACTTTCTCACTCTTTTTCCATTTCTCATTATATTCTTTCCACAACATGCAACACTTCTCATCAGAACCCACTCACTACAACTTGCATAGAACTTTTCCTCATATATCTTCGTTTGTAACTTTTCGTATGTGCCATTAAAAACATAAAACACTCAAGAAAGTCTCACAGAGTTTGGAAATCCTAATTTCCTTACTTACCAGTTCTCGATCAGGTCTCACTACATTTTTCAACTGCAGCTCCAGCTCACCAAGTTCCCTCAGGACAGACTGCCACTGTTGAAACGAGGCAATCAAAATATTCTGTTCAACTTGAATTTCAATTTCATAGGTGAAACTTCAAAGGTACAGGTATGCTCATTGTAAAGAAAAACAGCAAGTATGATTTGTGTGCCCAGAACAAAGACAATGGCAAAGTGCAAAACAGAGGTGAATGAATAATAGTCAGAATGGTATTTTGCATGTTATGCATTTAAAGGTTATTAACAACATTTGCAAACATCAAAAAACAAAACCACCAAATTATTACGAAATACTAATTACATCCATAAATGGGTGCAAACCAAACCAGATAGTCTGGTTCCCTGACCTGCCAATTCCCCGATGCCTACAAATTGCTATGCTTCATCTGAAGTAGGGTCTGGGAACCAGACCACAAGAACAGCATTTTTTCCCCATTTTTTTTTCAGCATTTTTGAACACAAAACTTTAAATAGGTCAGGGTAACAATATTTGCCATAAAATACTAACCCTCAAATCTGTCCATTTCTGAAAATTATAGCAAAAGCAAGTGTTGTACATTACCTTAAAATCCACACTTCAATTTCTTTATTACAGTTTGCCCAAAACTAGATTTATGCTTATGGAAAAACAAACTAACAAACTATACATTTTATCCCAAATAACAATGTCGCTTTCTCAACTTAACTAGGTTTTTTTTTAACGATATGAACTTTTCTTCCTACCAATTGGAACAGGGTTTCCTTCTCCTCTGTGATGGATTTTTCAGCAAGGAACAACAAGGTAGTGTCAGAGTGGGCCTGGACATACAAGCTGACGTTGACCAAATCAGGACTCAGCTGGCAAAAAATAAAAAATAAAAACCACCATCAAATTCAGCAACTTGAACAACAATTAGCAATGCCATGTAAGTATAATAAATATGTTTCTATTTTTACTGAGGTCCATCATTGCGCACATGCGTCAGTTGTCAACTGAATGGTGTGGACATTACTTTTCTACAAATAAAAATTATGAATAGCCATGAATCACAAACAAAATTTACTTTTATTTCAATAAGACGTAGGCTTTGATTAAAACAATAATTTAAGAAAATACACTGTACATATTTTGGAATTCAAACTGCACAGTTTGCTGCAGAGATTGAAAAGCTCCTTTAGATTTGCAATGCTCTATTGCAATTCTGTAAGATCAACGTGTCACAGCTTCTGTAAATGCATAGCCATTTCATATTACCAAGTTTCCCAAAATCTGACAGAATCCAATACCCACTTTTGCAGAATTTTCGTCGATTTAGTGTTATACTTCCAGTGTTACTTTACACGTTGCTTGATGTCAGCATTTTGTGAAGGTAAAAAGGCTGTGTCGTTGGTTGACTGCATAGTGTTGGCTTTTGAAGGATTAACAAAGATTACTGGCAAAATGCCCTGGAATTTATGCTCACTAAACCAAGACATTGGATTAACATTAATTTGGCTGAATCTAACAAAACCCAACAGAGGGAAGATACCATTGGCAAGTATTTGTGTGAGCAGTGAACATAAGACCTTTAATTCTAAATGTTAGATTCTGTTGGATTCAGCAGGTGGTCAAACGAAAGCCGACTAGTGTTATTAACTACCTCAGTGTCATGCTGCATTGTAGAGAAATCTCCCTCCAGTATTGGCCTTGTCTCCTCTGCATAACCCTCCACTGATTCTCCAATATCCTCCTGTCTGACATCACCAATTTCTTCATAAGCTTCTCCTTCCTTCTCATTGACATTGTCCCTTAGACTCGCATCATCTTCCCTGGTCCCAATCCCAGATGACGATGAAGAGGTATTCAAATGCACCTCCGGTTCATTCCCTGTTGTACGACCTTCCAAAGATTCACCAACTTCTCCAGGTCTGGCACCTTCAAGTTCATCAGGAGCATCCGCTTTTATAGATTCCTGCACATCCGGGACGTTTACTCCCAAGGCCTGGACAGCTTCCTGACCAGGTCCCTCAGTGTTAATTACACTGCATTCGTTATCGTTTCCAGGCTTTTCTTTCATTGACTGCACATCAGCAAAACCCCCATGCCTTCCCACTGCCTCTGCGAGGTCTTGGGATACCTCTGACTTATTTTCCTCTCTTGACTGAGGCACCTGCACCTCTGTATCCAGATTAAAGGACAACCTTCTACTTGATTCGGTGGCAATTTTATCTGAAGGTCCTTCATTGTCAGATTTGACATCCATGTTGAGGGACGCCTGTCCATTGGCAATCACAACCTCAATCCCTTCATCTTCAGCAAGAATTGTTCTCTCGTCTTCATCTGAACATTTGTCCTCCTCCTCCGATAACCTTGCCTTTTCTAATTCATCTTCTACTCTGACATCACCAACTGCACCCTTCCTCTCACATTCTGGGGATGATTCAGTTGGTATCTGCTCAGTCTCCTCATACTTCACATTCAAGTTGACATCTTCCAAGTCTCCCCTCCTTTCATCCTTTACAGCAGACTCTGGCATCTGTGATGACTCCACCAGATCAGGGTCTTCTCCCAGCTCATCTCTGGCGCTTCTCAGGACATCACCATTTAACTGGGACACTTCACGAACCAAGTTGTGGTCTCCATCAGATGTACCTGAGATATTTCCAATCTCTTTGCTACCTACAGAATCTTCAATAATGCTAGAATTATATTCATTGTTTGTATCGACACTGTTCAATCTTACATTTGACTCAATGCCATCAACTTTGTCTGTAGAAATTAGCAGTGAAACATTTCCATTTTTGCAGTAAGCATCAGAACCTTTATCCAATCCACTTTTACTATCATCATTACAAAGGCATTGGTCACTCATTGCATTTGTTGTGTTTTTAGCATCCACTGGGTTGTCTGAATGTTTGTCTTCACATACAATACTTCGGTTACAATCTCCATCACTTATAGGTGCATCCCCAGCAGGAATCACATCCACAAAGTTTCCAATCTCTTCTCTTTCCACAAATCCATTGTCTTTCTCATCAGTACCTGGGTTCTTTCCGCTGAAATCTTCCGCCAAACAGTCTCCAATCCCAGATTCTGGTGACTCGCTCTTTTGCTCTGAGACATTTGGGATTGCTTTCAGAGATTCACTTGGAAACGAAAGCTGCTTGTTGCTCTCAGATATTATTTCCTCTCCAAGATCTTTCCCCCTTGAGCAATCAGTCGATGCATATGTAACAGCCACACCAGTTTGTGCATGACTTTCTTCTACACTGTCAGAATGTACTTTTTGTTCAGATAACGTGTCTCTCTCAGCCTCAGCTTCCAAGACATTATCTTTCAATCTCCCTTCCTCGGCAAAGCTTTGTTGTCCATCTTCCAAACAAGCAGTCCCATTTGGAAGATTCATTTCTGCGTATCCCAAATCAGTTTCATTTTTGGCCTTTGACGTAGTTGTGTCATTTTTGGCAAGTGGTGCTTCAGACAACACTATTTTACTATTCTGTGAGCTCCGTGGTTCAGTCAACAAATCAGGGCAGTCGAATGGCCTCTGCTTGGAATCAGACACATCAGTAATGTCGTAATGACCTGAAGCCATTTGAGCATCAGAAGGACTAATTCCAGTCACCTCTCTTACTGAAGAACCTCCGTCCTCTTGAAGGGCTTTCACAACATCATCACTACTACTGGATAACACTACTACCTCATAACCACCATCTTGCATCGAACTTGGTGACCTATACTTTTGATTGTCCCTTTTAGAATCTTCCCAGGGAGACTCTGATCTTGAACTGGGCCTGCTTGATTTAGATGTGGAGGCCATCCAACTTGGCGACCCAGCCTTCCAACTGTCCCTTTTAGAATCTTCCCAGGGAGATTCTGATCTTGAACTGGGCCTGCTTGATTTAGGCGTGGAGGCCATCCAACTTGGCGACCCAGCCTTCCAATTGTCCCTTTTAGAATCTTCCCAGGGAGACTCTGATCTTGAACTGGGCCTGCTTGATTTCGACGTGGAGGGCCAGAGCGACTCAACCACAGTCCCCTCCAGCATCCCGGTGAAATTTGAAAACAGCTTTGAGCTGATTCTTCTCTCCAAAGTTCTCTTCGATACGGCTTGGTTACTCGTCAATGGCTGGTTCTTGCCGTTTGATTTTTCTGTTGGAGAAGAGGGCGGCGTGCAAAAAATGCCTTCTGGTTGTTTGGTTTGGACTGGGCTTGGACGGGGCTTAAGCAGGGGCTCAAGGGGCGTCGAGAGCTGTTTGTACTGTTGCTGAGTTACATAGACGGACATGATCCGGACACCAAACGGCAGGACTGTGTCTGTCACAGACTTGGAAGGATGCTGAAAGAGAGAAAATAGAGACTTGCCCCAATCCAAAAGTATGAAATATTCACAAAACTTAAAATTCAAGTAACAATTACTTTATATAACCAATTTTGATGTACTGTAATTTCTTTCTGATGTAAAAACCATACAATTATTTTGTCTAGAAGACTAGTTTGTTTATGGTGTAAATCGAGGATTTTATATTGTTCCTCTTCCCTTTTCCATTGTTTATACACTAACTTTTTTGCAACAGCTGTCATTGGTTTTGTACACGTTTTCTAATCGAGGTCGCCCTCGATTCGGTTCCTGTCCTCGATTCATCGATGATGTTGCACGTGTGTATCCTCGATTTACACCATAAACACGCACCACGAATCATAAAATGTAGTCATCATCATATTATTATTTTACCGGATAAACCTGAAGTTCAATCTCATCGTTCGAGAAGACTGAAAGACTCTGATACAATTGTTCAAATTCAACACGTTATTAAAAAAAAACAATTGAAATGAAAGAAAAGGAAAAACAATCTCCTGACTTACATGCAGTTGATTTGGTTTAATAAGGAGCAGATGAGAGGTCAACTCAGGGGTCAGCTGAGTACAAAGCACACTGGAAGAAAATTGTAAAAACAGTATTTTCAGCTTAACGCAACAATGTTCAACAGGTTTATATATTTGTGGGGACTTGTTGAATTCAGCACTCAGCAGGAAAAGTGTAACCGTAACTTTTGAGACGATGGGAGCTATAGGTCCATTGAACAATGTAATTATTGGATTCTGTGGAAGCTAAATGGTTCAGACTGACTCCAGGGCTGTTTGGCCTTGTGACAATTGACTTATTATCCCTTTTAGTCTTCTGCGCTTAACAACCCTTCAAGTTTTGCCAAACCATTGTTGCCAATAGAGTTAGCTTCAAATTCCTTTGAGGCATTCTTCTGTGGAGTATGGATAACACTTCAAATCCCAACACAATTCTTTTGCGTGGTTAAAACCCTAACCCCCAAGGGTTTGTCAGGACTACCCTGCTAAATCCAACAGAGTTCAACGGTTACTTACTGCTCAATCCAACATAATCCAACTGTGCCTAATTTTTAGTCGTTTATTTGATCCAACAGTGTCCAACTTGGCGTTATTTATCAGTACCCAACAGAATCCAACTCTGAATATGTACATGTACATTTGTACCAGGGGTTTAATGCTCAATCCAACAGGCTCCAACAGGTATATATAGTTGGATCTTGTTGGATTCAGCAGGGTTAGGGTTGCTCAGAGCAAGCAGGCAGATCATGCAAAATTATCATTCAGGCAGAACTGCTTTCCAAAGTGCTAGTTTTGTGTGTGCAGTGACTCTCCATGTGATGCAGTTCCTATAATGCTCCTTCACCTGAAACTGACATGTAGTGTTTTGAAGGGTTTTACATATTGCTCTGAATATTGACTTTCCACTAAAAATGGTTATTGGATTTTTTAACACTTTTTACAGCAAAAAATCAAAGTATATAATATGAAACATTTTGGAACTTGTGTTATTATGACTGCAGATCCTTAAGAGCAGCAGCGTACCTTTGTTTGTACAGGATACAGCCAGCGAGAAGTGAGGGCTGGCCCTTCAGCCACTGTAGAAGATGAGAACATCTTAAGAAGATGACATTCCCACCCTGGTTGGATATAGAGAACGAAACAAGTTTCAAGCTTGTTTTATTTCACTAAAATATATGGGCGTCGCCAGGATTTTTTTTTCTACAAGAAAAAAACCCCACATTTTCCACCCAAAATCCCTGTACAGTGGAATGTCCCATACTGAACACTGCTATTCCTGAACATTCGGCTATGCCGCCCGCTGTTTGTATACAACATACCGAACATTGTTGTCAACAGAAGAACAAAAAATGGCTATTATTTCTCCAAGGAACAGAAGCGGAAAGCCATCCATTGCTGTAGGTAGCAAGCGCCCCCCCCCCCCCAAAAAAAACAATTTGAAGGTCAAGGTATAAACGCCACGTTCTTAGTTGGGTGGACATTTCCGGTTGACGTCTCATTCAAAGGTGAGTAACTTAAATTATATTGCTAGGAAAATAGCAGCTGAAAAAAAAAGGTAAATCTATTTTTCGGGGAGAAAATTGACTATATGGCATAGATTACCATTTTAATTTATTATCTGAGAGGAATATCCATCGGTTCAATCTTGATTTCAATACCGATAAAAATGTTAGAGGAAAACAAAGATTAACATGCAAAGAAAGACACACAATTAGTTTACAGGAGAGGATATATCTATCACGAAAGCCTTATGTAAATGGGGGGGGGGGGTTAAGTCTAAGAAACGCCCTAATACGAGGGCGGGGTATCCGATGCTCTCCCCTGCATTTTAAGGCAATATAAGATTAAATTTCGCCCACAAATCTGCCATGTTTTTATAGTTAAAATACATAAGTTCCAAAGACTATGACGGCGACTGTTGTGAATAGGAATCATGATTAAGATCAGGGATATCGAAAATCTAAGGTCAAGGGTCAGAGATCTGAGTATCCTGAATGCGATCTAAGATGAGAATCCCACAAGATCAAGATCATGAACTTGTAGGCTTACAATAAAACAGCAGATATGACCCTTTATCGTAACTTCATTATATTAGATGTGTGTACATGTATGTCTGTATTAATTAGCTATGACATGTAATAAGTATTTATTAATGACATCATCTGATATATTAATGATGGAAGCATGACGTAGGCGACAGCCAGTACTTGACGTCGACTGATGTCATGATGAAGATCAAGGTCAAGATCACGATCCTCTGATCAGCGCACACGATGAGACAGTTACATGCTGCACAATGATGTATTTCGCGACTGAGGTCAACATCATGACAGTCTGACAGACTTTAGGGCAAAACTAACGAAATTCCTACCAACCAATACAAAATATCTCAAGATAGGCCTAATTTACATTGGAGTATCTGTCACCATGATTACATCAACAACTGCCACCTAATTATTTCATGTTTACTTTCTTCTCTTTTGATTTAGGCAGGGATGACTTAAGATGTTACGATTGAAGAACGACACCTTGTGGTCACATTGCTGAAGACATAATGGCTCAGAATTGAAAGACGCCTGTATGGAATTGCCCAAGTCAAAAGACATAGATGCTTTTATAATAACTTTTCCAAAATACAGATAATATCCATCATAAAGATTTCCTTGACAAAACGTGTACAATGCAGGAGTGAAATTCATGGAGACAATGTTAATATAGATTAGAACAAATAAGATGTAGAATTAATGACGATCATAGAAACAGAATGTAATAGAATAAAGACCTTATAACCAAAGAGATAAACAAGTTAAGTTATGATCGCCAAAAATATTTTCCTACCTTCAACAGTTTTACACTTGGGATGGGTTCAAACATGGCCGGCACTGTGTTGCCATAGCGACGGACATAGGGCACGTAAAAGTCCCAAATGGCAGCCATGTTGGAAAGAAAAGCCTCATTGTTGCTAGAAAGCTATGAGAAAAGTTCAAAAGTAGAAAACATTAAACAGTAAGAAATTACCTAACATTGTTTTCACACAGACACTGATACAGAGATAAAGCACACAAGCCTAAGGGTAGGGGTAGCCTGACTTTGTTTTAAACAAAACCTAACAAGAAAAAAATGTGTAATAAAACACTAAGAGAAGGAACTTTTAGGGAGTAATTAGTCATTTTTGTGGACCTCATTTCTTCTCTATTCTGTATATATTTTGGAAATTCCTTAACTTTTCCAGTTGTGGCAAATTCTTAATAAAATATCATATGTGGTTTTTTTCTAGTGCTATCAGTTTGGTTTTTTGGGGGGAAGGGGGGGGGGTGTTACAGGACAAAAGTCTTTCTTTTGTGTGGGTGGGTGGGTGGGGGGAGGGGTTACAAGCCTCCTTCCCCCCATAGAACTGTTGTAGGGGGCAACATGGGGTAGGAGTGGAAACATACCCTTTTAACTCTTGTGATTGAGCAGTGGTAGAAAGCAAACACTTTGTACAGGTTCTCCAATTTCCGAATGATGGCCGTGTCTGGGGTCCTCAACTTGCAAGCTAGTGCCTAGAGATGGCGAATGGTATCAAATTTAAACATACCTGAATGACACTAATATATGACTATTGAAATAAACACACAAGCGCGTATTGAATTTTTAATTTTACTGGAGCTGCTTAAAACTCTGCAGAAAAAAAGGCTGCATTCAAATTTCTTAGCTATGACCAGCTGTACCACACAAGTCTGTGGGAAAGGATTTGGCCGTTTCCATAGGTGCATGTGAAATTGCCAGTCATTGCATAGTAACTTTGAACATGAAATCACAAGGTTAATTTAGTTGGGGATTTCGAAGTAGAACCCTGTATGTGTTTTGTGGCAAGAAAACGATTAACATGATGTTCTGAACAGTCTGTTCCGTTCTTTTTACAAGAAGGTAGGAAGCAACGCTATCATAAGAAATCGAGGTTTGGTACCTGGGATTATGAAACATATGAAGGGTTACAGGAGAAAATGCTCCCCTTTGGGCTTGGAAACGTGTATTCAATTAATCTGATTCGGTATTTCAAAGTTTTCTCCATAAATGTAACACAATATTAATTTCCTGTTACCAAGATTTTGAAAGAAGGTAGGTAAATGAACTAAAACATGAACTTTTTGTGCTAAATCTGTAAATACTTACCACGGAAAAGTTACCCTCGTGTATGGTGGCCACTTTGAGCTTCCGCAGTTTGTACAATTTGGGAGGCGCCCCTCCAATGGCCTTGGTGCAGTTCACCATGCCCATCAGCTGGTTGCAGAAAATGCACTGGACGTCAATGGAAGTCTGTCAGGAAAGGCACAAAATTTATTATTTTAACTTTTCAGTTTTAATATTTTGTATGTTTTTTACAACTGTTTGTTTGCGTACAGCTCATGAGTTTATATGTCATCGAAGGAAAATGGCACCCTCAGCTTCATCTCGGGTACCAAGTTTATGTTTACGAATATAACAGCTTATTAATAAAGAGTCGTAACCTTTCTGAGTGATGCCTGTTGATTATTTCCCTTTGGGCGTGATCCCTGACTGCGCGGCACATACGGGTTTATGGCTTCTGACTAGCGCCCCTTGAACAAAGATATTGACAAATTGGGGAACCACCTACATGGGGCTGGATAAATCAGTTGGTAGAGCACCGGAACGGCAATCCGGAGGTCGCAGGTTCAAGCCCCACTCCAGTCAATTTCTTTGTTCAACCTTTAAATAAATAGCTTATGAATGTGGCAGATTCTGTTAGTTCTGTATTGTATTTATAGTGGTATTATTATGGTGAATTTATATGTAGTATTTGATTCTTGTTTAATTTTTAACAGGTTTATTTTGCCAAGTGTTTTTTTTTACTGTAATTGTACTGTGCTTGTATGAACACATTTTCGGTACTAGTGCACAATAAATAAATTACCACCGTTATTATCATTTTGGGTCATTCCATAAATTTGGGGTCCAAAAGCGTGACTTTTTTGTGTCCCTGTTACACCTGACCTGTGTAATTTGCCATTCAATTATCATTAAAAGTTACTTCACACTATTTTTTATTTGTTTGGCAGATACTTTGTTTTACATAATCACTCTTGGAGGTACAAGAAGGCATTACAGAATATGTCCTGAATTACAAAATCTTATACATGTTACATGTAACAGGGACACAAGAAATTTGAACCAAATTTATGGAATGACCTCTTTGCACTTGGACCATAAAGAAAACAGTATCAGGGATTAGAACTTACGTGTTGCGGAAAGTAATATATAATCGCATCCTTAGGGTCATCATCTTCTTTCTTTATGACCGAGTGATCGTAGACGAAGAACGTTCGGTCCCCCGGTCTAGAAATGGGAACGTTATTAAAAGGTGAATACCACGAGTTGACAGTTAATCATCTAACATACATCGCAGCAAGGTAGGTGGTTGAAACTTGAACAGTCTTTAAAATGGCTGCTTTGATAGTAGAAAATTAACCCCAAAATGGGTCAAAATAATACTAGTTCCACGACATCTGAAATGTCTGAAGAAATAAACTCTGGGTATTAGCATCCTGACATTTTAGGACAACACCCTTTTCATGTATAATCTCAATAATGGCCCCATGATTTTGATCATTATTATCTCAATGAACATCAGCCTAGGCTGCAGAATCAGACCTAAAATGTAAACACGCGTTGAAATAAGATACATTGCGTGACATGATGACCAAACCGTAACATTAATAGCATTAACATAACATAAAAACTTAGGTCTACATTACAAACATGAATGTCAACAATACAAATTTCAATTAGGCCTATCAAATTTTATCATGTCAATACTGACATGACAATAGGCATTGCGTTACGACAAGCACGCTATATTTCTGTATTTGCAAACGATAACCACGGAGGTAACAAAAACACTCATGAACTAGATAACTAGATGACTAGAAATCGAGACACCAACATTACAACAAGCCAAATTTAGCGATACGACTACGAGTTATCCCGGATGTTTTATTTACCTCATGTGAGCCGCCATCTTTCTATCAATTTCTGTCATGTGACTTCACCCGGCCGCATAGACTTGTTACAAAGCGTTCAATTAAACTTTTATGCGCCGATGAGACGTCAGATAGATTATGGCTGAACCAAATAAGTATACAAACAAAGAAAAATTAACAACCAAACAAATCCCAAAAGGATGTTATACAGGCTACGATCCTGGTAATTATGTTTTATTCTCGTATTCGATCAAGATACGCTGCAAATTTCTATCCATCCACAAAAAATCTTATGACATGTAATTTGTTTTCCCCGTGACCTGATCAGTGGTCGCCCACTCCTCATGCAGTGTGTAGCAGGCATTGAAGAACATCACGTGCTGTGGGTGGGGCTTAATGGTTGGAGACGGTTGGAGACGATTATCTCCAACCATTAAGCCCCACCCACATCATCTCCAACCATTAAGCCCCACCCCAGCACGTGGCCGGCCACACGGGTTCGTTTGACATGATCATGACCAGCTAAATATGTGCTTTTGAATCCTGCTATGCAAGTTAGGAGTGTGGAGTGGCCGTGAGCTCTTGTGCATGGAAGTAGGAAACATGTAATACTTGTGCACTTGCATCTTATTTGCAGTTTTGTATTTTCAATATTTATGTTTTAAAAATTCGACAAAAAACAGCACATTTTATTTGGTTTGGAAAAGGCTTTGTTTTGGTTGGCTTTTTCGCTATCGCCCAGACTACGTGCAGCATAAGTGCACATGACACAATATGTGCGCTTGAACTAGAAAGTTGTGAAACGATAATACCGTGATAACATAAAAAAGTGGGCTTTTGTCGTCCAAAAAAACCCACAACATTTTACAATTATGAAAATCGAAAAATGATGGATACAGCTATTCAAGCCGGCTAGCCCCCCCCCCCCCCCAATCGAAAGAAACCCACCGGGTGGCGGTTTTTTTTCTTCTATCGCCACCGGGTGTACGCTTGTATGACTCCAATAGAAAGCATACAATAAAATTTCTACACAATGTCGTTAAGTCTCACAATTTGTAAGTGTTAACAGTTTTGCCAACTTTTTTCATATTTTCAGTATTGATCTTTTTGGGAAGAAACGTGAACATTACTTGACACTTGGGGGCCGCGTTGTTGTACCGCTAATTTTATCGCAATTTTATCATCCGACGGCGACCGCGCGCAAGGTCGGTGGATGACCGCTATAGTGACCGTTTTAGCCGATTTTCGGCTAACTTTGACTGATTTTTTGTTAAAAAACGAGCTTGACAGAAAATTTGACAGAATGGACTTTTTTCGGCAGATTTCTGGCAGAATTCTGCAAAACTGGTTATTTGACAGAAAAACATAGCAAATTTGAAAAAAAAAATGGTACATTTGTTTAAAAAAAACTTCACTCTTTTTCAAACAAACCCTTGCATAGGTTGGCTCACTGAGGACCGGACTTCGTCGTGACGCAAATTAAATGCCTTTTGCCTGAAATTTACGCAATTTCATTACATCTTGATGAGAATATAGATTGTTTACAATGTAATTTGAACCTTAATTTAGGCAACGCCATCTGCATGTGATTTTAAGTGTTTACAGTGTACTTCGGGTAATTCTGGGGATTTTTGGCAGATTTTTGATAAATCTGACAGATTTTTGAAGTGTATTTAGCAGAATTTAGCCATGACCTTATGGTCACCCTGATGACCGCACATATCATGTTTTGCTAGCCGCCGATGGCGCGCTGTCAGACGGGTGTCGGACGCTTCGCCCCATTTCCACGTCGCCCCATGTCACTTCGCCCCTAACCACTTCGCCCCATCCCCACTTCGCCCCATCCCCACTTCGCCCCATCCCCACATCGCCCCATCTCCGCTTCGCCCCATCCCCACTTCGCCCCATCCCCGCTTCGCCCCATCCCCACTTCGCCCCATCCCCACTTCGCCCCAGTAGTATGAAAAAGGTGAAGGCTAGTCTAGGGGTGCAGACAAAATAAACTGCCAAAGACCCCAGTTAATAAATGCTCCCAATTCTAGAAACTCAGGAAAAATACAAACTCTCTGATGTGGTGCTAGAGACAGATGAGAGATCCCATTCAGAGACGCCTCTCCTATTGGCTTGTGAATAAAATCATCAGCCGCTGGATTCAAAAGAATCCGTAGGTATGGGTCAGTGAGTTAAAAGGAACTCACTGCCTTGAGGAAAATGTTCCGTCAACATTTGTCTGATATGTGACACTTACAACTTCATTTAGATGAGATTGGTTCCTCCAAGAGTGAAATTAGGATGTCAAAGGTATTGTCGTTCTCAGGTAAGTGGGAGACGGGTTGGTATAGCCGGGTTGGGAACAAAGTTGGATCTTTTACTTCAAGCTTTTTTCTCGGTAGGGGAGAGCCTAGCTTGAGAGGTTGGTTATGAATTGTTCATTTGGTGATGGGCTAATTCTTTTCGTTGGTTAGCAATTAGTGAATCTGTTGAAATTGTTTTTTTTTAAGCCAAAAAAATAGATGAGATTTTTTTTTTACATTTAACGGTTGGGGCGAAGTGGGGATGGGGCGAAGCGGGGATGGGGCGAAGCGGGAATGGGGCGAAGTGGGGATGGGGCGATGTGGGAATGGGGCGAAGTGGGGATGGGGCGAAGTGGTTAGGGGCGAAGTGACATGGGGCGACGTGGAAATGGGGCGAAGTGTCCGACATTCTGTCAGACAGCTGATGGCCTGAGTGCAGGAGTGAGGAAGGTCAAATTGTACGTGCTGTACGTGCCGGGCCGGCCATGGACTCCGGGATCTTTGTCCTTTGATGTTGACCAGCCAGGCCTGGGACGCGGCGTCTTCATTGCAATTGCATTACGACTGTACACAACCGAGTCCAACCTGGGCTAGGTCGAATTTGGAAGGAAGGAAGGAGGAAGAAACAAGAAAGCAAGTGGATAACCTTGTCTTGCCTTTGTACTGGAAGAATTGTACGTGCCCACATGTGAGTATCCATATTCTGTTAGTAAGATCATGGAGGTAGGAAACATTTAATTGAGTCTGAAAAATCTAGCCAACCAATGCACAGGTAATCAGGTACACTCCGTTACTTCGCTCCTATAGCCCACTAGTGTGGCCGCGGCCGCGGTATGCTGCGCTGAACCAGAGGTTCAGCGCAGCATACCGCGGCCACACTAGTGGGGCTACGCTCCTTACATCATCATGGAGGAATTCCTCCATGACTTAATGAATGAAGACGAAGTCTAGGCCAACCGGGACATGATGGTCCAACCAACCATGGAGAACTAGGAAAGATTCCCATAAGGGCCATAGACTATATGATCTGGTCTTCTCTAATTTAGCAGGGAAAATATTGAAGTATTTACTGAGAAAATATTTAGAAATTTTCAGACCTAACCAGTCTCATGACTAACATGAGGGTTTGTTCAAACATGGAGAGCAGCTTCAGGTTTTTCAAATAAAATTTATTAACCCCACTGTTGTTTAAATTGTCACAAACAGGCAAAGTTTCCTTGAACTTGGCCCGGGTATACTTTAAAGGGAATGTACATCGTTGGCTTTTGCTGTAATTTTCAGAAATTAACTTTATGAGGGGTTAGTATAATTTGTAGATCAAATATTGTTACACTGACAAGTGACATATATGATGTTTGAAGTTTTGTGTTCGAAAATGCTGGAAAAACCAAGAAAAACAAAAATGTCTAAGTAGTCTGGTTCCCTGACTCCACTAAAGATGAAATGGATCAATTTATAGAATTAGATGCCAGAAAATTGTTTGGCAAAGGAACCAGTCTGGCTGGCCTGCACCCGTTCATGAATATGTAACCAATAGCAAACAAAATTTGGACTGAAAAAAAAAGGTAAATTGGAGCAGTAGTTGAAAAATAGTCAGGCTTTTCCAACGGTGGTCGGCTGACCACCGGTGGAAATTTATACAAAAATACCACTTTCCTTGAAAAGACTTCACACACCGGGTGCCATAATTTTACAAGATTGCTTTAGACTGTCATTTACCAACATCCTAGTAAGGTATTTTATAAAAATTTGGTAGTTTTGTTTTTAGATGTTCGCAAATGTTGTATTCCCTAAACACACCAATGCAGTGGGGTCACTAGACCAAAATTGACACAAGTAGCATTATGGCTCGGAGAGCATGTTTGCATAGGAATAATGTAATTAATTTTAAATTATTAATTGAACAATTAATTAAAAATATATTGTTTACCTAAAAGTTCTATTGAGCCATAAACAATAATAAACGTGATGCAAACTGCATGGAAATAATCAGAGTAAATTGATTACATAACCACCATTAACTCTGAATCTACATGTTTCTGTAAAGGCTGTATTAAAGTATGCTCATGAGCTGTGAGCTGGAATTTCTGCAGCTAGAAGTAGAACGAATATAAATTGGAATGCCTAGAATATCACCAGCTAGATTGAATTACTGAAAGTATAATTAGATCAGGAGTGTTAGGTTATAGCTAGAATAGTGTCTGGATACTCATCCTATGTAATTGTAGATGGCCATGGCTTTATGGTCTAGGGAAGAAAACGGTGGGTCCGGAGGTGTCTAATGAGGCCAATCCGGGCCCGGAAAGTCCTCCCACATGGGCTGGTGGTGTGTTGGTTGGGGCTTATGCTCTAGCCTTGCACATAGCCCATTTCTGCTCCACTTTGTGGAGTCCAAATTAGATGGCCTCTGTCGATGTCATTGACCCACTGTCCGAAACGACATTAACCTCTAGCTCTAAATGCTGAATTCCCGATGAGCAGTTGAGCTGGAATGTCTCCATCTAGGAAGAACATACGTTGGAATGCCTAGAATATCAGTAGCTAGATTAAATTACTGCAACTATCATTAGATAGGAGTGTTAGGTTATGGCTAGCATAATGTGATCATTGAGGCATGTCATATATTGTTCGTTGAAAAACCAACCTGCTTGGTAGTAAAAAAAAAATATAATAATAATGACAAAGCAACAGTAGTGTGATCAGACGTTGTTAAATGCTTTTGTTTTCATGAACCGTGCAGAAATCAAGATGTCTGAACTGTTTGCAGACCGCAACGAACAGAGCAGCGTGTACGACTGCATCGTGGTAGGCGGAGGTGTTATTGGCTCAGGCGCCGCCCTTCAATTGGTCAAAGAGGGCTACAAGACGCTCCAATTAGAGCAGTTCACTCTCCCGCACAGCCGCGGCAGTTCGGCGGGACCGTCGCGCATGTACCGCAACGTTTACAGTCAGGAGCACCATGCTGCGATGGCCCGCAAAGTCATTGAAATGTGGGAGGAGCTGGAACAAGAAACGAATACAAAGCTTCATTGGTAGGAGAATTAACAACTGATTTTTGGGCGGTGGATTTGATTGATAAGGCCAAAAAAAATAATACTTCCGCTTCCGGTTTCCCTACCTACCCTATTCTGACAACCCCTACCCTAATTTATTTTTATTAGAGAATTGAGAAAAAACACCCAAAACCATCAATTTCTACCTTTTACTATTGACTACCCGCAGACGCCTCCATGTGATCGTACACAAAAAAATTTGCAAAAAAAATATTATTTCCCTACCTACCTAGCCTATTTTCAAATGCCATGTAATCGGAAGCAGAACTTTTTTTTCTTTTTTTTGCCTAATCTACTGCATGCTTGTAAGAAAGTGTTGACCTTATTTAACTAAACTTGTTTCATCAGTACTTTACCTCAATACTAATTCTATGATTATAAACTATATAGGATTCAAATTACCACTGTCCCAAACCCCCTTCTAGGGTAACCACCTTCTAGGGTAACCCCCTTCTAGGGTAACCCCTTACCCCTTTCTCCTAGGGGAACCCCTTCCTCCTAGGGGAACCCCTTCCTCCTACTAGGGGAACCCCCATCCCCTTCTAGGGGAACCCTTCCTCCTTGGGTACCACCTCCCCTCCCTCCCCACACACAAGTGTGTGTATCGGGGACCCCCTATTGTCCCTAACTTTTTAGGAATACCTCCCATATGTTTTGTCAAATCCAAATCGGGGACCTCTCGGGAATTGGGGACCCTATTGTCCTCTATTGTTCAACGTCCCCTATTGAATGCTGAAACAAAATCATGCACATATTTGTAAACACTGGCAATCGTGGACCCCTATTGTCTGTTATCCTCATTACTTTTTAGCAACAGCTCTTATTGGTCTTGTACATGAATTTCAATCGTGGACTATCAGGCAATCGTGGACATATTGTTTGTGCCCTAACCCTTTTGTCCTAGGTCCACGATTGCGAGTGTTTACATGCTCTGTCCTCGTCACTTCCCCAACATCCCCACTCCTCTGGTCACATCACTGTAAAACTATGTCGGCCATATTTTCAATCATCCAATCTCGTCAGGCAAACAGGATTGTTGGTGCTAGACAGATGCAAGACGCAAGAATTCCGTCGAATGAAAGAGAACCTAACGAAGTATAACTTACCCTTCGAAGAGCTAACCACCAAACAGCTGGTGAATCGATACCCTCTCATGTCCTACAAAGGCCCCTACCATATCCTCCTCGATCACGAAGCCGGAGTTCTCCTTGCAAACAAGTGCCTCAAAATAATGCAGGTATTTAGTTTTGTTATATTTTGTTGTTGGTTTTTTTTTTTTGTACTTAGTATTACATGACTGACTGACAGACCCATTGACTGACCCACTGACTATCACTTTAAATTAGACTTGCATAAGTTTTACCTTGGCTCAAAAATTTGACTTGCCCCAGAGGACCAGCCTGTAATCCTCTCTGTACCTTTAATACTGACTCACTGATTGACTGTCACTTAGACTTGCGTAAGTCTAACTTGGCCCAAAAAATTGACTCTGCTGGTCCCAGAGGGCCAGCAGAGTTTTCTTTGAACCCATGTCACGGACTCGCTGATTGGCTAACTGACTGACTGTCACATAAATTAAGGCCTGTTTATTCTTCATGCGATGCCAATTTGATGTCATGAAGCATTCACGGCATTCAAGTTGCAAAAATGTGTTCAACTTTTACAAATTTGCAGTGTGAAAACTTGCCCTGACGTCACAAATTCGCGTTTGCATTTGCTTTCCCGCCGAGTATGAAACGGCGTTAAGACATCCGTAAGTCTCACCTTTTGCCCCAGACTACATTGTGTTGTGTCAATTATCAATTACATTTGGAAGTTGTTTCATTCTCTTGTCTTTTTGTCTAGGATCTGTTTGTCAAGAAGGGAGGCGTGCTGCGAGACGGTGAAAAAGTTGTCAGGATTATCCCAGGCCGGATTGTCACCGTGTGCACCAGCAGCGGACGGGAGTACAAAGCAGGGAGTCTGGTCCTTACTCCAGGGCCATGGGCCTCCAAGATGCTGAAGCCACTTGGACTGGACCTACCGCTGAAGGTAAGATGTTTTGGATGATGTGCTCGGCCGGCTTGAGTCTTTGGGTGTCCCCTCCCCCCAAAAAGGACAAAAAGGAACAAATTCAAAGAGCACATGGAATCCTTGAATATATTTTGAGTTACATAATATATCACAAACAGCGCCCCCTAGCCTCAGAAAAGGTCCATTCTCCCATCCCCTTCCTCCTTCTCACCCCCACCCCAACCGGTAAAAAAATACTGTTGATCTCTCTCAAAATACAAATCCAGGGTTTGCCACTGACATAACTTGCTAAACCGTAACGAATGTTAGGTTGAAGATTATTTTTCCGCTGGTCGGGTTATTTTTTTTAAACAAACTCAATACAACATTGCTCACTTCATTTCACATTTTTTGCATGTCTTTTTCTTTTCAATTCATTCATTGGTTCAACATAAAATCAGCGTTGAAACTTGTATTGAAATGTTGCAGGCGTGGAGGGTGAGCATCTGCTATTTCAAGGAGAAGCAGCCTGGTGCGTACTGGAACTACCCGCCGATGTTTGACCGAGTAGGAAACGGTTTCATCTACTGTTTCCCGAGCCAAGATTACCCAGGCTACATGAAGGTAAGTTGAACCCCTCAAGGGGGCGGAGCCAATGAAATAAAAAAGGGGGGTGCACATAGACAAGAGAGTAAAACTAAAAGATAACCTAGCCAGATATCATAAAGGAAAAAAAAAACAATTGCCAAGGTTCCATTTAGGGATGGATGAATGGCAAATTTGGTAACCATATACTGCTCGATTTTTCAAAAAAAAATATAGCAGCCAATTTCTGATAGCCAGCCAAATGCCACAAATAATGATCCGCAAGAATCATTTCAACGATATTTATTTCCGCAACCTCATATATTTCACTACTCCGGGGTGTGCACGCCCATGGAGTGTAAATTGCACAACAATAGGTTGTGCACAGTGGCCTTGTTCAAGTTCAACACACGGTCCGCCTCCACAGACTTCTCGGACTTGGTGTGTGCTTACAAAACAAATAGGGGATTAGCGTGTTTAGACGTCATCCGAAGGCGAGTCTAGGCTCGCTTGACGTCTTAACCCGTCAGCCGTGCCTGTGTATAAAAACAGCCACATTGTGTTAACACGTCATCCGATGCGAACTGGTTAATTATCAAACATTCCTGGATAAAAAATCCCTTTTCCCTTCCTAAAATAACATTGCACAGTATTTGAAATCTTCATTAATTGATGATAGGCTTTGATTTCTGCATGTGTTTTAACACTTCAGTCAACCCCAACTATTCCTCCCCCTCTAAAAAAAAAAAAAGAATTAAATTTATCAACAATACCTCATCCTCCCTCCTGGAAAAATCCCTGGTCCAAATCTTCATTTAAAAAAAAAAACATTTGAAGATTTTGAGGCCCAACCACTCTACCGTCAATCACTTATGCCAAAAATCATCTTCTTTGTTTTGATCGCAAGTTCGGTTATCATCTTCGCTGGAACGAAGTAGATCCGGACAGCAGAGATATCCAAGAGGGACAACCCAAGTTGGATAAACCAATTGTGGACATTGAAGCTGTCAAGAATTACGTCAAAGAACACTTCCCTGGATTAGAACCAGAACCTTCCATCATAGAGAACTGCATGTACACGGTAAGTGCTCGCCCCATTCCAAAGGACTAATGTTTTATGTTCCTAGACCAAAAAATCAAATTACAAGTTCCTAGTTTAAAGGAATGAGTTCTGAGTTTCAAGTTTTGACTTTCGAGTTCAAAGTTATAAAGTTTGAATTTTGGGTTTCAAGTTTTCAGTTTTAATTTTTATTTTCAATGTTCAAGTTTCGAGTTTCAGCTTTCAACTTTCAACTTTTGAGTTTTGAGTTTCAAGTTTTGGGTTTTGAGTTGTGAGTTTCAAGCCTTACCTTGGAAATCATGAGTTCAACTGCCTTGGAATTTTGCTAGGAACCTTCCTCAATCCTATAAATTTAACAAGAAACCCATTGGCTCATTATTTCAAGTAATTATGCATGTGTAGTAATGCGCTATCAGGGTAAGACAAGTGCGGTAGAATTGGCAAATGGGACATCTATCAGAATTATTGTTGTTTCGTTTGTGAACAGTGCACGCCAGAGGAAGAAATTATTGTTGACAGCCACCCAACCTACCCTAACATCGCCATTGGTTGCGGCTTTTCAGGTGAGTCGGACATTCACACAATTCGAATTGCAACACAGTACACCATCAGAACGGCCACTTTTCAACTTCACGTTCGACTTCCTATGTATATTGGATAATCCCAATATCAGTGTTTACAAAAAAGTTTCATCATTTAAATTTTATTGAAATTTCATGTAATTCCTTTTCGAAAATATTGTGCTTGAATAAAATAAAACAAAACAAAACAGGCTTTCCAGCTCGTTCTTTCAACTCAGAGGGCTCAAGTTATGGAAAAATTTCGCATTTTCCGGATAGTTGAAGCATATACACTTCTCTTGCCTTCTACCCCTGTTACCCTGGTTCGAATCCAAGCCAGGCAATCATATGGTTTGGGTTTTCAGTCCCTGCCTGATTCTGTCAGTTATCCTTGTAAAATCACTCTTAAGGTTTTTCCTCCTACCTTTAAAACTGAACAGTTCTAAATCATTTGCTCACTCAATAATTGCCACATGCTTTCAAGCTTTAGTACATTCCCACTTTTGGAACAAATCATAGTGCCATTACCAGACAAAAAATCAAAACAAATAGACAGTCATTGAATCAGATGGGTGCATTTTATTTTTGTTCACAGGTAAAGGCTTCAAAATGGCTCCACTGACGGGCAAGATTTTGGCTGACCTGGCCATGGGCAAGCCTCCGACCTACGACCTCAGCCCCATCGGCATCAAACGATTCCTGCACCAGAAAGCCAAGCTGTAACAGGTCAAGATAAGAAAAGTCTAAAAATGGGAGGGTCTTATCTCGGCCACGCCCCTGAGGGAGGTCCATCTCATTTCAGTTGGGAATGGGCGGGGTTTATGTTTATATCAGCCTGTGAGGATGATGAGTCTTATTTTGATCTTGTACAGACCTCTACTGTTGTGATTTTTGTGGGTCTTGGGTTGTCTCATATTTTTTGTTACCTTTTACTGAAATTGTCGGAAGTCATCACAAATCATTCACAAGACATCACAAGCCCATCACAGTTCATTTGATTTATTTAAATTAAAGTTTTTCTCCAGAAAAAAACGGGTCAAGGCATTCTTGTGAGCTTATAATTGATTGCCTTGCAATTAATTCCATTGCAGTATTAGAATGCTCTATATTATTGCATTGAAAAGTCCTTTTTTAAGGTATGTACAAAACTGATTTTTGTAGATTTGTAGACTTGAAATTTTAATTTATTGAAAACTGAATTGTGTAGATAAAAAAAAGCTAATATTTTTTTTTCTAAATATATTTAGGATGTGGTATCAGGCTTTGTGTAATTATTTCTGCATGATTGAAATGTCTTTCATGCAGGGTTTTGAACATATGGAATAAGACTTTTAAATCACAGTTATACAAATTAAGATTCTAATTTTACAAATTCGGCAACTTTTGTAGCAAAACATTGAAATTTATGCAGTTGCAATGCAAAAAAATACTGTCTTCGAAGTTTCACACACCAAAAAAAAAAAAATAGCTGGAATAGTTGTCCAATATTTTTTGACAGTGCTTTCCCTAGTGATTTGGAATCAGGGTCATTGGCTTGCCCTTTGAATACAATTTAGTATTTATCAATTCACCTTCAGCACAAGTCCATAATTCATGTGTACTTTTGTGCAAATATTGTTTAAAAATAGTATTGTGCGCAGAATTTAAGTATGGGTGATATGTATAAAAACTAGCAAAGGATCAGAAGTTTAAGCAAACAGCAAAAACATTTATTTTGGAGTAATAGCATTGACAAAAGCAAAAGCTTGAATGTGTATGAATACCACAATTTTAGCATCTGTTTATTTGTTAAATGTTTGTAATATCAATAGAAAGTAAAATTTGTGGAAAGAGGTTGAGTGAAAGAGTCTTGCCAGAAAATGTCCAAAAATGTTACACATTACATGCATAAGGCTGTTGAGTATTAACATTACATTGTGAATAAGGTTGTTGAGTATTAACGTGAATATTGGAATATTAAGTCTAATTTAGTATATAGCAATAAAAGTTTGTATATTTAGTGAAGTTATATTTCAGAGTTTTTGTGTCTCACTGACTCCGACTAAGGTTAATTATAAATACATGTACATGTACTATTAGGGGGGAAAATATTCACCGGCACCAGACTAATATGTGACCTCGGCAAACACGTTGGGCAAGAGAGACTGCGACAAATTCATATCATACAAGCATGAAGACCAGCTCCAACTATATGGTCAAGTAAGGAAGGCACTTCAACCAGCTTGCAGCAAGACCCTCGCGCTAGTAACAGCTGTATCTACAGCTCACCCACCCTGACAACCAGCATTAAAACCCAAGTTCCTTTGTAAAAGGCCTCAATCAGCCAGTCTCCAAAAACGAAAAGCCTGACTTCTAGCTCTGACCATTTCGTCTGCAAAGTCTACTATTGAAAGCTATCGCGAGAACAGAAGCAAGTCCTCAACCCTAGGTCTAGCCCCATAACTCTTAGTCCAACAATCTTAAAGGTCCATGGAATTCAATTCCTATCAACTGGCAGTAATACCTATTTAAATGTCTCATCAGCTCCCAGTTACCCCTCAAAAATAAACCAGCCAACATTGAGTCCGCAGGTTTACCCTCCACCTCCAAACCCCTTCAGCTTAATTACAAAAACCTGATAGTTTTTCAAGAAAGTGCCATGGCAGAGCGGAAAAGAAGAGAGCTGGCATGCACTCGGTTCAACCCCAAAACTTTACCACTGCAGTCAGTAAAAATTCTTCTCCTGGGTCCCCCAGGATTTGATCCGGAGACCCGGCACCTGGCGACCAGTGAGCTAGACCACCAGGCCACAGGCTTCTTCAAAAATTGCGTTCGGAACTAATATTAAAAGGTTGGATTGCGCAATATTAAAAAAAAAAAAAAAAAAAAAAAAAATTGACCCCAGACCTCATTTGAATATTAAACCCAATACATTGCAAATGAAGCAAATAATAGTTCAATATGCCGTTTTAACTTTACTCGCAAGCATTGCTTTTATTACCATAATATTCTGTCCATAATTTACAGCCAATATTTCATTATTTCACAGGGTTGTGACAAACAAATACTACACACCAGCAATTTTCTGCTGGTCGGGGTACAAACTTTAAATATGAACTTATTTTGAACTTATTTAATAGTCATTAATGCTCAAAATCCAAAATGTTGTAATCCTTTACTTCGATAAATAGTACATTTGTAATAAATGTTACTGAATTAATATTTACTAAAGTACTCCAAATAAAACACAATATATCATTTCAAAATTCCCCTTGTTCTCAACTGTGTAGTTTCAAAACTTTGCTTTCAAACAATGCATATTATTGTTGTTATTATTTGTTACTACAGCAGATTGTATTACTACAACACCAGCTTTCAAAAATGATTAAGTGCAAATAAAGTTAACAAATTCTGCACCTTAATAATATGCCTAAATAACAACTGTCACAATCTTACCACTTGAGGGGGTAGTTCTGCACAGCCCTCAAAAAGTATTTTCTACCGACTGGACATTGATGAAAGTAGAATTTGTTCCCTAAAATTTCATTTTGTCTTATTGTTTATTGAAATGTAACTAAATTTGCATCTGCAGATTCTTAAAAATCTTAAAAATCAGCACAATTCAGAATACATACATTACATGTACCAACAAGCACCAATGATTTACATATGCTTACATTCCACAGGTCTAGAAATAACAATAAATAATTAAGTATATAACAAATCACCAAATTATGTAGTGTCAGTATGTCTCTGATTGGCCGAATTTCATGGCTCTTGAAAGAAAAACATTCTAGCTTCATGCAAAAGCTTTGTGCTTAGTTATATTCAGTTTGCAAAGTATTTATTTATTTTCTATTTTTTTTGGGGGGGGGGGAATGAGGTATTGAGAAATAATTTGAATAATCCAAGTAAGTTTGCTACGTTTGGCCATGAAAGCTAACCACTGGCCTTCAAAGATTACGTAAATTGACTTAACTACTGTATGTACTTCAGAAATTAATGCAGTTATTGAAAACACAGTTCGCCGAATTTTTACTTTTCAAAGAATATCCGTCAGTGATCTTTGACCTTTGTTGATTTTCTGAGGTGGGCGTGGTTATAGTTTGACTATGCACTCAAATATATTTGAAGGATTGAGAGAAAGTCAAAAAGAATTCCAATTAGATATAAAATATAACGTATTTTAATTCAGTATATATTAAGTAGCACAACGTTCTAACGTATCGGGAGTTAATCAAATAATAGGGCCTGCAAACCAAATTTAATTGACGCATATTTCAGGTGATGCCATGCGAATGTCATAAGTTTTCTTAGATTCATTATCATCATATCTTAGATTCACTATCATCATTAAGACATCGAGTCTAAAAAAAAGAAAAGAAGAAGAAGAAAGAACGGTCAATAGACTGTACCCCAGACATATTTTTATTTTATTCAAAACTACTTCGCGGAAGATTACTGTGATAGGGCCCTGGCGTAGAAAGTTGGTTCGCGTCGGTGAAGTGTATTAGCTGTAATAAGGCACTTTCCAAAATGACTGGTCCTCGCCCTAATGCTGTTGAAATCGGTGCGATGCGGGGAGCCAGGGACCATGTGACGGCATGCGTATATATGCCCCACCCGAATTTTCCGCGTGGTTGTTTCACGCACTCGAAGTTGGCGGGCACAGAGGGGCTCGAAAACCGTTACAACGTTCAAAGTAAGTTTGCCACTTTTACCCCAAAAACCTAACAATTTGGGTGTCAAGAATTTAGTAGAAATGACTGCACTACTGTAGGCACTTGTGAAATTGACGGCAACGCAAACTCCGAGTTGGAAATTCGAACTTTTCGAGGACGAAAATCGTCAGTGGTTTTACCTTATTTTCTGAGGTGGGCGTGGTTACAATTTAAGGGGTCCAGGCGCGGTTCTAGAGCCAATATTTTGGTGGTTTTTTTTGGGGGGGGGGGGGGGGGGCTAGCAAGGTGGATCCAGTATTTGTTTCAGGGAGATGTGCTGAAATGTAGACAGGTTATTTTCTCCAGGGGGGGGGGGGGGGGGAGGAGGGAGGGGCTCGTGCCACATTTTCAACGGGGAGCGTTAATAAAATCCACCCTTCTCATTTAGGGGGAGAACATTCCCATTTATGCCAAATTCTTACATTTTGCTAGTGCATTTTTTGTTAAGGAATTGTTTTTTTTGGGGGGGGGCGGTGGCTAGACCCCCCCCCTGCATTACTGTAGGCACTTGTGAAATTGACGGCAACGCAAACTCCGAGTTGGAAATTCATACTTTTCGAGGACGAAAATCGTCAGTGGTTTTACCTTATTTTCTGAGGTGGGCGTGGTTACAATTTAAGGGGTCCAGGCGCGGTTCTAGAGCCAATATTTTGGTGGGTTTTTTTTGGGGGGGGGGGGGGCTAGCAAGGTGGATCCAGTATTTGTTTCAGGGAGATGTGCTGAAATGTAGACAGGTTATTTTCTCCAGGGGGGAGGGGGGGGGGGGGGGGGAGGGAGGGGCTCGTGCCACATTTTCAACGGGGAGCGTTAATAAAATCCACCCTTCTCATTTAGGGGGAGAACATTCCCATTTATGCCAAATTCTTACATTTTGCTAGTGCATTTTTTGTTAAGGAATTGTTTTTTTTGGGGGGGGGCGGTGGCTAGACCCCCCCCCCCCAGCCCCCCCCCCCCCCCAGACACGCCACTGAAGGAGTTGAGAGTATGTTTCTAAAACAACTAAAAATGTAAACTGTAATGTACATTAGATGACCCTTAGGTGTTGCCCAAATTGCCCACTTAAAAAAAATCTCTCCTCTAGATTCATGAAATTCCTATTGGTTTTAAACATCACAAACAAGTTGGGTGACTCTAATAAACCCCAACTCCCTGGGTATGTGTAAAAATAAGGAAACAATCGTAAGAAAATTGGACAATTCACAAACTGTAAGGGTAAATTTATTTAAAAAAATTGTTTTCGTTCTCTAATAATGGGCGTCTTAATACACATTGATACCTTTTTACAGTCCAATTCTGCTAAATGCACTGTCAGATTTATCAAAAATCTGCCAAATTCCCCAAATTACTCGAAATACACTATAACCACTTAAAATCACATGCAGATGTTGCAGTTTTGCCTTAATTAAGGTTCAAATTACATTATAAACAATCTGTAGTCACATAAAAATGTTATGAAATTGCATAAATTTCAGGTAAAATAGTCACGTCACGACAAAGTCAGGTTCCCAGTGAACCTCAGTACCTAGACTAGCCAACCTGTCCCATTATACAAGGGTTTGTTTGAAAAGATGAAAGCTTTTTCACACAAATGTACCATTTTTTTTTTCAAATTTGCTATGTTTTTATGTCAAATAACCAATTTAGCATAATTCTGCCATAAATCTGCCAAAAAAAACCCCATTCTGTCAAATTTTCTGTCAAACTCGTTTTTTAACTAAAAATCTGTCAAAGTTAGCCGAAAATCGGCTAAATCGGTCACCCTGATTCTTACATGTACATTCATGATGCATGCTGGATACATGTAGGCAATGGATGACAAATTAGGCAATGTGCGTGCATTTTTTAATGAAGCAGATAGAATTTCAATTTGATTTCTTATTTTCTTAATTCCTACACATCAAGCTTATCAAAATGAAGTAGGTTTTTGAAATACGTGGATGTCCTTAAGGGTAAGACATCAGTGGGGAATCCAGGGGGGGGGGGGTAGATAGAGGGGGCACCTGGCAGTTTATTTTTTGACTATTTTTTTCTGCAGTTATTTCAATAAATGGTCAGAGAGTTCTAACATCTATCCCAAAAAAAAAAACCCGGTCAAAAGCAATGCGCCGTGAAAGTGGGCACACATGTACATGTATAATTTGCAGTTTGCTTAAAGGGAATATACAACATTTGCAAACATCGAAAAATAAAACTACCAAGTTTTTGCGAAATACCTTAATAGGATGTTGGTAAATGACAGTCTAAAGCATCCTGTAAAATTATGGCACCTGGTATACTGTCATTTTCAAGAAAAGTGGTATTTTTGTATCAATTTCCAACGCTGATCGTTGGAAACAACTGGCTTTTTTTCAAATACTGGCCCCAATTGACCATTGCACTTGTTTGCAATCGATTACAAACCTATGAACGGGTACGAGCCAGCTAGACTGGTTCCCTGACCTTACAATTCCCCAATGTATGTAAACTGCTCTGTTTCTTCTTATATGAAGTCAGGGAACCAGACTACAGGAAAATTATCGTTTTTCTTGGTTTTTATAGCATTTTCGAACCCAAACCTCAAAAAAGTTAGTGTAACTATATTTACTATATATTTCCAACCCCCCAATTCCATCCATTTCTGAAAATTACAGCAAAAGCAAATGATGTATATTCCCTTTAATAATGTCGTTTTTGAAGAACGCCTCTCTTTGGATTAGGTACCACCCCTCCCCCCCCCCCCCCTTTCCCGATTATTTATTTTACTGAGGCGAAGTGTCCGGAGGAAAAAACATATCTACATTTCGGCGCAGATCTGCGGTCCCCCCCCCCCCCCCTTGACATCAAAAGCTGGATATGCTACTGTAAGACATGAACCCAAGACTGAGAAACGTTTCCAATTTTGTTTGGAAATACCTAGAAAATGTTCTTGACTCTCCATAGATTTTGTACACAACTGTTGAAGTGGCATTAGGTTGCAACATTCTTGGTGAAGGGCAAGACCGAATTTGATTTATGTCACCCGACGCAAAATTCCATCTTATAACATTCTTTCTGTCCTGAAATATAAACCTGAAACTGCATGAAAAAAAACCAAATAAGCCAATTCAAATGTAAAGCAAGGGAAGTGGAAGTGAATTTTGACTGTTTTTGACCTTTTAAACAAGGGTAGTCTCTCTTTGTTGGGGAAAATTGAGTGAAGCAAACCCAGCAGTCAAACTCAAGTGACTGCTTTACACTGTCGAGTGCTCCTTACCCACATAAGCAGGATTGGCTGGCTGTGATTGTTATGAAACTTGATCAGCAATGTTTTGACTGTAGAAGATTGATACACCAGCTGTTGATTGAATTGAACTGTCACAGTGCCCAGTATAAGAAATATGATCTGATTGTTGGTCACCACCCTGTTTAAAAGGGATGGCAGGGGAAGTGGGTTGAACTTTGGACTGTCTTTGACTTATCAGCAAAAAAGGAAAATTGTTGATAAAAAAATAAGGAAAACTATTATTTTTCACTGCCCCCATAGGTTTGCCTTTTGGCTTGTGCATAAACTGCAATGCTTGTTTGTCATCCATGCCTACAAGCTCTGCCTGTGTAGGTGCATACATCCAGAAAGTGCTGAATATCTGTATTTCAAGTTCCCATTTCTTTGACTTTTTCTCTTTAAACTGTATGGCTCTTAGAGTTTTCAGTACTGAAAGATATCACATTGGAAAAGCTGAAAATGTTATCAAGTCAATGTGCAAAACTTGCAACATGTGAAAACAAGTACATGCTAATTGTTTACCTGTAAAACTAATAAGATGATCTCTTGTTTATTTATTTTACAGACGGTGATCATGACAGAGCTAGACTCCAAGCCAATGAAGTGAACTCTATCACGAATGCTAATACTGGAGGAATCATGCTGGAACTTTGCAACCAAGTCCTTGCCACTCGCGGTTTGTCATGAATGTACTGTGCCCGTCAAACAATATTATGCTCTACAATTAGGCCTACGTCCCAGTGAAGTCTAGGGCCAGTTTTCTTGGGGCTTAAATTTAAATGATTTCAACATAAATAACATGTAGTTGAAATGAAATCTGTAATGAGTAATTAACCTTTAAACAATGGAATAAATCTTCATGATATTTAGCCTACAAGAATAAAGATGCCAAAAAATGAAGTCTTCAAGTTGATTAAAATAAATGAGAAAACATTGAAGTAGCACAGTAAACCTAACCCAAACCTAAGGTCAATGATAATGAAAATAAAATAAAACTTCAAATGTTATTCATGATGTTTAAACCTCAAGGATGTAAATACCTGGAACTAAGTCTTCAAATTGACTTAAAATAAACTAGAAAACACAAGTAGAACAGTAAACTTAACCCAAACCTATTGGTCAGTGCTAATAAAAGAAACCTAAATTTCAAATAATATTCATGTTTAAACCTCAAGGAGCTGTCTAGAAATAACTCTTCAAATTATTTTTAAAGACTAAAAAACATAAGCAGAACAGTAAACCTAACCTAAATTTATTAAGGGCAATGCTATTGCAAGTGAAATTAAACTTCAAATATTATTAAGTGGCTTACTTGACAACAAAAGGAATTAATCTTATGTTTTAACCTGGAGTGAATAGATGACTAAAACTAAATCTTCAACACGGTTTAATGTAAACTTGAAAACAGAAGCAGCAGAGTGTATGTAACGAGCCTAAGGTCAAAACTAATAAAATTGAAATTAAAACTTTAAATATTAAGCAACTTACTTTGGAGGGTATATCCAGTTTTGAATACAAATACAAAAAAAGTATCATCCAAGTGCGCCAAGTATTTTGTTTTGTGCCAACTGTGCAAATTTAAGTGTAGACCCTTGCAGCATTTTTTGAGGTCATTCCCCTGCACGCAACCATTAACAGCTAACCATGTTAATCACAAACCATTAACAGAACAGTGCAACCATTAACAGTTAACCATGTTAATCACAAACCATTAACAGAACAGTGCAACCATTAACAGTTAACCATGTTAATCACAAACCATTAACAGTATGCACTTCAACCACTAACCAGCAAAGACCCATCCGAGTGCTGCAAGAACTGGGAAAATGTTAAACGCTTCTTGAGAAGTTAAGTTCACTTGCGCAATTGATTTGTTGCTCAAAGCTGGATTGCTATAATATTTTTCTTAAGTAGTGTAGTATTTACAACAGTTATGGAAAAGCAAAGTTATTACAAGTATATTACTGTAAGCCCTAATGAAAAAAGAAATTATTGCAAAAATCTGCATGATTTAATAATAGCCAGAAAACATTTTGAAATCCAATTGAACTCTGATGGAAATGATTAAAATGATAAAACAAGATCAGCCTAACATAAGGACATTATCTAAAAATGAGGATATTAATTTAACACCATATTACTTAATATTAAAAATAGTTGACACTGAACCCTTAAACAAAGAATAAAGAGTAATTCAGCATAAAGCTATAACCATGATTAATTAATGGTCTTAAATTTTTGAAATCGATTCAAGTTGACCCTGGATAAAATTGGGACAATGGTCAGTACAGAGCAAGACATTTAAAAGAATGTGAAAGTCTTATAGAGAAACTCTGAAAAGTTGCCCCAGGATAAACTTTTGACAATGTGCAAGACAAACTATGAATCATGAGAATGACATTGAGGATGGGAACTATCGATGTCAGCCAGATGGATGGTGTGATGAACAGATATGATGTAAGCCACAGTGTGTGGAAGGAGGAAAATCATCATCCAGTGAGAGATTCATCGCTAAGACAAACTCTGGACTTGGAATTAGTTATCAACGTGTCGGACAGGGACTAAAGATCAACATTAAAAGGCAGTACTGCAGCAACTTTTGGAAAAGGATGGAGTTGACTTTAACACAACTGATTTCATGAGTGTTGCATATCTCCAGTGCAGACTCTGTGTAAGCTTTTTACCTTAATTGATCTTGGACACACAATGGAAGGACACACCTACATGTACCTTGAACTCCACGCTATTTTGGAAGCTTGATACTCTCCGGATAAGCATCTTTGGAAGGACCGACTTGGGGGAACAGTGACTTTCTGACGGCAGACGAGTGGAAATCTGATGACTCTCTGATTCTGGGACCGATGGAATTCAACTTTTGACAATGTGCAAGACAAACTATGAAATCGCGAGGATGACATTGTCAGAACAGTAACTACATGTACATGTATACAAGATATCGAGGACAAATTGAGAAACAGATGTATTAGCCACAGTGTGCTGAAGGAGGAAAATTATGCAGTGAGGGACTCATCACATAAAGGACAGTGAATTCATCATCTGAATGTCTGATTTGGACTAAGGATCAACATTAAAGGCAACATTGCAACATTTTTTGGAACTGTTTTTGTGAGTGTTGCATTTCTCCAGTGTGGACTCGGTGCAAACTGCTGCGTCACTCTACTATAATCTTGGAAGCACAATTGGAGGACACGCATTGCCATTTTGAGGAGCTTGACACTTAGACGATAAACTTCTTTGGAAGTACAGACAGACTTGAACTTTGAAGACTGACTTTCTGATATTGGACAAGTGGAAATCTTGATGACCTTCTGACCAGTGGAATTCGCCATCTTTACTACCAGTGGAGGCATGTTTCATCCTGGAAACTTGGGGGTAATTTGTTTTCTTTTATTTGGTTTGATATATGTTATAAAAAATTCATTTCCTTTATACAAGCTCAGTGTTTGGTTGTTCAAGATTAGAATTGATTAAAAACCCTGCCATCTACATTCCTCTAATTTTGTTTCATTAATCAAAATGATACTTTAACTGGACACTACCTTGGCAGTTTTCAGGGATGCTTTTGTGGGGTGGCACCTGGGGAAGGGGGCCAACTGGGAATTTGTGGAGGAGGGGTCACATGACCTCCCCCCAATCCCCTATTCAGCCCTTCTCCTTGGCTAAACCAATTGATTTGAACCTAGTTTTTCTCTGCATTTTTAAGCTTCTAACTTTTTGATGTCGTGATCCTAAAGGGTCGGAACAAAAATAGCTTCAAGTAGTATTCCTGAGTTTCCAAGATTGAACCTCTTAATGCACAAAAGTTGTTCGTTTTTCTGCAAGGGAGAGTAGATGCTTTTTGTTGAGCAGTAAAAAGAGGATTTCCTTTCGCTTATTCATATGAAATATTTGTGATCTGTTTATGTAGGTCTGGAGGTACTCGTGAGACGTTATCTGGCTGTGATGAGCATGACCATGACGCCTGGATTGCAGAAGTCTACTGAAGTTGGGAGGGCCAGACGAAGGACCAGACGTCTTGGGTATAGAGGCCGGGGGACACGTTTGTATGTTCATAAGGTAAGGTAACCATTGTATGCAGGCTTGAACATGCACAAGACCCCCGGATGTCGCTGTACAGTTTGCAAGTGGAGTCGCTTGGATTGTGTGGTAGGGTAGAACGAGGGGGACAAGGTTGCATGTAAACCCAGGTGAGGTAACCATTTCTCTGCAGCTCTTCTAGGCCACATGCCTCAAGACTTGTCCCCCTTGTCTGGATGTTGTTCTGTGGATTCTGGATGTTGTTCTGTGGATTGTGCAGAGTGGTATCCTGTTTTAACTGATCTAACCAAGATATTCATCTTGCTGTGGATGGAGTATAGATGGCAGCAGTGTGTTGTCAAAGGTGAGCATCCATACCAGCTTCAACAGAAAAAACAATGTCAGCGTCACTTTTCAGTCAATCTTTCAGTCCTTTCTCATCCGAAAAGTTGATCTATATGTTAAAAAAAATTCCTGAGTCTTCCAAAAAAAAGTTTGCCTTTATGTTTTGAGTTAAACAAATTCACAAGTCTTCTTAAATAAAAAAGAGATCCAAAAATGTTGAACATATCGTTTATCTTGCAAACATATCTTTTAATTGAGCTTTAAGCTTTCTCTCTGGAAATATTTGCTTGAGATCCGACACTTAACTCTTAATTTTGATTTTACTCTTTTCTTCCTTTCCTGATATATAGTTGGAGCCAGAAAGTGGGCACAGCAAACACACGATATCTGTTGCCGTAATTGCGAGCAAGGACTATCAGCGTTAAAGGTAACTGATTTTGCACTTGTGCTTTTTAGGGCAATTGTAATTCATGTCCATGGACAGTGTCTTTTTGACTTTATCCCCACATTGCATGGCCTCTTCTAGCCCAAATAATTCCTAGAATTTCTGAAGTTTTATGCCTACCCTCCAACATCTTTGAAAACCACTCAGGAAGGATTTTGTACAGTAGATCTTCGTGCACAATAATGTTACAGCTACATGTAATTATCTGAATGAAAGCCTACAACTCAGGGGTGTGAAATCTCAGCTACCCCTAACAGTCCTGAATCCTCCAATTTAAAACGATTTTGCATACCCCCTAGGGAGTTAGGGCTGTTAAAGCTGATTTCAGGTTTTTTTATGTTTTGGCTTTCATCTTCCTTGCTTGCTGTGTACAAAAGTATAGATTTCCAATTTCAGCTTTTTTACACCATTTTCAGCTTTTTCAGGTATTTTTATCAGTAGTCACTCACACCCCTGACAACTTGACAGAATTAATACAGTAATTAATGCATTCATTTTCAACCAACATTAAAAAGACGGGAATTTGATATTTCCAATTTGTCAAATTTGCAGGTTGTAGACTACTGGCGCAATGCATTCAATGCCACATCACTGGAGCGGGAGCAAACGTGATGACTCTACAACAGCCTTCTATGTGACAACGTTCAGCCTCATCAGCCAGATCTGCCAGGCACAGATCAGCAAGGACTAGGATTCCGTACGTCATATCACCCACCTTGGCTCAAATGGGTCAGTATAACAAATTTGGGACTGATGGCAGACTTTTCTTAACCCTCCTTGCAAACATACATTCTGTGCCAAGTAGTCCTTTCAGTCAAAATCAAACAAGTGACTGTTTTCAACAGTTAAAAGTTTGTAGCCTTATATAAAATGGATTGATATGCTTTGACTCTGGGCGAGTGATAAAACAGCTGTGACCACAACTTGTCTGCTTTGTCTGTTGACTTGGTTTGACTAGTCATGGTGCTTGCTTGATAAATGATCTGACTGCTGGTGACTAGCCTTTATCAGAAGTATGGAAGTGGAAGTGAATTTTGACTGTCTGTGACTCTATCTTGCCACTTTTTGCCAACACTGCACGAGTGCCAATTTATGTGAGCTTCATGCTATTTCAAATGAAAACCATGTGTGGCTACAACTTTCAGCCAACATTGAAACAAAAATGACATGATTGTAACATTTCCACATTTATCCAATTTCCAGGATGTAGACTACTGACACCATTCAACGCCACATCACTGGAGCGGGAGCAAACATGATGACTCTACAACAGCCTTCCTGCGACGATGTTAGCCTCATCAGTCAGATCTACCAGGCACAGATCAGCAAGGATTGTGATCCACTTATATTACCCACCTTGGCTCAAAGAGGTCAGTATAATTGAATTGAGTGACAGACTTTTTATTTGCTTCACCATGTAGCACTTTTTGCCAACGAGTGGTGGTCATGCAGCCATCATTTCTGTTAACAAATACTGCACGTGAGTGCCAATTTATGTGAGCTGCAGATAATTTAAAATGAAAAAATAGTTTGCTTGCAACTTTTGCACAGAAATGCACATTTGAGGGAGGTTAGTAACTTTTGCTTGCATGCTAGGTCACCAAGCACTGGCTGATGGGAAGGGAAATACCCACTGTCTTCTTGAGACCAACAACATTCATCCTTTATTTTCTGATGGATAGAAATCTGAACTGGACATGAATCAAGTTTTATGGTCGTAAAATATTCTCAAATGAAAAAAATTTGCTATTACCAAAACATGACGAATTTCATATACAGTTGAGTCTCCTTAATACAAACTCGTTCTGACTTACCCAAAGTGTTTGTTATATCAGAATTTTGTATTAAGAGGAACATCAGTCCCATTCATTGTGCACATAAAAGCACAGTCGGGACTGAGGCTATTTGTTTGTTATAACCAGAATTTTGTATTAACAGAGTTTGTACTAACGAGATTCGACTGTAAACTATTTTTGAAAAGAACCTCCAGGCTAAAAATGCCCTTCTGCCCCCCCCCCCCAAGGAAGCTTAAAACTGCTTTCATGTACTTCGGATCATGCCTTGTGCAAAAGTCCTTAAACCCTGGAATTCTTATGGCTACTAGATCTACTAGATCTACTATATGATCCTTACCTGTAACATTGTTTTGATGAAGTACTAATTATGTTTCTATCTTGTATCTTCTCCTGCAGGTGGACTACACAGCAATAACGATCAGCATCAGCATCAGCCAGACTTCAGCAGAGACGATGCTCCTCTTGAGTGGATCCAGAAGGCAGACTGATGGGGGCCTCAGCAGCTCAGCCCTGGCCATGAATTTCCATCTTGGCCACCAACCAACGGGGAGACGTACCTGAAGTTGTTGAGCATTTGGATAAATCTGGACGGCATCATGTACACACTATGGAACTGATCATCGCACGTGGAAGGCACTAATTTGGCCAGACGCCCCCCCCCCTTCCACCTTGACCACTTCAGCTTTAGCTTATTAGGATTTGGAGCCACAAATTGGATTGTTACACATCTTTCAACTGGATCGCGAAATGAACCGAACTTAAAACCCGCGTAATTTCTCGCGATTCGACTCTACGGTTAAATAAGAACTGTTCCAAGTTTTCCATACTTCTGAACTGTTGCTGATGTAGTGGATGTCTTCGATCGTTTGTCGTGCAAGAAGAAAGGGATGCAATGCCCAAACTGTTTAGACATTTATCTACAAAGATCACGTGCGTTTGTGAACTCTGTACACTCGCGAGACCCTCTTCTATGGAGAAACCATTGTGCGTGCTTTGAACTTTTTCGCTTGAAGACTGATGGAACTTTTCATTGCCAGAACTTTCATGCAGGGTGGTGGGAATAATTGAGACAGTTGAGTTTTGAAATGTTTGAAATTGGAATTTTGTTAAGTTTTGGCTTGTTTTGGTTAAAATGTTGATAGTGTGCTGTTACGGCATCCCTCTTTTTATTCAGTGGTTCTCATTTCCATGATGTTAACTCACAATAAACTCTTTGCTTAAAAAATGAGACAATACACACTTTGCATCATTTTATTGAGCTATCTATAGGACTGATGGTTGGAATTGGAATTTTTCTTCAGGTTTTTAATTTCTGCAAACCGACTTCAGAGGCAAAAAAAGAACAATGAAAACCATGGAAATAAAAAGAGATGCCCTTATATTATTTTAATGTTTGATTTTGCGACTTGTAGAAAAATAACGCATTTCGATATTCGCAATGCATTTGAAGATAGATTTTCATTATCGGAACTTTCATGAGTGGTGGTGGTGGAAAATATTGAGACAGCTGAGTTTTCAAATGTTTGATATTAGAATTCTTTTTAAGTCATGACTTATTTTGGTTAAAATTTTGTTACTTTTGCTATTAGGGCATCCCTCTTTTGTGGTTCTCATTTCTCACAATAACTTGTGGCATAAACTCGGCATAACTTAACAGTCTGCATAATTTAACGTAGCCATCTAAAGACAAATCCGGCAGCAGGCATTTTCTGCAATGGCGCAAAGTTTGCACGAGTTGCGCTCAAGTGTGGCGCATGCGCTTCATCAGGCTCCTTCAACCATTTGCTTGAGCTTAAAACCACTGCAGTAAAAGCTGCTTATTCTGGTAGCCAGATTTCAGTTTATTGGTGGATCAGATTTTCTTCTGATAATTATTTTTTGCAAACCAACCACTTCAGAGGCAAAAAACCACAAAAACCCAAAACCCCAAAACTGTGAGAACTATAAACAATAAGGGAAACCCTCATATGATGTATGTTACATGTTATGATCTATGCAATGTTATATGCTATGATCTATGCCAAGAAAAATACAGTCGAGTCTCGTTATAACAAACTCGTTCGGACCCAGCCAAATTGTTTGTTATATCAGAATTTTGTATTAAGAGGAACATCAGTCCCTTTCATTGTGCATATAAATGCACAGTCGGGACTAAGACTTTATGTTTGTTATAACCAGAATTTTGTACTAACTTGAGAGTTTGTACTAACGAGAGTCGACTGTAACCTGTTTCGATATTTACAATGCATCTTGGATATGGATGGCAAACCTAGCGATATGTACACAAGCATGAACCAATTAAAGCCGAACTTTAATTAATGGAATCGTGCCAGAACTGTCCAAAGACATCCTTGCCACTCTTGGTTTGCCATGATCACACTTGTGCCCGTCAAACAATATTATGTTCTAGACTAAAGTACCAGTAAAATCTAGGGCCAACTTGCTATTTTAATAACTGCATTGAAATAATTCCAACAGTTAAACTGAAATCTTAAATATGAGTGACTTGATTTAAAATACATTAACAGACTAAATCTTGATGATGTTAGTCTTCAAGAACATAGATGTGTTAAACCAAGGCTTCAAATTGATTTATAATAATCAAGAAAACTGAAGGAGCACAGTAAACCTATCCCATTTCATGCTAATAAAAGTAAAATAAACTTCAACAATTATTAATGATGTTAATTATTGATACTTAAACTTCAAGGCTGTAAATACGTTTAGTCTTCAAATTAAGTTATTAATATTAGAAAACATAGGTAGCACAGTAAACCTAACCCAAACCTAAGGTCAATGCTTATATTTAAACAAAAAACCTTTTAAATATTCATCATGATGTTTAACCCTCAATGATATAGTTTCCTAGAACTAAGTCTTCAAATTGATTTAAAATGGATATCATCAGTAAACCAAACATTAACCTAAGGTCAATTCTACTAAAATTACAATAAAACTCTCAGGAAAAAAAAACAATTTTATACTTAGACCTCAAGAAATGGATGTCTAAAACTAATTTCTTCCACCTGATTTAAAGTAAACTAGACAACAGGCAGTACAGTGAATGTAACCGAACCTGAGGTCAAACCTAATTAAAGTAAAATTAAACTTTAAATATTAAGCAACTATCTTGAGAGGGTCAATCCAGTTTTGAATACAAATGCAATGTACCAGTAGCATCCATGTATGCCAAAGTCATTTTGTATCAACTGCACAATAGTGTAGACCCTTGCAGTATTTTTTGAGGTCATTCCCCTGCATGGCTATCATTAACTATCTTAACCACTAACCAGCAAAGACCCATCAAAATTCTGCAAGGACTTGGAAAATTACATGCTTTTTGGGAACTTGTGCAATTTGTTGCCTGTTTTTCAAAGCTGGATTGCCACAAAAGTATTTTTTGCGGTATAATATTTATGGAATAGCAAAAGTCAACTCAGATAATCAAACAAATTAGTCAACTTTACTATTGGCACAAAAAGGAGAAGAAATTAAAAATTTTAAGAAATACTTTCGGAACGTAGATTATAAAAAATAATGTAAATATTCTAAAAAAGCACCAGGAATTTGGATTTTCTAACCATACATTCTACTGAAAGGAAATTTTATTTTAAAATCTTCATGCTTAGTATGGACAGAATTGAAATTGAATAAATTGGATGAAAATGATTAATATGGTAAAAAGATGAGCTGAACCTAACCATTAAATGGCACATTAAGATAAATAATGTAAACAAAACTGTAGAGCATAGGGCCTAAAGCTAAACAAAATTTCAATGAACAATGAACTTATTTTCACAAATAACTGCGTGGTCTTTAAATAAGGATAGAAGTCTTAAAATGATTCAAGTTGACTCTGGACAAACTTGGAACTATGACAATAAGAACAGTAAATTTAGAAGAATGTGAAAGTCTTTGTGGAGAAATGTTGAAAATCACCCCCAAATTGCTACATAAACTTAAAACTCAATACTTAAATGCAAAGAAAACTTAACCTTTGCAATATTCGCAGGGAATCTCAGGATACAGATGACAAAGATGTCAAGATTATATCTTTATTTTTGTAAGTTTAAAAAAGTGAAATTAATTTAGGAATCATATTTGGTTTTTATAAAACTTCATAGGTTTGTGCATAAATGGCAATGCTTGTTTGTTACCCATCCCCAGGATGCAGTGTGAATTAATGCCAAACAGATTTAATATTGGGATTTATCTGAAGTTCTTAAGAAGTGCCTTTTCAAGTAACTTAAAGGGAATGTACAACATTTGCTTTTGCTGCAATTTTCAGAAATAAATGGATTTAGAGGATTAGTATGTTATAGCAAATATTGTTAAAATCACTTGTTTCACGTTTTGGGCTTGTAGATGCTGGAAAAACCAGGAAAACCAACCATGTCCTTGTAGTCTGGTTCCCTGACCCCACTCAAGATGAAACGAGCAATTTATAGACTTTCAGGAATTTTAAGGTCGGGGAGTCAGTCTGGCAGGCTTGTACCCCTTCACAGGTGTGTAATCAATTGCAAAGAAAATGCAGAATAACTAAATATGAAAAATTAAGAGCAGTTTTTGAAAAAAAAATCCAGTTTTCTCCAATGCTGGTCGGCCGACCAGCGTTGGGAAAAATACCATTTTTCTTGAAACTGTTAGCACACCAGGAGCCACGATTTTACAGCATGCTTTAGACCGTCATTCCCTAACAATCCAATAACTTATTTCGTATATTTTAATCATTTCGTTTTTTGATGTTTGCAAATGTTGTATCTTCCCTTTAATATTGGGATTTCTGAAACCGACAAAAGTGTATCGAAATAATAAAGAACAGGTAGCCTAGAGGAACGGATGATATTTGACTGGTATGTAAAGAGGAAATTGAACGTATATTTCTCATTTTGAGACCTCAAATAATACTCTAAATTAGATTTCAACAAATGTGTGGCATTTGACAAAGAAAACCATGCAACTTAAATCAACCATTATCAAATATTGAAATAGTTGGTCGACTGCCCTAAGGGTTCTCATTAAATTGGTGTAACTTTAGTCACTTGATCAAATTATTTATTTGAAATTTATTTTAGACAATTTAAACTTCAATAGCTATAAATATACATGTATGTGATTATATTTCCTTCAAAGCGTGGCCCAAGTTTTATAAAAAATCATAGGAAGTCCTTAAGTATTTAACATTTCGGGGAAAATCATAATTGGGCACAGTTTTATAAAAAACAGTTATGTTTAGCCTTTGCCATTTTGAGTTTATAAGAAAAACGATTCCTCCTCCTCATTTAGTCAATAACCCACATGTAAGGGGCAAATCCGTAAAATCAGACGTACATTGCAGACACTCTCATGAACTGCTTTTGGAAAGCGAATGTGATACATCTTATAATATGACAATAGAAAGCAATAACAGACCAAACTAAAGTACCACCACCTTTAATAATGACAAGTATGTACATCATGTGGTCGGACGTATGTTGGATTCACGGAATTGCCCTTAGGTTAACCCTTTGAAATTAAATGCCTGAATTCATTTTTTTTTTGTGCAAAGTTTTATGGAAGTATTTAACCACTCACAATTTGGAAGTTTTGTTAAAAAATACTTCATTTGCCAAATTTGAATAAAGAACGTCAGGATAAATGAAAAATTTATGAATTGCGTCTAAATTGAAGTTTTTTTTGAGAGAAAAAACAATGATGTGTTCAAAAGTTTAAAGAAAGTACGGTAAACCCGTTGCCATTAACCAGTTCACGCCGGGATTATTTTGACGAGAATGAAACGAGGTGCGGGATTGCTTTTCACTGGACCTCATGCCAGGTGGATAAAGCCGTCAGGCAACACACTCGTATTTCCGGCCTCTCTCACTGCTTGTTTATGCTTCATTCATTCAGAATACTGCAAAACCTTTGTGGGTATACACGTCATCTGGCGCGAATTGGTTATAACCAGATTTTTAAGATTTTCAAGGATTTTTAAGAAAATTATTTCCTATTATCGCCAAGGTTGACGTCTCAAACGTAGAATTTAGAGAAAAAAAAATTAATCCAAAAATAATCTATTTGAGGCCATTACTTGAGCTTCAAATAGTTTTTCCCTGCTGGACAGTGGGCATGAACTAGTACACTTGGTTTGACCTAGTATTAGTACCACCGATTTGAGCACTCGGGCACTTCAATTGAAAATAGTCCAAGTTCAACAAAAATGTTAGGTATTAATCTATACCATAGTCATTTGAATGTTCGGACACAAAAAAAAGAAATTTTGCTAATTTTTAATAAACCAAAAACACGTTAACCCCTTTGATTGTGTTATTTTTGAGAAAACAAGTATCTACCCTAATTAATTTCGAGGTAAATCTCTTACTATTTTGAATGTGATACAAAAATCTGATTTGGCTCAAATGTTTTTAGAAAAAAAATCTTATTCTGCAAAATTTTAATAGCATTGCCATTTTTGATGTTTCATTGATGACCATTTTGCAAATAGCCTCATGTTTGCCTGATTTTTGTATTAGGTAAACCGCTAATTAAGAAAAACACCTTTTTTTAAAAGAAAATTTGAATTTTTCCAATTTGAATCCTTCCCATTGTGATTGAATATAATGACACACTTTACTGGATCCCCGGGGGTCTGGATCCCGGGGGCCTGGATCCCGGGGGCCTGGATCCCGGGGGCCTGGATCCCGGGGGCCTGGATCCCGGGGGCCTGGATCCCGGGGGCCTGGATCCCGGGGGCCTGGATCCCGGGGGCCTGGATCCCGGGGGCCTGGATCCCGGGGGCCTGGATCCCGGGGGCCTGGATCCCGGGGCCTGGATCCCGGGGGCCTGGATCCCGGGGGCCTGGATCCCGGGGGCCTGGATCCCGGGGGCCTGGATCCCGGGGGCCTGGATCCCGGGGGCCTGGATCCCGGGGCCTGGATCCCGGGGGCCTGGATCCCGGGGGCCTGGATTTCAGGGGCTGGGCCGGGGCCTGGATTTCGGGGGCTGGGCCGGGGCCTGGAT